GTTCAATATTAAACAAAGCAGGTAGTCTGCCTCTTCCAAACGTTTTACCAATATAAGCTTTTTCAAAAGTTTCAATTAGAGGCTGAAGTAACAATTGATTATTAGAATAAAATTCGGAGTTTATTAGTAATTCAAATGTTTCAACTACATTTAAGGGTGGCACAAACGCCAAACAAACCATCATTCTAAGTTGTATATTAAATTCTACATCTGTTTTATATTTATGCGATATTTCTGGATATTTTTGAATGTTTCGCCAAAAGGATTGGCCAAAATGGAAATAGCAACATTTGTGTTGCGAATTGGGAAACACTTCATTGAAAGCTTTTACACTGGCCATTTCAAAATCGGTCATAATTTTTTTTGGAGTTGATATTAAGTTGTCACCTATAATAGTAAATATTCTTTTATAAGTTTCATAATCCTTTCTATTGGTCAATATATATATGAGAGGTAAAACATTATTATTTCTAATCCCATGAATTGTATAAATTTGCATAAATAAAGGTGGCGACGATTTAAATGTACCATCAGAAAACCAATGTTCGCATGAAGCTAAGTCCAAATTTTTTCTTGTTCCAAATATGATAACACGGTCGGGAACCTGACACACATGATAAATAAATAAGCAATTATAATAAAGTGTTTCTTATCGGGCAGCTTATCGCAACAAAAATGAAGGATTTAGTTATATTTGTTCAAAAAATTTATAGAAAATCTTACGGAACCATCATCATGAAGTATGAAATCCTCATATTTATCCGTAATTGAATATTCATGCGGAATTACCAGCTCAATAAGGCTGCTAGGATTCGGAGGTGCAAAACTGTTTGAACTCCGCGTTCGGTGAATTATACGTTTCATAAGATTCGGTGATGGTAGTGCCATTGATATAGAATCACTTAATTGAGATACGTGTTTCGCCACAATAAAGTTTGGAGTTTCCATAGTATTATTCAAAGCTTCATTTTTAATTGAATTGATTATTTTCTTGGTTTCCATTTCGATTGGATTTTCTGGATGATTGTGTATTTCATTATTATCTTTTATCTTACCATTTTTTTTTGTGATTCGTACGGGACATTTAAAAATATCCTGATTGATACATCTATAATAATTAGTATCTGAGACTACTTTATCCAGGCGGAACAAATAATTTTTAAAGGTTAAGATCTCCTTATTTTTGCTTGATAACATATTTTATAAGACTCCGAAATAAAGAGGAAGGAATGGCGAAAATATTTATAATTTATAACCAAAGGAATGGCACCAGCCAGACGGGAAAATTTTTTTTTTTAAATTTCGGCAATACTTTTTTTTTAAAATAGTTATAATTTATCAAATATGTCATTAATTATTTGTTAATTTTTAGTGTAGCTATTTTTTTTATTATATTTTAAAATTATTTAAGATTCAATAAGAACCCATATCAAAATATTATATTTAAATTAATGCCGAGTTATTAAACTAAAAATTTTATCACGCCTCCTCCCCCCCCCCTTCAAATAAACAGAAAAGATAAAAAGATATCTATAAAGATTGAAAATAATAAAATTAATAAATATTTTAAATTGGGGAAATCCCTTATTTCACTTAGATGTAATTTATTTTTGAATTGCCATTCAAAATTGATATTCTAAACAGTAATGTTGTAGACTTTATTCATCTACACTGTTTAAGAATAGTGACTGCCAAAACCACGGTTGTGCATTTGACCGATCAAATATAGTTAAAATCAAATAAATATTATTTTATATTGAATATCATCATTTTCTTTAATATTTTTTAATCAATTTTCTTTTTGTCTAAATCTTCAATCGATTTCTTTTTTAGTAAGATTATTGACACAAATAGACCAATTTCTTTCTGAAGAAGAAGTAGATCAAGAAATTGTTAGTAATGTCACTTCTCTTAATGGCCATGGTGGTCAAAGCTAATTCCACTGCTTGAGTTTGAAATCTGATTGTTTCTTATGGAAGTTACTGCTATCCCCATGATTTTCTATTAAACAAGCCGCTTTTATTTCTGAAATTTATGATATAGCTTGAAATATTTTGATCACCACCTTGTATGCCTAATTCTTTTATTATATTACATACTTCATTAAATTCACTATGATTAAAATGCTCTCCTTAATATTAGGAACTCAATAAGCATTGTGATCACATTTCACATGTATTTATATCGTTTTTTCTTTTTCAAACATATTTTTATATTCAGATCTTATAGAATATATGACCACTTGACCAGGTCAAATATTCTCCTTTTCAATTGACCCGTCAAAATCTAGTCATTTGACTGGTCATTTGACTGACTTGCTAACCCTGGCCAAAATTGATTGATAAATTTATAAATATTAAGTCATCAGACAATAAATAGGAATGCTACCCAGATATCTATTTCGCCAATAAATATCAAGATTTAACTAATAAACTCAATGATTAATATATTGATAAAGCTGAGTTCCTTGTGCGCGATTATTATAAAATAAGAACTTCGAAGGAAAGGATAGGATAGCGAAAAAAGTGTATTTCAATAACAAATTTCATAAACCAGTCTAAGTTAATTAATCATTGTAAAAAATTTTTAAGGTTATAAGAAAATTACAAACTATGTGAATTAAAAAAATATTATTCAAATAATATAATTATAAAAAAATGATTCAAAATAAATTAGTCATTATTAGCAATTACCGCGATATTAAATTCTCTATAATATCTTCGCGATATATGTTTCGCGAAATAATTGTCGCTACATTGTCTTCGCGATTTGGGTTTCGCGATAATAATTTCGCTATAAAATTTTCGCGATTAAAGTTTCGCGGTAATGTATTCGCTTTAAAGGTTTCGCGATAAAGGTTTCGCTATAAAATTTTCGCGATTATTGATTCGCGATAAAAGTTTCGCGGTAATGTATTCGCTTAAAATGTTTCGCGATAAAAGTTTCGCTATAAAAAATTCGCGATATTTGTTTCGCTATATTGTATTCGCGGTAATGTATTCGCTATAAAGGTTTCGCGATAAAAGTTTCGCTATAAAAAATTCGCGATATTTGTTTCGCTATATTGTATTCGCGGTAATGTATTCGCTATAAAGGTTTCGCGATAAAGGTTTCGCTATAAAAAATTCGCGATATTGCATTCGCGGAATAGTATTCGCTATTATGGATTCGCGATAAAAGTTTCGCTATAAAATCCATTCGCGATAAACGACATTCGCGATAAAAGTTTCGCGAAAAAGTGTTTCGCGATAAAATTTTCGCTGAATTGACATGGAACCTTAAATTACGTAACCCTTGAACAAAGCACGTTTACTATAAATTCAACTTAACTCCTCATTTATAGTAAACGCGTTATGTTCGAGTGTTGTGTTATTTAACATAGCTTTCTTAAAAAAATCAAGTTAATAAATAAATATGATTTATAAACATGGAACGTTATAATGCTAACGCTATAATAAAATTTGAAAAAGTTGCGACGTATTTTTAAAAATTATTAACTCTATGAAGAATTAGCTGTGATTTCGATAGCGTTAAATAACGCAACGCCTTGAACATAACGCTTTTACTATAAAGGAGGCCCTAAGTTATAAAAAAAATTTTGATGAATTATATTATCGTTTGCCTTTTATTTCATTAGTTTCTGGATATTCCATTTTAAAGGATAAGTTATTTTTTAATATTTTATATATTTAATTAATTTACATATAATGGAACTAGTTTTTAATGCCTTCCCCCTTATTATTCTTATCTGGGTAATTTCACCTCTCTTGCGAAAAACTGAGTAAGAAAGAAAGAAAAAGAACGAGTCATAGACCAACGTGCAAATTGAATGAATAAAAAAACAAACAAGTTTGTCATTTTTTAAAATGGTTTCTAAAGCCATGCCATAATTTGACTAATTTGCACGATACCTTTTGAAATGCTTTACTGGAAACGTTCAATTTGTGTGCACCATTAGATATTTATGATAATATAATATTTCTTTTTAAAAAACATACTCATATTTAAATTTAAAAGGATCGTATTATTATTACTATTCTCATTATTCTGTTTAACCCAATGATATATATATATACTACTAGTAGCGATTCATTGATCTCAAGTGTCCATTCACAGGAGTCAGCTATTGCGCCATTTTGTGGGTTGAACTTTGATCAATTGTCATTAATTATCATTATATGAATGCAAAAAAATTGGGTTTGGTTAAATTTTGTTTTCAGTTTTTGATTTTTTAAAAGTTTTATGTTTAAAATATTTTATTATTTTTTTTTATTCAAGAATTTATGTTGAGATTTTTAGATTTTATGGTTTCATATATAAATGTAAGAATTTTATTTAAAAAAGAAATATTTCTTGACCTTTACCCCAAAGTAAACCCCCCCCCATTCAATTTTAATAACGATCTTTCATCATACATCTCTCCCCCCCCCCAGGAATAGAAACCTCTTCCCTTGACACTCGATTACCTATCGGGCCTTATCCAACACCTAGTTTCTGTGAAATTACGCTACTATTTATTAATATTTATTTTAACTCCAGTCCAACTCATGTCGTAGCTTTAGTATTGTTAAATAGCCTGATTCGGATCAATTTTTAAAAATGGTCCGGTTAAGATTATAACCATAATATTATATAAGCTTGGATGGCAGATAGGTTTAGACATCTATTTAACAAATCTCGAGGCATGCGTTATATTATTTTGGCTAAATCTTAATCGGGCCGTTTTTAAAATCGACTCAAATCGGGCTTTTTAACAACACTACATAGCTTAGATCAGGAATAAATTTAAAAATAAATACTAATGGTCGCCGCCCTAAGACATCTGTTTGATTTTTACTCACGAGGCTGGTTTTCCTTCTATTTGTTTTTGATCTTGGGATTTTCTCCGGTGTTTTATTTCTTCCCCATTATCGATTAAAAAAAATGATCGGTTAATTAAGCTAATATGGTTATTCTAAATTCGAGATTCTTTAAAGGAGTTTTCTTTATGTTTGATGCAGGGCAAATGAGGAGTTCATTGGAAATTATGGCACCCGGGAACAAGTTTACAACTGACAATGTAACAGAATCGAAAGACGTTGGAACAGCTTATGTTATAAATGTTTTTCTGTCTCAGCTAATGAAACTTTACTCCGATAATACCTTTCTATTTGGATCGCCTCGCGAGTTCGATTGCAAAAGTAACCCATATATTCAATGATACATATAGGAAAAAAATTTACATTTGATTGCTTTGTAAAATCAGGAATCCTCATTCATAAACATAAATTTTTTTTAAAATAGACAAAAGATATTTTAAATCAGCCAAACAAAAAAAACACATTCTATTTTATTAAATTTTGAATCAAACAACACCCAATAGGAATTAAATATATCACGTGACAAGATAATAACTCCACCTATAGTTTTTAACCCCCAACCAAAAACTTTATTACAAAAGCAACTCGCCTCGCCCTATAAGGTTTTTAAGGGACTAGATTTTTTTAACGTTTTAAAGGCTGGAAAGGGTAGAACTAAGTAAATCCTTTGTAATTACACGAAATTTCTGTTTGAAATCAAAACGTTATAAACTTAATATATTGGGAAGATTGCTGGGTGGCAAGCATTTCGCTCTTTTACGACAAATATATTTTTATTTCCGGTTCTAAAAATAGTTATATTATTGTTTGATTACAAAATAAAAATTCTGAGTCCAATAATTATTATCTATCATAATCTTGGGCACTAGCTAAATTTTTGTAAAAGAATTACCTTTTTGTCCCACCTTAGATCTGAGTAAAATGGCTATATACCTGGGGTAAAATAAAAGTAAAACGCCTATAACTTTTTTTCTTATATTTTATGTTATATTATTTAATCAAATATATTCTAAAGGTCTGATTTGATAATAACAAAATCCCTGTTAAAATTATCAATGTATAAATAATATAACACATTAATCTTAACAAATTAACCTAAATTAACAGTTGGTACTCGAAATCCGGCATATTTAGAAGTATTCATAATTTGTTAAGATTAATGTGTTATATTATTTATACATTGATAATTTTAACAGGGATTTTGTTATTATCAAATCAGACCTTTAGAATATATTTGATTAAATTTTTAGTTTCTTTATTATAGGAATAAGGTGGTAATGTCAAAATTTATCTATTACACTGTTAATTAATTACATGTGTTAGCAATCGGCATTGTACATAATTATACGACATGAATAAACATTTTATCCAGATGATTTAATATTGTTACAATAAAGTTACTACTGCGGCACCAACTGTTATTTTATTGTATGTAACAATATTAAATCATCTGGATAAAATGTTTATTCATGTCATATAAATATGTACAATGCCACTACCGATATAACAATAATAATAATTAAATGATTGATTGATTGATTGACAAGCTTCATATCAACTACAACTATTAGGGGGATATATTATAATTTGATTGCAAAGGAATAGGGAGCCTTGATACTGTTGCATCTCCTGTTGTCCTAATTTGAGGAAATTGCAGGGCTCTATTGGATTGCACAGGAATAGGGAGCCTTGATACTGTTGCATCTCCTGTTGTCCTAATTTGAGGAAATTGCATGACTCTATTGGATTGCAAAGGAATAGGGAGCCTTGATACTGTTGCATCTTCTGTTGTGCTCAGAAAAACAATGATGTAATTGTCTATTTGGACTATGAATATTTAATCAAGGGCAATGGTCAAAATTACATTTACCTAATATGCAGAGGTAACTGTAGGGGTCGAGCTAAGCTTTCATTAGTAGATGTTGTTGTTACAAAACAACATATTGACACTTGTAAATATGCAACTGTATCAAGGCTCACTATTCCTTTGCAATCAAATTATAATAGTATCCCCTAATACCTCAAATAAGCACAACAGGAGATGCAACAGTATCAAGGCTTCCTATTCCTTTGCAATCCAATAGAGTCCTGCAATTTCCTCAAATTAGGATAACAGGAGAAGCAACAGTATCAAGGCTCCCTATTCCTTTGCAATCCAATATAGTCCTGCAATTTCCTCAGATTAGGAGAACAGGAGATGCAACAGTATCAAGGCTCCCTATTCCTTTGCAATCCAATAGAGTCCTGCAATTTCCTCAGATTAGGACAACAGGAGATGCAACAGTATCAAGGCTCCCTATTCCTTTGCAATCAAATTATAATAGTACCCCCCTAATAGTTGTAGTTGATGTGAAGTTGTCAATCATTTAATTATTGTTATATCGGTCGCGGCATTGTACATATTTATACGACATGAATAAACATTTTATCCAGATGATTTAATATTATTACAATATCATAACATTTTATATAGCTCATTTATTGTATTATAATATTATTTCAATATAATAGTTTATATTAAATATAATTATCATTCTCTAGTATGCATTGAATGGAACATGATAAAATCTAACCAAGTACATTGGCCTTTATGGCTTTTATACTTAGATACTTGATTAGTAATTATAAACCGAAAATTTGGTTCCAAGTAGATCACAATAATGTGATAAAAAGTAAAATGTTAAATATAAGTATAAAACAATTTCAGAAAGAAAAACAACAATAAAGTACGTTATTAAAATGCGCGATATATATAATAAATCGAGTGAATGAATCGTTCTAAATATTATGTTGTTTGTTTTCGGTTTATGGTCTTCAGTTCGGATTGTATCGGGACTTGTTCAAAATTTCACGTTGTTGTAGATGATTCCTATAGTCCGGAGATAAGTGAGAAAGTTCCGACAGTTTCGATACCAAATATTGAGGCGTTGGTTTCCATCAGGTATTTATGCCCGTTGGTGGATCTGCAAATAGGTTTTAGGGAGCCCGGTCTCCTGTCCAATTCCTTGAGAGGTCGTCCGCTGGGTTTTCGCCTGTCGGGACCCATTAGATGTTTTGGGAAATAGCGGTGAAGATGGGGATTCTGATCCTCCTTTCCTAAATACATAGCAGCAGACCGTAGAGTCCTTAAAGATCATAGGCGGTATCCCGTCTTTGTTGATTGCTAGTAGAACTCCAACACCGGCGGCAAGTACCTCTTTTGCGTTGATGTGGGCTATAGAATGCATGGTAATATTGAACAGAAAGGTTGCTTCTTGGAAGGAAACCGCCATATTGTCATATCTCCAAAAAGATAGACCTATGAAGTTGTTTGAGGCGTCTCCGTAGAGTAGATTTATTGCGTGATACCTTAGGTTGATAGGGTTGCGAAGAGCGTCGATTATTACGGCCTTCTTGAACGCTAGGTATGTATCCACTACTGGGATGATGGGAACGCTGTTCATAGTTGTATAGTATGGCGAAAATAATCTGGAGTCTGGACATACCTGTGATGGTATAGGCGTAGTAGTTTACTACTCTTAAGACACGAGCTGCTAGCTATCGGCCGACATCTAGTTGGTATGAGTGGCGTCGAAAAATTTCTACACCTGGCTAGTCGCCGTCTAGTGTTGTTATCGGCTGTTGGTGTCTGTTTCAAATCAATAGGGATACCCAGGTAAGTTATACGTGGCGTTGGGTCAAGGATGGATTTGTTGACAGCGATTGTTGGGCTTCAACCTTCTTGAGTGCATCGGAGAGATCTAGTGGACCATTTGACGTCGAATTCGTTGTCTCCGTAAATTAAGATGTCATCTAGGTATACGTTGAACGAGGCTTTCCTCGCGGTTTTGGTACAGGCATCACGGGCTAAACAAGGCTCCCATGGGTAATACCTTATATCGATATTTGGTCCCTTGGAAGCGAATGCCGAAAAAACGTCTAACCTGCATCGCCAGTGGGATGGAAAAGAATGCAGATTTGATGTCTATTTTGACAGCAAATTTGGCCTTTTCAAGATTGGCGACATCGAGGGAATCGATTTGAGTCTGAATGGGTAGTGAAGGAAGTTTTTGATACTTTGGAGAAATCGCTAATGACTCGGGGTCCCGACTTGGAAATGATGTACATAGGGGAGCAGATTTGGTTCCGCCTCTTCGATCACGCCAGCTGCCAGGAGTTGCTGGATGATCGGTTGGAAGCAGTCAGGAATTATCTGCCCTCATTGCTTCGAGTGCGCAAATGGTCAAGTCTGGGTCTGAACCCCCCTCTGGCTACTGCTTTTGTGAAGGTCGACATATGAGGTCCCACCATGAGCTTAGCCTCAGCGATGTTCAGCCTGAAAACTCCTTCGAAGTTAGCATCTGCAGAGGAAAGAGTAGTAGAAGTAGCCAAGAAGGAAGGAAAAGGTTTGTTTTTATTGGTATCACGGGGGCTTCTTTCTCTTCTTACCCCTGGTGGCGGTCGTTTCATTCTTGGGACGGCGGTATGTATAGGTAGCTCGGCTGGGCCGTCCATTTTTTCGAAAGGGCCGGTCTGGGATGACCTTGATTTTTTCAGCATTTATGTGTCATTGAATAATGATATTATCGTTTAGATACGTTTTATCTTAAATTTAAACCAAAATGAAATAAAGTTGAAATACTATTTAATTCCGTAAAAAGAGAACATTCCAAAGATGGATGAAAAATATTATTCCCCAAAGAAAATTGAAGATGTGCTATGGTCAGAAATAGTTTAAAACATCTAAACAATTATGTCAAAGATGGTCGCACACGTTTTTGCGTTAAAAATAGATTTTTATTAGAACGATTCGTGAGCTAACAGAAACGGTGATAGGCAACTTAAAGAAATCGAGGAAATGACTCTATACGAATTTAAGAAAAATATAGAAGTGCATATCCATGGCCAATTTATCAGGGCTAAAGATATCCAATTAGACAAAGAATTATGATTGAAATATCCCAACACCAAGGACGAATGTTAACACTTAAGGTTTAAATAAATTTATAATAAATGACCCTTGTTATGAAATGCGGAGGCTTAAAATTATATAATTCAAAAATAGCATATAAAATTAGAGTGATGACAAAAATACAATAATATATTAGATACCAAAGTAATAATAATAAGTAATAATTAATAAACATAATAATAATACTCGATCTTATCAAAAATTATAATAAAACCTATATATACAATTTAATAAATCAGTCCAAAATTCCAATATCATATACTTATAAGAATAACAGGAAGACATAGCTGTGATTGCAATCAGTGCCATCCGATACGAAATTGTCCTGCGTATGGGGAAAAAAACTTGTAGAAAATGTAAAAAAATTTAAACTACTTTTCTGTACGCTGTTGTTATAGTAAAGGAAAAATCAATGTTTACAAATTACGACGAGAATAGCAACTGAGGTTATTCGAACTACTCAATAATAAAAATGTTTACAATTATGGGCAGAATCCAACTAATGGTCTTGATAAACATCCATGAAATCGAGATGGAATTATGATATAGGTTCAGCAGTATCCTAGAATTAATTTATTAATTTAACCATATGGAAAAAAATTTGGAGTAACCAAAGTTTAGAATAGTCAAAAGTCCCCACATATCACGAGAATCCTAATATTACGAGAGAAACTTATTGGCAAATAGGGCTTTCACTTTTACAAATTACAAGCCAAGTGGTTTGGCTTTTTACATTTATTAGAAGTTTTTCTAAACTCTCTACAGTTTCGTATTGAACGACACCGATTGCATTTTTAATGGTTATTGTGATCTTGGACTCGTTTTTAATCGCGTTTATATGGTATAGAATGATCATCATGTTGATTATATTAATTAATTATTATTAATAGGTATCGATTTATATTATTTTATTTTGTCGTTCTCTCATTTTATATATCATTTTTGAATTATTTATGTTCCAAGTCGGCGCTTTCCAATATCTAGAGCCATTTATTATAACTTTATTTAAACCTAGAGGTTGACCACCACATTTAGTGATATCTTAATCGTAATTTTTAGAGACCCAATTCTATTTATTTTTTTTTAAAATAGGAATTCTGAGATTATTTTTTCTAGAGTTAGAAAATTATGGAAGGGGTTTTATCAATTCTAAAAGAAATGAAAGCAAATTGACGTCTAGATATCAATATAAAAGTATTATGAACATTTTTTTTTAAATTTAATCATAACCCCCCCCCCCCCCCGTCAATGCCCACCGTATATCCTCGATTTTGAATGATTAGAAACTATTTAATAAAAATTATTTTAAAAATTAAATCTTTAATAAAAATTATTTTAAAATTTGGTCAGAAAATGAATTTTGATACAATTACAGGGTTTGGACAGTTGTTACACCATTTATTTAGATTTAAATTAAATATAATTGTATTAATTTTATTATTCACTGATAAATTATATTTGCATGCCCACATTTTATTATCGTTCTTTTCATAATTTCGTTAATATTTTACTCTCACAATTGTTGTATAAAAGATTTTGTAAAATGTTTTGTCATGTTACTGGCGAGATATTTTACCAGAGGCACACGAATGACTAGCGCGACTAAATAATAAACAAAAATCCAATTTTCGGTAAATATTAGAAAAATGTGGTTTCTCCTCTTCTCAATATTTAAAACCATAGAAATGAGGGATATTATTCCTATTCCAAAGCGAATCAAATATTCGATTCGTTTAAAATTATTTGAATCGAACATAGATGCGGAAATAATTTAAAAATTTTTTTATGAAATAGTGGATTATTTCCTCTTCAATTTTAGGATTTTTTTTATAACCCCGCCTTTATTTTGAATTTTATAGCAAATTTTATGGAAGACTTTACACATTTCAAAACTCTAATAAATAAATTAATAACATTTTTTAATGAATTTGATTTGTGACAACATTTAAAAGCTGCCATAATTATGGACAATGCCTTATGTTTTTCATTTATCTTTATGATCAAAGGATCAAATTGATAATAAATTTTCATTGTGAAAGTGCTACTTGCAATAATTGAGAAGGAGAGTTATAAAACTGTTAGGGAAAAGCAACATATTTTAATTATTAATCATTAATAATCGTTTCTTCACACCCAAATAAAGGACGTTTAGTAGTAAAATTGATTTTAGCCTAAATCATCAACTTACGTAAGATTATATCTTTACGTAGATTGTATGTTAAATTTTATATCGTAGTTTTTAATTTTTATTTTGGCCTTGAAGGAAATGTTGATAATCAGAAAACAATATTATATTATAAGTATTTTATTTTTTTCCTACGTATTTGTATTAGTTTTATTTATAAAAAAGGAAGATATTTTTTATTAATTAATTATTTTATATATTATTTAAAAAGAAATATTTGAAACAAAAAAAAATATATTTACAGGAATTTAAAAAAATATAATTATCAAGAAAAATAAAGGAAAACTTCATAAAGAAAAAGTGTTGTAAGAAATAATTAGTTTATAATTTAAATATTAACGAAAAAATATATTTAAGAAATCTTAGAAATGATAATAAAAAGTTGCCATATTATATATTAAGGCGCGAATTAAAACATTAAGAAATATGAGCATTGATTTAGTCAGGTAAGTAAAATTTGTATAAAAGAAAATTCTTTCAACTCAAGCTTCTCATTTTACTAACAGCCCATTTTTTTATATTAATTCTTTATTCATATTAGTTTGTTTTTTTGGGTAATTAAAATACTTTTTTTTGTACGCATTTCATCCCAAACCAAACTCTTCTACTTGGCTAAACGTTTTAAAGACTGGTTATACTTCGTAATTAGAGAAAAGATTTGTTATTCGATTTTAAAAATTATTTTTTGCTTCGAAATTTATATAATATATATATATTCTTTAAATATTACAGAGTCGACTAACAGCTCAGAATGTTATTTGCCGCCGGGAGACAATTTAGGAACTTGCGGCTTTGATTCAAAACTAAGAATCCACGGTTCCAACAATTGGGAACTCACCATAGAAGACGTTAAATGCAGGAACAATTATATTGAACAATACAAAATGAATATTGATGACGTTGCCGTCAAACGCAAGAAAGAGAAATCGAGTTAAATAAAAATTATAATCAATAATTCTAACATTATTACTATTAGTATTCCTATTGGTTAAATTTTTTGAATTTTGAATATTTCGAAATCTTTGGCTCACACTTGAGAGCTTTTTAAGTCCAGCCCTAAGAAGTTTTTTGGGCCGGGACGACTGGGTTGGGCCTAAAACTAGGTTATGAAACACAGTTGGTCAAGAAAAGAATGAAGGAAAGGTAAAATCCGATTTTTCAGATTAAAAAATTATCAACGGTAAAATGAATTATAATTGGGAGACTCCCAATTCTCGCATATTCCGAATTAACTTACCGCACTGAATCTCAATTTTAATTCATTTTTACTTGTAGTAGGGGTGATTTTCAAATTTGAAAAAAAATCTGATTTGACTTTAAATGTATTCTAAAACAGGGCCTTTCAAATTTCAGACAATTTTGCGATGACTTTCGAAAGTGAACTTGCTCTTAATAATTTATATTAACTTTTATAGAAATTTTTTTCATAATAATGAGTAAAAAAAATACACAAAAGTTCATGGCACACATTATGCAAATATCGTAGGATAGGCACTACTCTACCCATATTGAATTTAGAGACCTACGAATTCGATATTTTTTGGGACCCGTCTTCATTTTTAAATTTTGTTTTAGCCGGATTTGAATTTTGACCGAGCCCAGAACGCATATCTTAATTGAAAAACTTCTTCTTTTTTTTAAAGTTAAAATAAAATAAAAATTACTAATTGTGTGTCCCTAATCTCACTGAAATCGTAATTATCTATCTTATTATTTGATATTAAACCTAAAAGATTTTATTTTTTAGAACTTTTTTAAATAACCCTAAAGCCTGTGCATGACGGATTCAGAAATAAACTGAGCCGCAATCCCAGGTTAATACTTTTTCGACTTCGGACTGACTTGCAGGGCTTCAGTTGGAATACATTTTCGGTCAAATTAGATTTTTCGAATTTAAAAATCGCGCCCTTAGCAAATGAGAATTAAAATTAAGCCCTCGTAATATTCCAACTCAATATAAAAATATATTTTTTAAAAAAAATCTAATGAGAACCATTTATACACAGATGTTTCAAGAATAAAATTTCGAAAGCTCGAAAAAGAGAAAAAAAAAAGGTAAAAAAATACTTAATATTTTTTAGCATTTATCCCTCGAGAATATTCATAGAGTTCATACATGCCCCAGAGTTTAAGAAAACGTTATTCAAATTCTTTCTGATTTTTTTTTCAAGTAGTTAAAAATATTTTGGCTAAAAAACATTTAATATGCAAAATTTAGTTTACTTTTTTAAACAGGTGCTTTTTTGAGTCAATTAATTTTTTAAATGATTTGGATGAGTTATTATTTTATTTTATTTTTAAAATTCTATAAATTTGATATAAATAGAAATTAGAAGAAAGCGTTTTTGAATTGATTTGATTGATAAAATATTTAAAATTATTATTTATTTACTGATAAAATATTTTTTTTTTGACTCGAAAATAGCCCTTATTAAATTGTTATTAATGGATTGAGTTTTAAAATAATCATCATGTTAGATTGCTGAATGTTTTATAAATATCATGACGATAAATAAATAAATTAATGAGATATAGCAGTTCAAGATTCAGTTCTCACCTCTTGGAACGCTCTCGTGTAGTATTGTTAAACTACTCGATTTTTAAAAACGACTAACCCAATTTGTTATTTTTAAAAAATCGAGCCGCTTAGCAACACTATTTCTCGCGTTATTTATTTATTTTTCTCAACGAATATTCACAAGGTATAGAGTTGTATCTAATTTCATTTCTAGTCTTAATAGATAATTTGGAAGTCAAAGTCGCATTTTAGCCTGTGAATCCAAGAATTATTCCTCTAACTCTTTAAAATAAAATGATATAATAATACAATATTTTTTGCTTGAGTTTAATTCATTTTAATGAAATTCTTATACTACATAAATATATAGTGTCAATGGCAAGTCTATATCGTTTTTACCGTTGCATCAACAATATGTTCGTTCACTTCAAGTATACCTTTTGACCAAAAAATTATTTAAAAAATTAATATTATAATGCAAAAAAAACCACTGAAAAAATATCCCATGGAAAATTTTTTTTTTATATTTTTAGATGAACGAACGGTTAATAAAGAAAACACTGGTTGAAAAAAAAACACCAGAGCATTATATAACATTTCTTTCTTTTTTTATAATAATTTCCTACCTTGGTTACACCTTATGAATTAAAAAAGGTTTTTAAAAACGTGAAGGATGGGCTGAATGATTTTATAAAAACGATACAATTAATATTCAAACTTTTGGGTTTAAGATATTAATTCTAATTAGATTTTCCGGAAGTGAGTGAGTTTATCAATTTTTTTAGGGTGTAATGTTTTCACTTGGTATTAAATATATATTTTTTTTATAAAAATCGTTCAAGAAGGTAGGCAATAAATGCCTTACAAATTTACCATCACAATTCAGTCATAAGTAGAAGTTTAAACTTCGGCGAAATAAGGGTTTTAAGATTAGCTTAGTAAAAAGATTTGGCCCTATTTTGTCGAGATCTCGAGGCTTCAGTTGGTTATATTATTTAGTTAAAATCTTGGTTTCGCTTTTTTTTAAATATAACTTAAATCGAGGTTTTAACAGCATAAGTCAACTGAGCGATCAAATTATATTATTTTTTAAAAATATTTCGATCCAAAAATATTCGCGTATGATCTCACTAAGTGGTAAAATTTTAATATACTTTTTTTTTGGCTTAATGTTTTGCAGCTAATATTGAAAATCGAGAAAATTTGTTATCAAACGACCAGCAATAAGAGTGTCTAGCAAAAAATTCTAATTTTTTGTTAAAATTTAATATTATTTTTTTCCCTCTCAAAAAAGATAAGTAGGAAACCAAGGATAGAAAAAATGGACAAAGTTGCCAAGAATTTAAAAAAAATGTGTAATCTAGTTGCCCTATTTGGAATCGTTATCGAAAAAATTATCTTCCTTTATACTCGCAAAGCCCGAAAAACTCGTACCTTAGCAAGTATATTTTTTTGCATATCTTTTTATTGATTAACTTTAGATGAGGGAGCTGTGTCTTTATACTTCCTCCCCTCTTATTTAACCATGCATTTATTAACGCGAATTAGCTGCGAAATATACACCAAAATACAGCATATTTTTTATACTTTGTAGTGAATCACCTCATATATAGTTAGCACGAATTTGCGGCGGAAAATACAAATATACAGTGTATTTTGTATGATTCGCCGCATTCGCGAACTATGATGAGAGGCAATAAGAAACGGCAACCTTATTTAGAATTGAAAAAAAGATTTTTAAAGGTGATCAAAATTTATAATTAATAAGATAGATATAAACAAAAAAAACGATGTAAGGTAGAAACCCTATGCGGATTTACTCCAGACGAATTCGGATTTTTGGTGAACAAAATAATTTCTTACCGGAACTCGACTCACCATAAGATATCTAAACATAGATCTTTGTAAATATCTACGTATTGGAATGTGGAATCCATGTGGGTTGCAATCTCTTAATTTTAAACCATTTTACTGAGGGGAATTTTTGAATTTGGAAAATCTGATTTGACCGGAAATGTATTCTAGCAACAATTATTTGTCGCAAATTTTTGAATTACTCTTTAACTTTTATATTCATATATATATAAAATGTTCATATAAATTGTTTAATACACAAAATATAATGATAAAAATTGTGTTATATGTAGGGGGCAGCTATTTTACATATGCCTGAACACTTCCAGAAGCAAATTCAAAAAATATTTTTGTTTTTATTAAAAAAAAAATTCTTTTGGTTTATTTGTTTTTGAATAATCAGAAATATTTTATTTTTTGATCTATGCCCTGTCTAGAGTAGAAGGGGCTCAACTTTTCAAAAAATTTCTAACATTAGCAAGAAATGGAGGTAATTCTATCTAAAATTTGCACACAAAAAACTAATTAAACCTAAAATTAGCCATAATAAAGTGATTCTACCTAAAATTTGCAAAAAAAAGGTCATTTCAAAAAACAATATTTTTTAGGGGCCTCTTAAAAATTTTATAGGGGCTTGACCTTCTATCCCCTATACGCCATTATCTTCAACGGGCGAGGCTTAGCCGTCCGCTTATCTATTTTAGCTTATGGTTTTGGAAAGATATTCGCCCCACTCCATAAAAATATATTTGTAAAATTTTAAAAAAAATTAATTATATTTATAATTCGCCCATCCTTCTCACTCGAATAGTAAAATATTTTGAGTTACCCCGCCCAACCGCAAAATATGAATTGATTTTAAAAAAAATTTATTTAAGAAAGAATATTATGTTCAGCCTCAATACAATTTAAATATTTTTAAAAATCTTTCAGCTGTAAAACTATATTTTGGAAGAGAAAGAATTTCGATGGCCTTGAGAATCTTTCTTATACTCAGCTATATACAGTAATATTTAAAAATTTTATTGATATTCATTAATCAAAACTAATTATTAATGCTTTAAAAGAAAACCAGATTCTCAGACTTTTTTAAACAACTGATTTAAAGGCCATAAAATCTTTTAACGGTTGGTTTAGGTTCGCGAATATTAACGGTTAATAACCGGTTTAAGTTCGCTTTTATCTCTTAATAAAAAATGAATCTTTTGAACGTAGCTTTTAAATTAAGAAATAAAATACAAAAATACCACGTTGAGTTTATTTAATTTTAATATTTTTAAGTCATTTTTAAAAGATTTTTTTCCCTATGCATTGAGAAAAGATTTTAAAAAAATTTTTGCCATTTTTAATTGAAATTTGATCAAAAAAATCCTTCTTCTTCAAAATAAAAAAAAATAAGATTTTTCAAAAGTTTTTTGAATATTTATTTCAAACTCTGAAAAAAAAACACACACAAAAGAATCGGACTTAATATACCATTATCTCTGCAAACTGATAGAATCTTTAGGGTATTACATACCTCCCGTATGTCAGAAACAAGCTTACAAAAAGCCTGGGAGTAATTCCGACTTCGTCATTATGCTCGCTAGCAGAGCGTCGACATTCCGCTTTATACATCATTACAGGAAATTATTAATCGGGGAACAAAAAAACGAGGATCATTTGACCAATTTTTGCGTCTCCTATTTGGTTACCACGAAAAATTTGACCCAACTTTTTGTCAAATACAATTCTAGCTCGGATCAGGTTATTTTTTTTAACAACCTCTATATTTACCTTTCTAGAAGACGCAAGGGAAGAACCGACAAATCCCAAGTCATTTTTAACGATTTTTTAAAAAAATTATTAATTTTGGTGTAGGCAAACAATGTGAATCTCAATTTTTTATATTATCTTTTATACTTTATAAAATTGTTGTTGTTTTAAAATGGGAACATCAGGAATTTAAACATGTTAAAACGGCAAAAAAAAATCAAATATATAGAATATTTTTTAGACCATTTTCCATTCTAATCCCCTTTCTCTTTTTCCTTTGTCATATAATTATTTTCGAAATATTTTTCGTTCTCAAATCTCAACATATTATAAATGGCCGATGTATTATCTTATCTTATATGTAGAAGAAAAAACTTCAAATAATTTTCTATAAAGATCAGGAAAGAGAAGTGGATAGAATTTTTTTTCTCCAAAATGAAACTATTCCCATGCCGGAATATAGAGCAAAAGAGTGTTTATATATTTTTTTTTTAAATAAAGAACTATAGAAAAGGAGGGAAAGGAGGTTTTGCATCATCAAAAATTCAAACCCAGAACCAACTTGTCTGGGCCGCACCTATCACATATAATACTTACCTATACTGATGGCTCATTTTTATTAAATGTATTTTGAAGTGGCGTAGAATACAAATCAGCTGGTTACACGCCATTTTTTAGTAATTGAAGCTGATTTTTTTTTAAATAAAAATTTTCATAAAATTTTAAAAGTAAATTTTTTTTACCAAAATGACGTGTCAACAGCTGATTTGTATTTTTTACAAATTTAAATTAACGAATCATTGGTTTAGGTATTATTGCATTCTATTGGGCCCCACTGTTTAGGCCAAAAAAATGGTAATTTTTATTATATTTATTTTTACTATTCTCAAAATTTTGCTTTCTTAAAAAAAAAATTTCCATCTTATCCCGGCTGCCCATAAAAGTTATTTTACTATCTGATGAACGATTTGGTCGATTATTTTTTGATACCCGTTGAAATTTTTGATTCCGACGTTCCTATTCGATTGAAATTGTCGCCCAAAAACCGTCACAATGCGATAACTTCTAAAAGTTATTCCTACGAAGCGTTCATCAAATCTTTATCATTCTGGGACGAGTTTCAAAACGTGGCGAAGAGGCATGCCGATAAGCCGCTTTCACTAAACAATAGTTATCAAGTTTTAGAAATAATTTTATCGAAATTTCTCATTTGAATTTACCTTTCGGAATGATAATATTAAAGAAAAGAATTGAATTTATAAAAAAAGAAGAAAATTACATGAAATATTTAAAAAAACAGTATTTTTTTAAAAAAACAGTAATTTTTTAAAAAAATTCTTATTTTCTTATTAAAAGCCTCCCTCGGCCATCCTTTGTTTTGATATATTGTGCAGCCATGTAATTGGCAGAGCGTTCGATCAAAAGCTTCCTTACAAATACACTTTTAATCCCTTGTGGATGGTAAGACCTATCGAAATGACGAAAATGAGGTTTAAAAGTTTATTTATTTATTGAGTTTTTTTAAACAAAAAAAAAAGAGGATGATCGATCATGTAAGAAATTAAAGTTCTTGGTAGGATCTTAGAGCCCTGTAAAGACCTCCTTTGAATCGTTCGAGTCGGATATTGATTTTTTAAAGTTTCATTGAAACCGAACTGAGATTTCAATTTTTCTTAGAAATCACCCCATAATTTTTTATTTTCCTCTAATACTTATAATTTACCCACTTTAATTCATATATTTCCTTTGTTTTTTTGCTAAGTTGGACTCTTATTTAAAGTTATGTAGTTGATTGAAAATATTAGTTCGAGCTGTGCTGGATTGAAGTGTGGAGGGGGGGGGGTCTTGTAGTTTGGATCAAAAAATCACATTTTATATAAAATAACGTATATAGCTAAAAGTTTCAATGCCAAATACAATATTATTATCACAAGGATAATAAAAATGCACTTTTAGAAGGAGGGGGGGTTTAAATGATTTTAAAAGACTTAACAAAGTAAAGAAAGAATTTAACTATTAGTCGGATGATTATTATAGAATCCTCACCCTGTAATAAGTGTTTTTCCTAAAGAAATCTACATAAAGATCACACGAGTGGATTTTATAAATAAAGCTAGAATGGGATAGATCGGCAAATTCAGGAGCATTAAATTTCAATTGCATTTTTTTTACCTCTTCAAGATTATTTTACGAGTTAGAAAAGATTAAAGATGAAAGGGTGCCAAGATCATTAAATAATTCTTGGGTAAAAATTCTTAGCGGAGGGGGGGATAGAATTAGATCCCTAAATTATGGTTAATGTTAGATACCGCTAAAGACAGTGTTGAATGAATCGGTATTTTTATATTTTTCGTTTGGGTCATCACTGCCACATATGGTTTATAATATATATTACAAAACTCCTCGTTTTTAATAAACGTATCTGGCCTGATCGGTAAGGTGAGAGCTTGGATCACTAATCCGATAAATATGGGATTTGAATCCAACAAAGACCGATTTGTTTTTCCTGAAGCCAACTAGGTGGTTCCCTGCTATGGGGTACTATATATAGTAGAATCGGAAGTGATGAATTCTATCTCTTGATATATAAAAAATGAATCTTATTGATTGGTTGTTGTTTAGAAAATTGCTCTATGTTGACGTGGCAGTATAGCATTAACCCAGAATGATAAGATTTTAACCATCTATCGATCGATGGAATTTTGCTCGAATTTTTTTAACAAGAAAAAAATGTTTTATTAAATGAATATCAAAATCAAAAAAATAAAGAGTCACGTGGAACGCTGTGTCGGCCATTATGTGCGAGCGAAGCTTAGTTTATTTCAAATCTATCAAAAGAATTAAACCAGAATTCCTTTTAAACACATCACGGTTTTATAAAATTATCAAAGAATACGCTAAGCCAGACGTTTTAAGTTTATTTCTCTTTTTTTTTATTTAAATTTATATTTTTTTTTTCTAATCCCGCAATTTTTAAGATTGGGGATGTTTGCTATAAATATTAGGCAAAACCAAATTGTTAAAATATTTTTTTGCCAACAAATGTTATTATTTAAAATAATGATTTATTCGAATGGTCGTACCAATTCACGATTTTTTTCCGAATCGATATATTTTCATATTCATGCAAAACCGATCTTTTAATATATACCGATCCGATATTTGGAATGATATTTTTTATTTACCACCCTATTTTAAATCAATGTCATAAAAAAATTATATTTTTATACGAAAAAATAATAATTAACTGTAAATGTAGGGGCAAAGCAAGAAGCACTTTAAAATTTTCCATTTCTCATGGCCGAGGCGATATTATGTTCATACTGTATTATGTTTATTTTATTCACCTAAATATTATTGTTTAAACGTCTATTTAGCTAATATAATATTACGGAGACCTCAAAATTTCGTTAATAAAGTGTCTAAACCTTTATGCCATCTATGAACAACACCTTTCAGGCTTGGGTAATATTTTTTGGCTAAATATTGGGCTAGCCGTTTAACAACACTACCACCCACCCCCTAATGTTACAAATCATTTAAAATATGAACGGTTGAATATGAATAACGATAATATCTGATCCGTTTTTTTTTGTTTTAAAATATTGCCATATCGGCACAGCCCTATTAATTAATCAAAATTATATATTGTAAAGATATAGAATTAATATGTATTTTATTTGTAATAATAACAAATAAATTTAGAAATTTCAAATGCCGATTTATAAAAATTTTTAAGTTAGTTTTAAAAAAAATCTTTAATTTGGTAGATATTCTTACTCCTCAGGGAAAATAAATCATATACATTTATATTTTTTAAAATAAGCCCAAATCTTGCCTCTCAATTTAATTTAAGCGTCCATTTATAAAAAAATTTCTCATTTGAATATTAAAAATAATAAATTATTATAATAAAAAATGAAATTAATATTTAAAGAATTATAAAGTATCTTTAAAATATAATTTTTTTGTAACCTTATTTTCGACATGCACCAATACTACCCCTTTAGCCGATATTAAGACCCAAAGATACTAGGACAGTATCGGTCGATAATAATAAAGTATCGGCCGGCACCCATATTTTTACGAATTTTTTATAAACATAAAACAGATAATATTATAAGCTTGATTCCTGAAATTTTAATAGACTTTATAAGCCAATAGTTTTTTTTTCTTTAATATGATTGTAGAATGAGAATTTATTATTTTACACAATCGGTATATTTTAGAAAAAAAATGTTTAAATATTTTTTATATATAGAAATTCTTATCGATACATACATACGTTTTAAATTCTCTCCCGGGAAAGCGTTGTTACAAATTACTCAGAATTTTGACGTCTTTCCCCTCCGCGATGACGAATCTGATGGCGATATTCATATCCTAACAACTTTGAAATCATCTTCAGAATCTGAAAATCCATGCTCGTCGAATATTCTTCTTGATATAGGAGCAGACAAAAATGTTATAAAAAAATCGGAGATACCCATAAAACAGCTGATTATCGACATGAAACATGGGACTATACAAGGTAATTATTATATTTCTAAGTATGTGGCAAGACATGCGCTATCCTGGGGGCAAAACAATATGGACACTTTACCTTCTTTAAGAGAGCGCTCAAAAATTTATAAGATCGCTCTGCGTTAAGTTGACGCCACTGAATTTTATTCTGTTAAATTATAATACAAATTATGTTAAAGTTTTATTAATATGAATTTTACCATTTGCTATTCATATATATTTTTTTTTAAATTTAAAAATGGCAGGTGCCACTACTGAACCTTTATATAACGTCTACGATATTTCGAGTATTATAATATCCGGAGAATCGAATTTTAAACGTATTTTGAATTTTCAAAAAATTTCGCTTGAAAATTTCCATGTCCAATTCGACAATGACGATGACAAAAAAAATACTTTTCAAAATGATAGTGGCAAAATATCGAATTCTCTCTCTAAAAGTGTCGACAAATATAAAGATATCGATTCTATACCCAAACTCGTTGCCAAACTTAAATATGTTCCTAGGTTTTCGAGATGTCAATTAGCACCTGTTCTCTCGCGTTTTTTGGGCCAAGACGATTCTCTATCAAACATAAATGTGATTTTAGACCCAGGTTCTTCTTACTCCCCCCCCCCTCCAAACTAAAAAAGATAATTTGATATATTTTGTACCAGTTTTTTCATTATTATTTAATCAACTATCATAATTTTATTGAATTTATTTATTTCTTTTTCTGGCGTTTAATTTCAAATAAATCACGGACCCGGTAGTTCGAGCCGAAACCCGAAATTTGACTTGAACCCAAATATTAAAAATCGGGTTCAACAATTTTTTTCTTAGAATTTCTTACTAATTTTTTTAATTATCGTTTATTAACATGAATAAACATCCATTTGACAAGAAAATATTAAAGTGATTGTGGAATATATTTTTTGCCAAATTTTTAAAATAAGGATAGAATTGAAGTTTTAAATAATAATGAAATAAGATACTTCTGTTTGATAAATTAGCTTATGAACTTTTAAGATATGATTAAAAAAACTTAAAATCTATATAAGTTCCAAAAAAACGCCTCTTAAAAATATTCCACCCCCCCCCCCACCTGTTCTTTTTAAAAATATTTTTCACCCACTCGTTTCCAATGCTAGATTTATTTTTATAGTTCGCTTGAATCATAAGCCAAAACTAGCCCTTTGAATACCTCTAAATCTGATAATTGTTTAGTTGAATTAAAAAGAAAAATTATTTGTGATATCTTATAAAGGTGTACATCTAGTCAGTCCAATGGTTATTAATGTTTGTATTTTGACCCTAATCAGTTGAAATATAAAAATGTTTAGAAAAAAGTTGCATGTTATTGTTTGAAATGATCGGCCATTCTTACCTAAGAAATTTCTACCCGAAAAGGTATATATCAAAAAGAAAAATATTGGAAATATTAGAATCGCTAAAAAAATCAAAATGTTTCGGTGTAATCGACATTCTCGGTAATGTATGAAATAAGGCCAAATTAAAAAAAACAAAAATATTCAATAATAACTATCGAGAATATTTAAATGTCAAAAATAATAAAAACAAGTATGTAATGTCGCGACCCTCCATTTTAATATGGACTGAACGGAGCTACGGTCAACTAAATATTCAAAAAAACTGAGTGATCCTTTTTTTATATAAAAATCGAGATTTCATTTCCAACACTAAAATGTTTAGGATGTTTCCATAGTCCTAGCTACCCTCACTAGAGGTCGAGCTTGTATGGTTGGGGTTGTTTAGGCTCCGCCCCTCTAACCTTATCTACTGAGTACCTTTCTGTCTATTTTTTATTATTAAACAATTTATTAAATATTAAATTTATTTTTGTAAAATATTTTTTTATAGATAGTAAACGTATCGGCGTTGCCCAGCACAAATCTACCCACTTAGGCTCTCGTAAAAACGATCCCTATTGCTATTATTCTGCCAGAGTAAAAAGACTTTTGATGTTGGAAGGAGCGGATGAGAGAATTGAGCAAAATGATCTAAAATATACGTTCACTCATCTCATTCAAGAAGCATTTTTCGTCCCTTTTAAACTGAAGATTCGCATGAAAAATGAATGTGTCAAGGAACGTTATAAACACAGATGGGACTTTAGTTTTTTTTAAACATATTTAAATTTATATTTTTTATTATAATTAGAAATACTTTGTCTACCAGATTGAGGAAATAAAAAAGAATATATTGCCTATTCCATAAAAACATTTTAAAAAAGAGGAGAATTAGGCTCCCAGAAAATTTTATTATATGATTCGTAAACTTCAAATCGAACAATTTAGTATTCGTTTTTATACGAATAATGAATAAAATTTTTTTTATAAAAATAAAAACTAGATTTTTTGGAATATTTAATAGAACAAAACTAACAAAAGAAGATAAAATTTAAATCTTTTATTCCATAATCGTACTTAAGTTATAATTAATAATCAACAAAATTTCTTTTTGGTAAAAAACAGACATTCCTTAGTTCTCTCTTTGTTCCTTCTTTTAATAATGTGCAATGTTTGAGGAATGTCATAAATTTTTGGCCTATAAAATTTGACTCCGACAATATATATAAAAGAGAAGCCCTATTGGTGGTCCGCAAAAGGCAAAATCTCTTCAGGTCCGGTAAGAATTTAGGTTTTGCCTGGCCCGAGCCGGTTTCAATTTTTCACTAAGGTTGCCCGGCATCGGGTTTTTAAAAATCCGATCAGTATATTTTAAATTATTTGCAGTTGAACGTCAAAATGAATAATTATTTATAATATTGGGGAGTTGTTAAATTAAAAATACAATACTTTATGTAGTATCACTTATTCAAATAATCAGAATTCATATATAAGTCTAAAATATGTCCTATTTATCCCAATAATAATTTAACCGTGTTTTGAGATTAAATTAAAATAATATAAAACCTGATAATAATTTTAAATCCAGGGTTATTTATTTTGTAACCCCCTCCCGTTATATTCTTTCCCCGCCCTTACATCCCCCCCCCCTCCTCACTTATTATTAAATGAACATAAAGACTGCTATATCACAATTAATATGGAAAATTCCAATGACGTTTAGGATTTAGCAAAAAATGTAAGAAAAAGAAATCATATTTTTATGAATTACTGGTAGCAGGTCATAATTTAATTATGAAATTTATAAGGCAATAAAATAAATTATTTTAGCAAAATTAGGCTTTAGAATGACTTTCTTTATATACTCTTATCTCTATTAAGCTGAGCTGGCCGGATATCTCTACCTTTTGCCCCATCCTACCAGTTAATTTTTTGCTCCAAAAAATTTGGTTCAGGTAACGGGTCAGGCCGGATATTGCAGACTACTGAGCTCTATTATTTCCTCTCCTTTATGATTACACAATCTTAACAAATTTTATAAAAAATATTTTTAACTTGGTTTTAGAAAATAAAAAGAGTCATTCATATCACAAACAAAAAAAATTACAGTGGCTTTAATAATTTTTTATAAATTTAATTAGGAATATTTGCCTTCTAATTTATAATTAACAAGTGAAAGTTTACGAATCATACGATATTTGCCCTCTAATTTATAATTAACGAGTGAAAGTTTACGAATCATACTAAAAATTCTTACTAATATTTTTTAGTATTCATTATATTACATGATATGTTATTCGTAAATTTCAAATCGAATCGTGTTTCGGATAATTTTTGATATGCCTAGCCACAATCAGTCTTATTTTGGAAGACTTCTGATATTTAAGTAACTTTTTTTTTAATTTAGGAATACATATTTAGAGTTCCGCTACTTAAAATTTTCATATTTAGAGAAAACCGGTAAGTTATGGAAGGTGTTGCCAGAATTTTCCGGGAATACTTTATAGTCATAATGACATTTCATCTTCATGGAATATGTTGAATATTTAAATCCGAAAGTAAACTAGAACCTGAATTTTTTTGATTTCAAGACTGCCTCCACAACTGATTTACTCTTTCTAAGCAATAACGCATTAAAGATGTAACCTGTCCAAACAAAATACTAAGGGCAGTTGTGGCTTAACTCATTATTTGCTTGCTAAAAGTAAATCAACTTGGGACTAAGGATAAATAGAACTAGATATGAGGGGCGTTCACCGACCCACTATTTTTTTATAAGAAACCGGACCGGAAGTGGAACGAAAAAAATAATATTCTATGTTCCTGTATCCCCGATTTAAAATAAGGATAAAAATAATATTAAAGCCTTGGCGGAGAAGATCGATATGTTGATTCCACTATTAGGGTTCGTGAAATATGAGAATTATGTTTTAGCTTTGCATCCAGACTTCGACGTTACGCAAGGTTTATTACTATTTTATTATATTAACTACTCGCATATATTATTTTTAACATCGCTCGCTAATATATAAATGGTTATTTCCCATCCTTTATTCGCCTTTTTTCCCCGCTTTTGACATTTATATTTTTCTGGGTCATAGGAGCTAAAAAAAAAATTTTTTTTTGGATAAATTAAATATTTTTGGGCTGTTTCGAGCATTAAAGTTTATCGACTTCTTTTAGGGGCCGTTTTACCTAGGTTTTTTAAACCAAAATAAGAAGAGTTTCGAAATTTTTGATCACTTTTTTTTGAATAAGCGGTTATTAAAAAAAAATATCGCTTTTCTCGCAAAGTTAAAAAAATTCTATTTAGATTACTACGTTGGAAAAAGGCGGGGATTAATAAGTGAGCTAGGAGGGCCTTTTAAAAATAAGAAACTATAGATAAAACTGCGGTGAAACCTTTATAAAGTGTTATACTATGCTTGAGTGACCACACTACGAAGCTTTCACTATATAATTATATTTTATTTTGCACTTTTTGAGCCCTGTTTTTTTTCATCATTTAAAGCATCGAAACTTGATATTTTATTTTTTATCTTAATGAATGTAAAATATTTAGATATAAAATGATTACATTTAATCAAGCTTGGATTTTAATAATAGTACTAAAGTTTTTTTTATTATAAAAAAAATCTACCTAAGTAATTAAAAATGATGATCCGACTATCGATCCATTAACTTACGCCGATATATTGAAAAGTATCTATCTAGATATCGACACGAGTGGCCAGAAAGGAGTGTCTGAAAAAGAATTGCTAGGAAAATATGGAAGCGACCATCTTATATCTAACACAAGTTTAATAAAATATGTTGTAACTATTAATACATACTTTAGCTCCATGACCTATCCGAGATTCATACAGACATTCCTTAGGGAGTTTTCAGACTGGATCCTGATTCTTATGCTGATTATACTCACACGAATTTTTTTTATAAAAATTATATTATTTTCTTGGTACTTTTATCTTTTATTATATATTATTAAAATTTCCTCAGCGCATGTTACTTTTTCGCCTTTTCTCTCTTACTCCAATAGTTTTCCTATTTTTAGGATCAGGTCTTTGAAAAATAATCCTATCGGGCTGATAAAAATATTTTTAATATAACTTTTTCTCGGACCGGAACGGATTTGAGTTGGTCGGAATCTGATACGGGTTCTAACCGATGGCATAATTTGAGCAAACTTGGTCATCCCGGGAAAGAATGTTAGTTTTTAATACCATGCTTAAATTATACAGATATTTATTGTGAGCAGTTATTTTTTATAGTTAGATGACACCCTTTTTTTTATAATTTGTATATTTTAAATTGTCATTTTGGAATTTGTCCGTACTTTAAATTAAATAAGGACACAGTGTATGTTAGCACTCTAAATGTTTGGTCGAGAAGGATAGTTAAAATTTTACATCTTTTTTTTGGATGATAGCTATTCCTCCTTTAGTGATATAATGTTTTATCATCACCGATTGTTACGAATATATTATAAATTGCCTCTAACCCCCTCTTAAAATAAAATAAAATAATCAAATAAACATTCAATCTTAGAAAGAAAGAAAAGAAAGGAAAAAAAGAATTGTAATGCTTTTAAAATAAGGAGGAAAATTATTAAAATATGATTAATTGATTTATTACTTATTCCTTTTTATGAAGAAAGAAAGGTTCCTGAAATACTTCATAAATTAATTCATTCCGGATTCGTATTCATGGTTGGAATAATGGAAGTGACATACGTTACCTTAAAACACATATCCCATTGGAGTATCGACATAACGCAAAATAACTCCGAAAATTTTCTAGTTAAGAATTTAGAAAATTATATCGATTGCTCTATACTCTTCAGGTATATTTATATAAATGAACTACATATATGCATAATAATGGCTCAACTCTAGGAATGGTCAAATAAACGAATTTTTTTAATTGGTTGAAATATAATATAACATTAAACAAGTTATATGAAGGAAAGAGTAGGATTAAAAGATAAGGGTATATGGGTTAGAATTAATTGATGGTTTGAGCATATAGGTTAAGGTTAAGATATATAAAATAGTTTTTGATCAAAAATTTATTCATTTTTATTAATAACTTGTCAAATCTGACAGTTTACGTGATTTTAAATAGACATAGAAATTTAAATAAAGCTGCTGTTGTGACGGCAATTTCCTTGAGTTGGACCATTATCATTATACATGAAGTTAAAAAATAAAACATTCATGAAAAGTCATTCAATTTTTGAGTTTGGATTGATTTATATTGAGTAATTTTTGAAATTTTTCTTTGTGTTTAGAAATAAAATTTTTGATTCCTCATTTAGAAACTTAAAATTCAAAATAAAATATACTCCATGAAAAGTTATTATATCAGACTTAGACTCAAAATTTTATCTTTGGCCCGAGTCATGCCTGAAATGTAAATCCCAATAAAATAATTTATTTTCTGATCTGGGCTCTATAAGGCCCAAATTGAGTGAGTTTAATCTAAAAATTTAAATTAAACTCATATTTTATATGTATAAAGGTTTAATAAGTTAAGATTTTTTTAAAAAATGACTAATTCACTTTTTCCCAAATCATAGAGAATTTTAGCACTCTATTTAAGATAATAATCTGTTTGACTTTTTTTTGAAATTAACTGTTTGCTTAGGGTATGATTAAAAAGGTCGCCATATATGGGATAGGGTAATAAAATTTGGTCGCTGTTTGATTAATTGCTATATATTGTCTGACCACGTGTGCTTTATCATTGGTTGAAGTTTTACTTAAATCTGTTATTGGCATGTCCGATTATTTAACTGTCATATAATCTATCAAATCTGACAGTAGGATATATAGCATAGCACACATCAATTGAAATGTTATAATTTTTATCTTACATTTATATACTTAAAAGCTTTTTACTTCATACCTCATTGTTTTGAGAAATAAAAACTCACTGAAACCTTTAATAATCCACTCAATCGCCCCAATTTTTTTAAAAAAAATTTAAGTCCAGTCCAAACTAAATACTACGCTTTTAAACACTTATATTTAAATCTAAAAAATAGCGCTATATTTACCTCATCTCTCACTCAAAACCGGTCAAATGAGGTTTCATCCATAACTATCCCCAAAATTTGCAAATTTGTGAGTCAACCCTGGCTCGACACTGAAACACTTCTACCGCCTTTAGTTATCACCGAAGATCCGGACACCAAGCTTTATGACACACCTTGTTTTTCTTCGGATCCTGTTAATCGGGTATTTATAATTTTTTTTAAAATATATTATATTTATAAATATCAGAGTTGTTAATAGATACTTTTTAAGTGTATCTAGATTAATACTTTTTAAATATGTCAAGGTGTACATACGTAGTCTAAAGATTTATCTGGATATAAATATAGAATTATATAAAAGTGTATCAAGTTACCGATACCACATTTTTGTATCTAGACTAGATACATTAACAACTCTGATAAATATAAATGAAATAACCAATCATAAACTTGTACTCGGTCTTATTTTTTGTTTAAATAATATTTTTATTATTTGTTTTCAATTCCTATGAGCTGGCAAACATTCTAAATCAAAGTTTCACCTGACTTATCTTTTCAATTTTAACCTATATCAGTGACCGATACCCAAAATAGTAATTAATCCTTATAAAAAAAATTCTTAAAAATTGACCTAATTAGGTTAGGTCATTTTTTTATATGTAAAACATAATATCGAGGTTGCAATTTTTTCCTAAATAGATAAGAAAAAAAGAAGGATAACGTTTTAGAGGTAAATTTAGGCTAATACTGTTTATTTGAAATGCCCTAATTATTTTACTTTTCATATTAATAGCCATCATAAAAACCGATATTAACCCTTGTGTCCTGCTATATTAATAACAAAAGATAGCTTTGATAATTTTTAAAATTTTTATTGCTTATATTGAATTTCCTTAAAGAGGAATAATAAACATTCGAGAAAGTAAAATTACGACCACAAAGCTACATTAGAATTCGAAGGGACGTAGGACTTAAAAAAAATATTTTTTTCCTAGAAATTAAGGACTGAGGAAAAAAAATCCTATAATACTTTCAAATAAACTTAAAAAATTTGTTGGGATTATATTTTCTTTATAAAAGGGAGCATTATCTATAGTTGGTATATGAATAAAACGGGATGCCTTGCATCTTAGAATGTGTATAGGAACTTTGATTTTGTCAAATTTTGTTAAAGTAATATATTTACTACATTTTGGGTAAATTAAGGGTTAATGATTATGATAACCAAGTGGTGGGTTGATATTGTGATATTATTTTTCAGAACTCAATAAAATCAACTATGATTTATAATCACGCTATTAAGAGTACTTAAAAAGTAATTCCTGGTTTATCTGGCTTATTCTAGGCTGGCAAAATAATTAGTAAATTTTTCTCTGTCTTGGCAGCAGCTTCTATAACATAATTACCAAATTATTATTAACCTTAAAAAAGCTATATACAAATCTAAACATGATCATAATTCATGATCCAATGCACGGCATAACCTAAGATTATTTTTGTTTTAATTCTGTTATGCTTTTTTTTTCAATGTAAAAATTTTAAAAAAACTCTTTTAATTTTTTTGTTTTTTATTTTTAAATAATTTTTGTTTGGTTTATTTATTTTTAAATATTTTGTTAAGTTTTTTAAATATTTTATAACCCGATTTTATTATAGATCAATTAATAAAATATATGATAATTTTAAAAAAATCCAAAATTTATAAAAGCCGATCTAGCCAATATAAATTTATAAACCTACATGAGCCAATATAAATTTGTTACAAATAACCGAAATAAAATTGAACCGATTTTAAACTAAGAACAGGAATGGAATCGAGCCCTTATACCTATCTATTCGACATCTTATAAAATATGATGATTTTATACAGGCACCCGAATCGTAAACGAATATCAATTCGGTTCAAATAAGAGGAAGTTTTGACACCTTAACTACTGATGCACTCTACACTATAGTTATATTCTTAAATGGTCCTCTTTTATTATGCTATATAATTACTCCTATAAATATTTTTAAATCAAAAATTACCAAAAATCTAATTATATACATATATATTATGACAAGATTAAATGCCACGATTTCACCTCCATTATTTCCAACTTCGTTTTTTGGTACGATTTGGTCTACCGAGCCGGCTGCCTCCCGATGCGAGAGCTATTGATCCAATCTTCGGTCACTCTGACCCCTTCCAAATTGCGTTATTTGTTATCGTTTCTGGTTCAAGCCCGCTTTTTAGCCATACGACCCGCTCCGATCATTCATAGTTTTCCACTTAACCCGAAAATTAATCCCCTGTGTAGCAATAAGCGACCCATATTTCGCCTAACTGATTCTGAGGGAGAACTCGAATTTGAAAGGAATGTGGCAGAGATGTTTGAAAATCGAGCGAATAGATGGGAAGCTCAAATAAGGGATCCACTCTACGGGTTGAAAGACAATGATTCGTTTTACGTTTGTGATGTGACAGTCTCACCCATCGATGCCTTAAAGTTTTTCTTCCGAGGGCTTGTCATGAAAATCGATTTTGGGTGAATGGAAAAATTATAATTTGAAGGGTAATGTCAAAATAACTATCAGTATTTTCGTCTTATGGTCAGAACGTAAAGTGATTGACAATCATTTACTATCATTCTTTGTTTAATATCATAACATTGATAGAGTTTGTGATTATTTATTATCAAACAAAATAGCTGGCTATTTGAATATATATTATAATTTTAAAAAAAAACAAAACGAAATTTACAATCATTTTATATTTTAGATAAGTCTAATAAATCCAATAGAATTATGGAGTTTAGCACTTTGGTTTTTTTTGTGAGGGCTAATTTAATTTTAATATCATTATAATTACTTTTTTTCTGGATATCATGATTATTATATATAGTCTAATAATACTATTGCCAGAATATCGAAAATTATACTAAACTTACATTTTGTTTAAAAAATATATCTCTAGATCGCAATAAACTTTACTCAACTCAGGAAAAATGCACCGTTTTCAAATTGGGATGTTATAAATTTTGCATTCTATAATTATTTATGAGTGGATCGAACTGAATAATGATTATATTTTTTATTTGCTTTTAAAATTTAATATTTAAATATAATGTAAATAATTAAATAAATTATATCAGATCTATATATTATTTGAGTCGTAGGGGAGATCGGGGCATTACGCCAGGTGTGGTAAAAAGGGAAACGTCTTTAACGTTATAAAGATATATTTCTATGCATACTATCTAAATTTACCATATATTCATTTACTAGCGGGAACTTCTCATTTAAAGATTATTAATCACAAACGACTTTTTCGTACTTTTTTATTTAGTGTTTCTTGTTTTGAGAAAAAGTACCCTCACGAATGTATGAAATTTATAAGATATATTCATCAATATGATATCCGTTTTAAACAAATTCTTCCACTATTTTTCAAAGAATCAAATAGTAAATGCAGAGGTTCCCATAGACATTCGATATTACAAGGGACTATATTATGTAAGATGGTTGGAAATTCATTAAATATATATCGACCCAGTGATATATATTACTGGATTAACGATTCATTAATTTAAAGCGTACATACATAGAAGCCATCTGTACCGTCACTTTCTGATTTCCACGTTGATTCAATAACAATTGCCAATCGAGTAGTATGTAATATAATTATATTGACCTTATTTACTTTTTTTTATTTTTGTAAATATAAAGTGCAAATTTATTTTTATTATTATAATATTTTATCTAAATTTTGTAAAGATTTTTATTTGTACTTTCATTTTAAGGTATGCCTAAAAAAATTAATAATAAAAATTTAGAATAATTTTAACCCTTGGCAAATAAGGTTGAAAAGTTAGATCATAGTCTTTTAGACCACAAATATTTTTGGAGCTTAGGAAACCGGGGCCTAATGTATTTTCATAAAAAAATAGATGAATAAATTTGACATAATTTTTATTCTTTACATATATATCTAAGCTTTTTATGGCAAATAAAAAATATTACAATAAAAGCGATTATCATTATGTATTCCAAAAAAAACGTTAAAAACAAAATAGAAATTAAGGAAAGATATTAAATAAATTTGATATTTGTGTGCGATGTGAATTCAGGAAATTAATAAACAAATTATATTGGATACTACAAATTAAATAAGAAAAGGGGATTTATAAAAGTTGATTATGATGGATTATTTATTGGTTAGGATGAAGAATTTATCTGATACAAAAATCTATTGATGTTAAAAATATAATGAATTGATATATATGAAAAAGTATATACGTCGAGATTCTTCAATTTTAATTATACTGATAGTCTATATTCCACGCTATTTCTTAAAATATTTCTCACTAAATCTTTTACAAATTTTTAATTTAATCGAAGCGACATACCCCTCAGCCAAATAATATTCTACTTTTCCAATCAGAGCTCTTTCAAGATGTTTTTCTTGTTTTTTTAAATTTCTTATTTAATATCAATTAAATCAGATGGCTTGATTATCAATTATGTTATAAAAAAACATGATTCATGGATTCTAAATTGTCAGTCAATAAATCAGTTATAATAGTATTTCTTAAGAAAAGAGATATACACATAATTTTCAACACTTTTTCTATTCTTTTTGTTTAAAATATTATTTGTCAAACATCAAAGAGTGATTAAGCCAATCAAAAATCTGAAAGAGATGACAAAATTAGGCAAATCTTCATTACAAAAAGCAAAGCGACGTAAAAGGCACGAATAAGTACAATCGAAGTAGCCTTATAAATTTTAAAAACAAGCATCATTATTTAATTTTGTTAAAAATTTTCTTAAAATTTTAATACTAATGAATAATTTAAGCAATTTATTCAAATTTAGAGCTAGCTTTCACAGAGTACATCCGTACGTGGATAAAGATAATTGTGTAATTAATCATAAATTAAATTCAAATATATACTTAAGATATTATTAGTATTGAGTAGTTAATCATTTTTTTAAGATTGTGTATTAAGGCGAAATGGGTTTAATATTAATGTAAGTCATTTATTAAGTAAAAAAAATGTCAATATATTGGAATAAAAAGGTATAAATCCCTCATTTCATGGTTGAACATGGACGAGGTAAGGTAAGGATTATTTAAAACACCTTCTGTATATATATATAAATAAAGTATTTATATCAATTCAATTTTATGTAATAAATTCTAAAAGAGCAGACCAGAAAGAGTGTCAATGACAAATACTATCAACTTCAAATGTAAAATTGAGGTATTGTATTTGTTGTTTTCCCTTGTAAATAATTTGCATTTTAAAGCATTTTTTGCTTTTAGTACAATACCAAGTTGTTATGGACCGTCTAGTCCCAATTTATCCAAACACAAACAATTAAACGTAATTTATTATTATAAATCGAATATATATTTAATAGTTATGGGAAAAATTAATTGGTATTGGGTACGATCAGACATAGTTAAACAGCTGATAAAGTTTATAAAATCTTGTAATTGAGAATGGTTTTACTTATTGATCTTAATTTTATCTTTATTTTCAATTATAATAATATTTTAAGGATTTTCGATGATCTGTTAAATAGCGTCGAGTTACTAAGAATTTCGTCTAAAGTAAATTTATACTAATTTAATTAAAATAAATAGTTTATTTATTGAGTGCTCTCTTATATATTTAAAAAATCTGTTTTTTTTTATGCAATTATTCATATTTATTATTATAAACAGTTTAATTTATATAAAATCTATTATAATAATTATTTATAATTGTAATCAAAATAAAATGCTTATAATATAAATACATTATAAATGAATGATTAGATTGATTAATGATATAATTCAATAATCATAATTGTACAGGAAAAAATCAATTTAATTCATATAGAAATTAATATTTGAGAAAAGAAAATTTTTTTTATATATAAATGATTAAAAAAACCACATATATTTCTTAATCTGAGAAAGAAATAAAAAGATCATAACAATGAATGGAAGGAGAAAAAAATTTAGATCATTCCGGCTTGCTAGGGATGAATATTAAATTTGATTTTATAATCAAAATTTCTAAGCTTTGACATTAGTAGACGTCTTTTTTAGGTCTCATGATTGAATTCTTATGGCTCTGCCAAGCTTTTTAATTAGGTTAAGAGCCTGGCTTCCAAGGGATGTTATGGTTGTAGTGACAATTGGTACGATGATTTTCCCTGTAAATTTTTATTTATTTATATCAATATCTGATCTAATCACTCATTTATAATGTATAGTCATATTATTTAATTTGTAATTAATATGTTTTCATTTATAAAAGTTATTATATAATATGTATATTTATTTTTTATAATATTTTCTTATTATGAAAGCAAATAAAAATTTATATATATATACTATTTTAGAATGTTCTATTCTAATATAACAAATATCAATACATTACATGAAACAAATTGATAATTATTATATCTTTATAAAACAAATGTTTTATTTTAAATGTGGTTTCTTAAACTATTATTTATAATAATTTAAGAAAAATTTAATAATATAAAATCATTTTTATCATCTTTATCTAAAAGTTCATGTATAATCTTAATCAACAAAATAAAAAATTTATAAAATTATTTTTTTTTAATTTTATTTAACTATTTTAAAAAGATGGCGCTAAATTGCTTTATATTAAAAAACATTTTTGAAAAAAAATCGATTTGAGACCGGAGATAAAACTTGTAAAATAAACTTATAGCGTTATTGAAATAATGCGTTGAAAACCCTGAAATGATGATGCATGAACTGTTAATTTCAATATATCCTTTTTTTGACGAGGAAGTAGAGGATGGATTGAAGGAGGATTAATTATTTCAATTTTTTGAAGCAAAGGACAAAACAATAAATGTTTTTAATAAATTCCCCACGTTAAAAGAGTTGTTTATTAAGTATAATACTGCAATCCCCTCATCTGCCCCAGTAGAACGCATGTTTAGTATAGCTAATGCCGTATTAATTGCCAAGCTTTCATGTCTATCCCATGAAAATCTTAAAAAACAATTGTTATTAAAAATTAATAAGGAAATTTTTTTTATAAATAATATCTTTTTATTCGCTATATAATATTGTATTTATAATTATATTATCAAATAAAACTATATTATTTTAACATGGCTAATATATTGTGTTAAAAAATATAAGACATTTATTTATATTAAATTAAATTTAAAAAAAAATTTATCATAAAATTTTGATTTGAACAATTGTGAACGCGTTCCTTTTTTTTGAAAGTGAACTTGTAAACATTTTTTTTGTCAAGGAATGTAAAATGCGTTTGATTTTTTTAGAAATGTTTATAGCACTAAAATGATATCGATTGAAAGCATTTCATATTTTTGATATATCTTTAAAATCCGCTGTTTTGGTCTAGACAACTATAATTTCTCTCCCTTTTTAATAAGATTTTTTATTTTATTTATTTTATTCCCCATCTACTTAATGATACTAGCTTATGTAGTCCATTCCCCAAAGATAAATGATGGTAATATTCCCCTAGACGAACACTTTTCTTTACATTGGGTCGTGCATCAGTAACCATTTGAATTTTCTTAGACCCTAAATTGAATTTATTTTCAATTTTATTTATCTTTAAAAAAATAGTTTCAGCGATATGTTTTTGAGTGACATGATGCAGGGCCAATGTAAAAAATGAGGTATTAAAATTATTATATATTTTAAGAAATGTAAAGCTAATGTAATTTCGCCGTCCATATTTGTCGGGCCACATATCAAAAGTTATTGCAAAAAATAAAATCGCATTTTTTAATAATTTAAAATATACTTAATATTATTTCTTATTTACAAATAATATAAGAAATCAATATTATTTTTAATAGTAAAAAAATGTATCACATCGCCGCGCCACTATTTTTCCATCAGTAGCGGCGTGTTGAACGCTGACACTTTTATGGCGGCGTCGTCATCGTGGTCAAAATATACCGGCTTATTGGAGCGGCCACGCACAGATCTAAGTATACCTATGATATTATCATTCCGGATGATAGGAGAGGATTAAAATTAATTCGAATAAGAATAAGTTTTTAAATACATCTGTGGAACATCTCATTTTAACGTTTTAATATTTACTTATTTTTCCCTTTTTTTTTATTTAGGCTTTTTTTGCCTGAGATTCTCCACTTTTTTTTATAGATGAATTGTACTGCAAAATTAAAATTATGAATCTCTTGAATCCGTTATTTGTACTTTACGTTTTTTATATTTTTTATTTAAAATTTTAACTTCATTTTTAATTTTATTAATTTTAACCGTTATTTACTTTTTTTAAAAAACATATTTACGCGTTTCCTTTATTATTTACCATATTTTTATTCTCCTTTGTATTTTATTAATTATTAAATTTATTATTTCTAATTATATCGATCTATTTTCATTTATGAATTTATATTTATTACTTTTTAAAAAATTTTGAATTTATCATCCCATGAATTTCTGGAATTAAATTAAATATTATTTGATTGATAATCGCTTATTTCTTTTTTGTTCATTTCGATAGATATATGTCGATGAGTGCCGATTTTATTTTGTTAGTTTCTTTTTTTTATTATAGCGCCGTTTTATTCCCTTGAATTTTATTTATATCATAATTTCTCTATTTTTTATTTTTGCTCTGTGTTTTCCCAAATTTTTTATTTTTAATCAGACTATTCCTCGTCGCTTCTGTAACAAATGGAGTAAAAGATATTGAACTACATTTTCTTAGAAAATAATTTATAATTAAATTTATTACAAAGCATTCTATTCTAATATCAAATATTTGATATGTCATTGGTTTGCAGACGTTATACATAATTTTTTTTTTTTTTCAAAACATATTTTCTTATTTATCATAGATTTATATAAAACTATATCGTAATTTTAAAATAATACTTTGAACGTTAAAAGTAAAACTTATATACTTAATTTAAAAATATATATTAAAAATATCATGTAAACTATTTGTAAATTAAAATCTATATAAAAAACTGTATAATAAAAAAAATAATTAGTATACAAATAGTAAATAATTCCATTCATTCATTTATATTATTTAAAAAAAAATATTCAATGAAATGGTAAAATTATATTATATATAATAAAACTTATATATCCACTTAGTCTGAAAATATAGAAAATATTGATCATGATAAAAAACATTATTTTACAAAAGAACTTAAATGTATGATGTATGGTTTTGGTGATGATCAAAACCCATATACAGAAACTGTTGAAGTTTTAGAAGATATAGTTATCAAATTTATTCTAGAAACGGTATATTATTTTAATATAAATATAATTAACCTTATTATAGACTAAAAAGGCCTTGGAAATAGGCCGTGTGGGTAGAGTTCAAGTTGAGGACTTAATCTTTATAATACGAAAAGATCCTAGAAAATTTGCAAGAGTTAAAGATCTTTTGACAATTAACGAAGAATTACGTAAAGCCAGAAAAGCATTTGATGAGGCAAAATTTGAATTTAAATAATTTGAAAATGAATGCCATTAAACAAATGTTTACCATAAATAAAATGAATAACAAAAAATTTAGTTTTTTAGCATATTTTAGCTCATATTCTAACATACAAAATATGATTTTTTACCATAAACCCAAATTTTTTAAGTTAAGATCATGCTATTTTTGTTCTAACATTCAAAAATGCTGGAATTGTAAAAATGATGTTATATATAATAATTTATTCTTCTGTTTAAAATGTAACTCTATTTTACCTATTCCTAAAAATAAATCATACTTTGAAATATTTGGCTTGCCAAGCCCTAGTTTTGATATTGAAGCTTCAGAATTGAGTAAAAGTTATCGTTATATGCAATCATTATTACATCCAGACAAATATACACTAAAAAATACAAATGAAAAAGATTTGTCAGCAGAGAATTCATCGTATCTTAATAAAGCTTTCAGGTTTATAAATAATCAAAACTCCTAACTTATGTTTTTATTATTAGTGTTTTAAGTCAACCACTCTCAAGGGCTAAATATTTGTTGAACTTACTGGGGAAAAAATTTAGTGAAGATGATAAAATGAATGAAGATTTTTTAAATGACATTTTAGATGTAAGATTGATTTTCATATTTTAATTTATGTTTATCAGTCACCATATTTTCATTGCTACAATCAATTAAAAAATGGTTATAGTGACTAAGTAGGATTTTCTTAAGGTTGGTGTAAATCATTATGGGGGGGGGGGGGGGGGTATTTATTTAATCAAAATATTTTAAAACTCATTCCCAATATTTATATCGTTGACATTTTAAATGATTATTTAGTTAATCTCAAATTTTAATCAAAATTGATGTTTATAAAATTTATTTAATTTGAACCACAAAAGTATAGTAAATCAATAAAATTTTATGAACCTTAATATATATATCAGTGTCTAGCTCAGATTTTTAAATTTTCGGCCTGGTCCAGATTTTTAAAAATATTCCATTTATTTTTAAAACTAATAATTGCAATTTGAAATATTCGGTATAGAATATATGGCTTAGCCAGGGTATTTTTTTTAAAAAAAATTATAGGCCTGGCCCAGGTTTATTTAAAAAAATTAAAATACAGCTCAATCCATATATCCAGGCCTGATGGTCTCTGATATATATTAAATTCTCAAAATGAATCATTATTAAATAATAATAAACAAAGCTTATAGCATCCATATTCATATTAGTTTTATAATAAAATAAAGAATTTCAACTTATTTTCCTAATTTTTTTTATCAGATCAAGGGTCAATTATAAAATATTTATTAACTGGATCTATTTTTTTAAAAAAAATTAGGGACATGTTTATTTTGAAATATAATATGATTCAATTTTGTGAAATAAAAATAGATATTTTTTAAAATTTTTGCAAGGAAACTTTTGGTATAATAACAATGTCTAAATTAATAATAAAACAAAAGGTAATAGTAAAAATTTATATATTTTTTAATATATTCGGGCCAAGCAAAGAATTTTTATCTTATATTGGTCTTTTTTGGTCAAATAATAGGCCATGCAAATTTTCTAAAAAATATTAGATTGGATACAAATCAATAATTTTTTAAAATTTGTAAAGGCCAGAATCAATAAAAATTTATTCAAAAAATAACCAGAATGAAACAAAAGTGTATTAATATTTTAAGCTAAGAACTGGAATGGAACTGAACCATACAGAAAAGAAAATGAATGAAACTTGATAGGCTACTAAACCCCACCCCATAAAATTTTTTAAAAGAATATGAATCACATTTATCCCAAATTATGTATTTTTGGCTTCATTTATTGAATATTTTCATCTTAATATTCATGAATGTTATTCGAAAGTTGGGATTCTAAAGATTTGACACCCACAAATTTAAAGAGTCAGCAAATTCAAAGGTTTTTTTAAAAAAAGTTGGCATTAACTTTTAAATCTCTTTGTCAACTTTAATTTCTATAATATTTCTATTTTTATTAATAATTAATATAGATAAATCAAAAGTTAATTGAAATTGACAATAAATCTGATCTTAAGACAATGGAAACGGAAAATGAAGATAGAATAAACATGATTATAAAAGAAATTTCAGATAATTTTAACCAAAAAAATTTAGAATACGCATATCAAAATGCAATTAAACTTACATACTTTATTAATCTAAGACAAAAAATAAATGAAAAATACTTCATTCTCACTTAAAATATAATAACGACAGATTAATATTGTAATGTATACATCATTATTTTAATTTATATTTTATATAGTGATATAATTAAAGTATATTATAAATATAATACATGATGATTAAAAAAGCATATAATTTTTTTTTATCTAATAAACTAAGGATTGGGTAAATTAGATATACATTATATATTGGGGGGAAAGGCATAACATTATTATCTAAAAATATTGGGTTTATGATTCAATAAATAGGACTGATGTTATTTTATATATATATATAGCTTTATAAAAAATCTGTCAAGTCTAGTTCATTATAATATATTTATTATATGTTTGTGGTTTTATTTAAATTTTAAAAACTAATAAAAAAAATAGAATAAATAAAAAAAGTCATCCAAGTGTTATTCCAAATATAATCATACCAATCACTGAAAAAAATATTTTAATTTAAAAATAACTTAAAAATTTTTTTTTGTTAAATAGATTCACAAATAAAATATTTAATTCTATTAGATATAATTATAGAGAAATGAGTATAATAATTTTGCAAAAAATCTCATTTTGTTAAATAAGGAAGCCCAAAATGATGCGGAAAGAAGATGCTTAATAGAAAATGAGGGTAGTGTTTTTGGGGGGCCATAGTATTGTTGAGTTTTCAAGATAACCGGTTTATCGACAAATTTGGCACTTTGAGAAGGAAATTCGCATGGTGGCTTAGCCTCGAGCTCGAAAATTATTAAAACGTTTGATTTAGGGTAAGGTTGAAGGTAGATGCCCGGAACGTAGAGCGTGCGTTGAGGCCCTTTGTTGGTCCAGTAACGACCCAAGTTGTGATTGTTTAAAAAGACTTGACCCTGATGAAAAATACAAGGTATTTGTTTTATATAAAAAAAATTTAGAGGAAAATATTATATAATTGATTTAAAAATTTATAAAAAACCTAATCAAAAAAAAGGAATATTTTCTATAACTGATAATTTGAAGATTTGCATAATATAAATTATTAGGTCCAGTAGAGAAAAACAGTAAAATATTAAAGTATTAGCAGCTGCACGAATTCCAAGTTCATATTTGATCAAACTGATAAACTTATTAATTAGTATCCTAATTAGTTATATTTTTTTAAAGGGATGATGTTTAGAATATTTTTGAAACGTTTTTAGACTGCGTTTCTTATTTTTTTAGGGGGGGCTCCACACACGCTTAAAAATATGAATTTCATAAAAAACAGGACCTTTCAAATATAAAAATGGCATGCTATAAATGATCTAAGTTTTAAAAAATTTGGTGAAAACTAATATCAATAAAAGTAAGCCATGAATTTGTCTACCTCCAATGATATGTTAACCACTATTGGCCCTAGAAAATATAAATTTGCTTGATCAATCTAAAAGTTTAATCACGGGAGCGTCTCATTATATCGTATTTTTGTTCCATTTCGATCGACGAGATCATTATTCATATGAATTTTTTTTATTTCGGGCAATTATTCTAAGCAAGGAATTGTAAAATATATCAGATAATTATTCAGAACACTTTATATTGTACAGTACAATATAAGGAATTCTTTTTATACAGCAGACAGCTAATTTTAATTATAATTAAGAACAACTACATGATAGACACAAATTTTTCTTTGATGTTGAAATATATTTATTGATTACTAGATAAGTTAAACTGGGTTATATAAGTTTTGTGATCATTATAAGATGCATTAATTATCCAAATAAATGTAATCTTCTAGACCAGCCTGGAAGACATAAAAAATACTGAAACCTTATTAGAATTACAAAATTTCAATAGTAATTCAAGTAAATAAATTTTACATAATATGATAATAAATAATTAATAGTGTTCCTTTAAAATAGATACACATTATAACACAACATCAAAAGGAAATTTGTGTCTATATTATGAGAAATATAAAAAAAAGTATACTACATATTACAAATGCCGTCAACGTCTATGTTTGGGATAAGCAAATATAAAGAAGTTGAATGTACTTAAGTTTGTAATAAAATGAAAATCTTACGATTGTAATTGGTGTTGTAAAGTAACGGCGTTACCTTTATTGAGAATAAGGAACACCATTCATTACTTGTTTCAAAAGGTTTTTTAAAAATATTTTCTAGATTATGGCCAAAACGTTCAATATCCATTCTGGATTTTTTATATATCCATTAATCAACATAGAAATAGTGAAATAAAACTTATATACATTTCCATTATATAATTTTAATAGATTTTTAAGAACGTTCTGGACTCTCCCAGAAAGGAGCCAGAATATATATTTCTGTAAATTTACTTACTCAAAGGTGCGTTCTCGGACTTTTCAAAGATTCCAGGTCCCTAATCCTAATAAATTTTGTTATCAAATATAACTTCTACCAACTTGGGTAAACCTGGAAATCGCCATTAAATGGAGAAGAAGAAAAATAATCAAAATAACTTCACAAAATAAAGTATATAAATCAGCTGTGTTATATTAAATAATTGTTTGGAATTATCTGAAAAATTTTTAAAAAATTGACTGCTTAAGAATAAATTGCCTGACATAAAATAATGGTTATGAATAATGATCTCCATTTTAACCAAAATGGCTGAAAAATTTTAAGCTCAAAAGAGGTCATCCATAAATTCCTTGGAATAATTGTGTGATATATTTATAAAAAAATTCTCGGAATTATCTTATATAAAGAAATATCGCTTTTGCATGACATATGAATTGAATGACATTTTTTTTTTTGGTTTTTGAAATCATTCAATTTATATTTTGATTGCTTCACTTTATGAAATTTAAACTGAAATATAAAATTGATTGATTCATTAGTATAATATAAAATCAATGCCGTGTTGTAATTAATTTTATTACTAGACATTGGAAAAAAAATTGATGAACCTTGTTCCAATTCTTAAGGTCTAGATACGTATCGTTAGGAGTATCACCTATGCTAGGGGGTAAATGAAAATGAGCTGCGTAGAAGGTGGGAGGACAAGTGTTTCCTGTCGTATCCTTTTGTTCGTTCTCGAAATATTTCCTTTCTTTACTTTTGCCTTTTTTTAAAAAAATAAATAAATATGAAAGTATAAATAAATTAAAAAGAAAGTTTGATTTTGGGTTTTTTACTAATTATCTAAATACTATTGCTTATAATATAATATAATATAAAAGAGCATGTTAGTAGGGAAGGTCAAACGTCCATCCTTTCCATATGTAGTGTTGAATGTGACCACATCTTGAAAATAAAAGATGGGGTGGATGCTTGACCTTCCTTCTAATATTCATTTTCTCTAAAAGCTAAATCCTCTAGTCAATCGATTACCCAATATAAGTCCTTTTGATTTGTTTGGTGTGCTATTGGGATGATTTGATATAAATTCTATATCACCATGAAATAAATTATTTGTGGAGTTATTTTCCAGTGTGACTTTATCGGTTATTGTTTTAGTTAGTTGGTCAAATTCTAGTGGATATGTAACCTTAAATTATATTATAATGTATTTTAAATTAAAGTAAAGTATGGTGGAAACAATATCATGAGAAGTGGTATATATATTTAATTACATTTATTTATCACATTCATCTACTAAGTTATTTTATCAATTAATTTCGATTTCAAGTTTTCCTTGGCGTAATTTACCTATTATTTTCAAATTTTAGTGGCGTATTATTTATCTAAATTTCTAGTCAATAATAATTATCTCTGAAACTCCTTGTCCAACAGAGAGAAAGAAATTGCAAGCTTGCCCAACGAGATCGAGTCTCCGCTATCAAGCAGTAACAGCTTTTATGGAGTATGAAGAGCCGATTATAATGCTATTATTGAAATATCACAATGGTTGAAAGAAATATTTCCTCAAAAGGAAGAAAATTATTGGATTCAATACTTATTACAAATTTTTTTTTCTCATTGAATGTATTATTTAATTATACAACTATTTTATGTAATACTTTTCAAAAACATGACATTGACTTGATTAAGAAGGTGAGAATAGTGGAGAGCATTTTATTAGAACTCAAGGAAATTAGAACTAATGTTGATGAAGAATTTCATATTTTATATGTTATTGTTGAGTCGAAAGCAGAGCTATACGTGTTTAATATTTGCCCCCCCCCCCGACTTGCAGCAAGCAAGCTCATTGTCAAAACATTAATTTAGGAACAGTAGAAGAGTATTATAAAACAAATGGCCCCTCTCTTAGATACATTTATAACTCAAATAAATGAATGGTTTTTAATTCATCATGCAGCACTTACAAATCCGCAGATATTACTTCCACAAAAGCCTTACCTTTTTCAGATGGTGATGGAAAAAAAAAATATTTGTTAGATTTTTATCACGAAGATGTTAAAATATCTTATGATGCCTTATTAGCTGAATAACTATGATTAAAAGATTAACTATGGTTGATACATTCCCAAAAAATGCTATGGATGCTTTACATTATTTCAAACAAATTTTAGATTATATTCCCAATGTATTAAAATGGTTGTATATATATTAGCAACTCTTCCCATTAGTAAACTAATGAGAGAACATTCTCTTTAAGAAGAATAACAGAGCCCTGCAGAGGTACCATTTGCAGGGCACGGCCCAGATTTTTTTTAAAAATTTTCAGGCCCAGCCCGACTTTTTTGAAAATAAAATTTTCAGGCCTGGCCCAAATTTTTTTAAAATAAATTATTTTGATTTTTATAGCTAATAATGGCGATTTCAAATATACAGCTCGGCCCGGATATTTTTTTTTAAAAAAAATTCAGGCCCAGCCCGGGTGTTTTTTTAAAAAAAATTTTGGGCCCGGCCCGGGTATGTTTAAAAAAATTAAAATACGGTCCGGCTCGGAGGCCGGGCCTGCAAGTCTCTGAAAAACATACCTATGAAATACAACTTCTGAAAGTAGATTGAATGATTTGGATCTTGAATATTCATAGGCATTTAACGCCAAGCAAGGATAGATAATTGAAAAATTAGCTCAAAACATACAAAATACAATTATTCCTAAGAAACTTTTTATGTATTAATTTATATTTCCAAGATTTAAATTTTTTATACTTTATATATATTTTAAAGGCTCAAAAAAAATTCAAATTTCAATTTTGGGTCATTTAAGTGATTCATATCGTGGTTATATTCACTTTATATTTTATAATTCACATTTATTTTATAGTTTTTTAATGCCGGTTTATATATATAATTTTTTTGTAATTCACATTAATTTAAAATTGTGTATTAGAAAAATTATTAGTTTAGCCCCCTTATAAGTTTAATGATAAATTATGCATTAAAACATGAGATTTACCCAATCAACAAGCTTGTCGCCATTAATGGAGAATGATTCTAATCCCTTGCTATCGTTCATGAAAGGCCCATAACATATTCTCCCCTGGTTTTCTACGAGTATGTGAATATTTGTGTTCACTGGGAATGGCCATTCATCGGTTATGTACTCAAGAGTGTATGAATTAGACATACGATCCATTATTCCTACTACTATCTTAGAATTATATATTTTTTTAAAAAATTTATTATGTTTCGATAAATTTGTTAGAAATTTTGTCATGAAAAATATTAGTTTCATAAATTGATTAAAAAAGTGTTTTCTTACCCCCAAAATTATCCGAAATTGTTTGATGTGTTCAAAATAGTAACCTTGCATTCAGAGTTAGCGCGAATTGGAACTAAAGTATACAAAAATTAATGTAAAATTATTATATTAATATCATATTTTGCATACTTTACAGCGCATGCTAACTGAATGCAGGGTGATGATTCCAACATATACATAACTGGATTTTTATTGGATGAGAGCTATTTTAATATTTAACCTTTCTAACAATATTTAAGGCTATGGAAATATCTCAACAGTATTCAGATAAGTCAGAGATTGTAAGATCTAGTCCTGTGGTTTCATCCCAGCCCCCCCCCCTCCCCAATAATATTACCAAATAAAATTTGGTTAAATCGATCCATTTAAAAACAAAGCAAAAACCACGAATTTATAAAATAAAAACATTTCCATTATTAGTAAAGTTTTGTCATAAATAAATAAAAAATATATATTACGCATTACCCCATCTATCATAACCTGAGCTCTATCGTACAAACCCGCAGCTTTAAAAGCGAGGGTATAATTTTTATCGTCTCTAAGTCTATGTCTGTAACGTAGAAATTTATTCTCTTCATGGCTTGTATCAATAACTGCATTACTTATAAATTCCACATTTATGGCATCAGCATGAGTCCATGAGTGCTTGTAAAGGACAAAACCCCACGGGTGATCTAATTTTTCGAAAGAAGGAGGCGATTTAAAATTCTGAGCACCATTAGGAAAATAATTCTTATCCGAAAGTAGGGAAATCACATTGTTTACAGGGTACAGTGTTATTGTCCCATACCCAACTTTGCCTTCTCTCGAGCTTTGAGGAGGACCACCGGTAGGCAACTTTTTATACTAAAAATGATTTTAATAAATATTTGATGAATTCCATGACAAATCAACAAAAAACACTTTTTTTAACCCGACCCCAAGGTATTTTAGGCAAAATGCACTCCCTAGCCATTAAATATTTTATGTTTAATATTTAAAAGATTAGTTATTTAAGATCTGAAAAAATTCTTTATAAAAATAACTACTAAACACAAATCAATTTAAGATTATAATTTTATCAGAAACGATTAATTTCATAAAAATTTTAATATTATTTCTTTTTTCCTCATCCATATGCAAATTAATTCCAATGATATTTGCTTTACGAAAATTAAATTAATCTAAGGTGTTTAATATTTGATTCTAATATGGATGCTGGAGGCTAACTCTTGCCGCTAACTTTTGGCAATGTTAGCCATGGGATATTAGGAAGAAATGTCATTCCGCTTTGATTCCAAAATCAAGTTCAAGATGGCTTATATTATAAAATTTCTAATTCTAATATTGAGTTACTGCATCATCAGAAAAAAAATCATTTTTGAAATTTTGATTCTAAAAAATCAAACTAATCGAAATTATGAAATTTTCCAATAATATCTATAATATAGTCTCGAAAAATAACTTTCAGCCTTTATAATATTTGGATAAGATAAAACACCTTTTCCTTGACCAATTTTTTTGCTATGTTTGCCTTGAGTCGTAGAAAATTCTCCTTGCTTAGAGGGACTAGAATTTGGTAAAATAATCAATATCTAAATTTTTTCATTTCGAGAATGTGTTGTTTCAAATTTATTTTTCAATTGCTTAATGATTTTACATTCATTGTTACTATTAAAATTATCTTCTGAAATATTTTTCAAAACATATTTCTTAATTTTTTTCATTCAGATAATGCAAATTTTATCGTTAATTATTTATTCTGGTTAATCATCCAAGTTTCTTAGGGCTTCACAAAGCATATGTTTGTCCAAATTTTGCAAATTTTAGGAACGAAAAATATATTACATAAATTAACAATAGCCCCCTCCCCACATCTTATTAAACATAAAATAATAAATATTTAAAAAATTTTAGCTTAAATATATTACAATTAATGATGTATCTTTATTAAAAATGTTTACAATTAATTATGAGTTTAGCCCAACATAAAAAAATTTTAGCTTAAATATATTACAATTAATGATGTATCTTTATTAAAAATGTTTACAATTAATTATGAGTTTAGCCAACATAAAATTTTGGATATTTATTAATCGGTCCTATATCTATATACATAAAAAATTTGAGAAAAAAAAATGCCGTGATTATATGATCATTTCCGGTTTTTGACATTTCAATTTTTTAAACAACATTTATAATTATATAACTTTAAAAACCTACTTTCTATATAAAGAAATGTAAATGACGCTCTTAGCTCAATTGTATCCAAAATTAAAGAGAGGGCATTTTGCCTGCTCCATTTTTTCGACCTTTAGAGGCCTGTATCTCAACCACTGTTTGGAGTTATAGACTAAAAAATTTTTCTTAGTTATAATCAAAGACCTGCAGGCCGGCCCTAAGCCCGAATACAAGGGTCGGGTAGTATTTTAATTATTTTTAAATATACCCGAACCAAGCCTAATTTTTTTTAAAATATCCGGGCTGGGCTTAAAATTTTTTTTGAAAAAAAATACCCGGTATATTTTAAAACGGAATATTTTAAATCGCCATTAGCTATAAAAATTAAAAATAAATGTAATATAATTTTTTTTAAAACCAGGGGAGGCCTGAAAATATAAAATATGGGCTGGGCCGATAAAAAATCTGGACCAGACTGGGCCATGATACCTTTGCAAGTCTCTGGTTAAAATATATGCAAACTCTAGTAAAAGAAAACTCTAAATTTTAAAATGTTATAAAGTTCAGTTCATAATTTTAGGTAAATTTAATTGGTTTGGATTGGAGATGGTATATCTTAAAGTTTGACATTTACAAAATAAATACAACATTGTAGTAATACAAAAATATTGCTAATAATAAAAGAATTGAACGATAATAGGTCTACTGAGACTGGTATTTCTAAGATCCCGATCCATTCCAAATTATAAAAAATAAACCTGTCCGATAACATCTCTGATCGCCCAATATTTCGGGGTTAGGTCCCCACCCTCGGTGATGGGCGCATCGAAATCGTAGCTAGTAGGGCTGGGCATATATTCAATCATTCCAAAGCGAATATTTTCCTTTTTGCCTATAAAATTCAGACGTAATATATATTTTAAAAAAATCATAGTATATTAATGAAGAAAATAATATTTATTTTTCTGTCTTTTTAATAGTTCAAGTTAAATATAATACAAGTCCCTTCCCATTTAAGATTATAATTAAAAATAATATGTTATAAATTTTTTTTGGGATATTTTGGTAACTTTTAGTTTATCTATATCAATCAGTTTTACTTAAAATAAAATATGTACATATCTTGTAAAATAAAGATTATTATTAATTATGTGTTTAAAGGTAAACAAAAATAATATTTAAGAATCCAATCCGAAAATTACAAACGATATTTTAATAAAAGAAAAATATGAATACAGTCATTGGAATTTGTAGAATGATATGACTATATTCTTCGTTATTGCAATAACTATACTGCAGTGTTTGAGTTCAAAATATTATCATTTTGGCGAGACATTTTTGTATTTATATTTTCTTCGTTAAAGAGTAACAAAAAAAACTTGAAAAAATTAAATAAATATTAAAACCAGAATAATTAATATTAGCTCCGTTGTAAAAGGCGAAAGATGTTCCTCCCTCTACGACATACAGGTTAACGCAAGTTGAATTGGCAGAATCCAACATGGCCTTCAAAGTCTTGGTGACCCTGGCATGATCCACTAGAGAGTGCGGGTAGCCCCAATGATCAATCCAACCGGTATAGTACTCGCTGTTTATAAGAGGTCCCTTGGGTTCGACCTGCCTTTGGACTTTGAAAGAGGCTTCAACATCCGAACCTATTGTTTTTTTTAAAAAATAGGGTTTGTTTCCTTTTAAATCAGATTTTTTTTAGAGAAAAGATACCGTTCAAAAACAATTAAAACAAAACCACGATAAAAATTTTTGTTCAATTTAAAAAATGATGATAACATAAGGATCACGGGGCCGTGAAAGGGGTTAAACATTAATTTTATAGAGGAAATATATGAAAAATTGGTAGTGTTCATTATTTATATATTACTAGATTGGCATTGGTGCATTAAACGCATTTAAAAGTGTATTGTACAAACCATAAAATAGTTACAGCTAACTCACTTTTAATTAAAGAATAGCCAATCTAAAGGTGTATATATATAATCGAATATTGTAAATGCATTCAGTGATCATTTTAATTGATTCCAGGGTTTATATATCTTGAATCAGCGAAAGCAAAGTAGGGTTTTTCTATTTTATTTTTAAAAAATCCCATTTTATAGTTATAAAAAAAAACTTTATGTAAAAATAAAAAGGCAGGCACGTAAAGGATTTAATTATAATCTCCATCATACAAAAAGCACATTTTGCATATTAATATTTAATGAATATTGGAGGTATATAATTAAATATATTCTAGATTGAATAGCCCACGGATATTTCAAACCTTATGAAAGACTTAAAATATATCAATTTATATTCTGATCTTATGCTTATTGAATTGAATCAAGCACCCTAAATCTCAATTTTGTCATAATTCTGAAGGGATTGAAGGAAAATAAATATTTTTAAAGTTTTTAGGTACCGTGTATGTCAGAAAATTGTTGTGAATAGATAAAATTTAAATATCGGAGAAAGTGTCTTATTTATATAAATGTGTATATGATAATTAGATAATCGAATTTACATTATTTTATGGTGATGCAAATGTCGTGCATTATATTTTTATTTTAGTATGTAAAGAAGTTCAATTATATAATTATATCGTTTCAAGTATATAAATTAATTATAAATAATATGAGCCAGAGACCTGCAGGTCATTTTTATTTTTTTAAATAACGGGCCTAAAATTATTTTTTTTTAAATACCAGGGATGAGCCGTATATTTTAAAACCGAGCTAATCAAATCCGGGCCGAAATTTTTTTTATTTTTTTTTTAAAAAAAATCTGTGCAGGGATGCAAATGGTACCTTTGCAGGTCTCTGATATGGGTCTCAATTTAGTTGATCATTTTTTTATTTTGTAAAAATGGTGCAGAATTGAGGCTTATTGGGAAAAAAAAATTGTTTGGTGATTATTATAAAAATGGCGATAAAAAATTGTAAAAAGGAAAAAAAGTTGATGATTAAAAAGGAGTGATGGTAAATTGCGACAAAGAAGAGGCAAAAAAGGAAAGGTTATCGGTGGTTAAAAAGTGCGAAAGTAGAGATTTTTCTTTAAAGTGTGCGTACGCAATATTTTCATAAAGTGCGATGGAAGAGTAAACAAAAAATTTTTTTAATTTATGGTAAGGACCTTATGATACATCAAAATGGTGGATTAAAAATGGTTGTCAGAGATAGTGTTGTTAAAAGACCCGTTTTGGTTCGATTTTTAAAAACGGCCCGATTAAGATTATAACCAAAATAACTGAGAGAAAGGTTTCAAATCTTGAGGCTTACATAATATTATTTTGGCTAAAATCTTAATCAGGCCGTTTTGAAAAATCGACCCTAATGGCTTTTTAACAACACTAGTCAGAGATTAGGATCATTACTGGTAGTGGTAATACTGTCGTTAGATGAAACAAAAGATGGACAAAGAACGAGGAATAATTATTGCTTAATAATAAACACTCTGTCGTTGAAGGAAGCAAAAACTAAGAATAAATAATTGGTAGTAATGGAGACAAAGATTTGAATATGAAAATTTATTATTATTATTAAATGTCCTAATTTTTGGCTGTCAAATTTCCTATTATTATATTTTTTTATTCTATTATGTAAATGGAGTTCGAGAAAACTATAATTATTTTGTATTATAATTTTATATATATTTGATTTTTTTTTTAAATATAAGTTTGTGACTTAAATTTATCTTACAATAAAAATAATACGAGCCTCAACTTGGCAGACCCTTGTTTTATATAAATATTAAGGAGAGTAATAATAGCTAAAAGAGAAAATAAGGGGATGTGTAAATTTATATATAAAGTCTGAACACAAATCGCTATGGAAATATGAATAGCAGGCATGTTGATTAAATGCGACTGAACAACAAAACTGAAAATGGTATAATAACCTATTTCTTATAATAAACTTGGAATAAAAAAATTTTAAAATAATAAATAACTCCATCCTTTTTTCTTTTATTTGATAAAAATTGTGCACCATGAAAAGCTTTTGAGTTATTTTAATTGGATAGAAGATAAATTTTAAAAACCGCTTCCAAAATCAATGGTAGCATAAACCCCAGGTATTTTGCCGCACTTGAGATAACCTAATCCATTACCATCGGTCGTAAAAAGAAAAATGTCTTCCCCCAAATGTTCTTTGAGTAGATTTACCAGTGTTTGCAAATAGACCATATCACAAGCGAAGTAACTACCATACTCGTTCTCCACCTATTTTGATTTATTTAATATTTATATCAATTTTTGAAATAAACAGATATATTTTGTCAATGGTACCGCGCTGAAGGGGGAAGGGAGTGCCGCAAGTTTTCAAATTTAATGTTGGATTTTCCCTTATCCCCCTAAATGATATTTTTAACCCAGAGTTTGGAAAAAAGAGTTCCGGTTTCTAGATCTCGTTCCTACAAATTTATTAACTAAAAAGTTCTTGTTCCAATTTTTAATGGTACATGACGCGCTCCTAAGAGCTAGTGACGACACTGCTAAAAGTCATTTTATGTAAAATCGATCAAAAAACATTATTGAAGGAGGGTGGCCCTTGGGAGTAACTAAAGCGCTCCCAAAATTTAGTATCCCAGCTTGTGTTGTTACTCAGCATTCATAGTTAGCGTGAATTCGGGGCGGAGTATACAAAAATTTAATATATTTCCCGTTTGAGCCGATTTTTCAAAAAGGGTTAATTAAATTTATCCAAAAATATATTAAAACCTTGAAGATTTTAGCTATAGATGGCACAAAGGTTTGGGTAGCCATTAAGGAAATCTCGAGGGTTGTGAAAAAAAATTTTTGCCAAAAATAATAAGTCGGCCGTTTATAAAAAAATCGGCCACATATCAAGCCATTTAACAAGACTTATGAAAAGTGGCCTATTTTTATGCTTATCGATTGTCCTTCAATTAAAGATTTACTAAAGATTATAGATATTGTATAAATAACGATTCTAATTAATGATCTGCATCAGGCCTAATTTCAAGCCCGACTCTGCGCGAAATATTTTTTAATGTAGTTTTCTATTTTTACACTAATCGAGTTGTTAATCATTGTACAAACAAATAAAAAATATTGGCACCATGTTTCTTGCAAAATTTCTAAATATAAACCCAATTCGGCTCAATTTTTTTTTATAAAAATATTAGTCCCAGCCCAAAGCCCGCTTAAATATAAAAATAAAGTGTATATATGATATATTTTTTAAAATATTTTCCTTTTTCTTATAATGTGGCAGTCCATTTAACCCCATTCTAAAGTTTAAGATTCGTGTAAAAATAATGAATCCCTCTGATTTTTAATAAAAATTTTAAAGATTTATCCCTAACACTACTTTATAGATGTATAAAAAAATTAAAATGACAATAATTGACTTTCATGATGGAAATCGATAAGAAAACACTAAAATGACAGAATATTTTTTAGTTTTATATGTAAAAAAATTATAAATTGTATTTTATTCGAATTCGTATTAATACAATTGATTTAACATTTAAAATTTATAATACTATAAAATTTTACGATCCAATCCGATAAAATGGCGTCTTAATTTTTGAAAATTTTTTTTTTTTAAATGTTATATATCTAAAAAAACCATTATAAATAAGATTAAAATCTATTTTAATTATTAATTCAAATATTTATTTTAAATTTATAATATATTTGTTTATTACTTATTATGTAAATAGCTTAAATTTCTTTATAAATAAGCGATTTATCAATAAAAAATATTATACATACTTTTAGATTCATCTTAAAAATATATTTAATAATTGATTTATTTTATGGCATAGTTAAATTATAGATGCTAATTAAAAAGTATGAGATGAGTAGATTGTATGCGTTAAAAATTAAAACGATTAGTATGTTTACAGAATACAAAATCAGATATGATACCGAACCGGTATTCGGCAGAAATCAATTAATCGATAATATCGTATAGGCCTAGAAATGTGGTATCGGTATACCCCTATTCGATAGAATAAAAATATCATTCTATCTATTGAATAAAAATATATATTCCTTTGTTTTTTCAGTATTTTTATAGATTTTTCCCATATATGCGAAAATTTGGCATCCCAATTTTTTTCCGCACAAATATAGATCGATTGGTCTTAGTGACATTAGCTTAAAATTATATAATAAATTATTTTATAAGGCTTTCTTTTAACTTTAGAATAGAGTTAAATGGATAGTTGTACATTAAAAACGGCAATGGATGAGAGCAAAAATAGGTCATTTTCCATATTTTGACCTCGATTTGAACCGATTTTTAAAATGACTAACACAATATTTTATCCAGAGAAATATTACGCAAGCTTGATAATTTTTCTCATAGATGGCACAAAGTTTTTGACATCTATTCGTGAAATCCAATTAATTTGGCTTTATTTTCTTAAAAAATAGGTTCAAATCGAGCCATTTAACAACACTATTTTGACCTTTTGATATCTTCAAAAATATAAGTTAGGATGCTAAAATTTGAACACTGCTTTAATTACGTGCACTCTGGTTTATAGAAAATTAACCCAAATATCAAAGGGGTCCAGAGAATCGTCTTAAATTTTTTGAAGGGAAATATATCATCCCCCTTTTAAAAAATTTAAACTTACCAAAAATTGGTATAAATTTCTTTCAATCATACACTTTTTTAATCAACTCAACGGTTTTTGGTTACCTCAATTAGTCAGAATTCAAATTCAACAAATCATTATTAAAATACTAAAATGAACTAATGATGAGATAGGGGTATGAGCAGCTATGTGCTAGTAGTCAGCCTCTTCAAGGCAGTTGAGCAGCCTAAATAAAAGCTGCTACCAGGGTTAGATATAAAGCGAGAATAAAGGTGTAATTATTAAATAAGGAGATTTTAATACTAGTGGTTATACCAATATTGTTAGGGCTTAAGAAATATATAGATAGAATAAACATAATATCTCCAATTTGGTTAATTTTTAAAGTTATAGTAGCTCTTTTTATGTTTATTCGAGATATCATAAAGCGAAAATTATATTTCCTTTCCGAATTTTTGTTAACATTATTAATAAATGTTTGTTATTATATTCATGAAATGAAAAATATAAGCAAGATAAAAAAGGTAAAACATCTTATTTTTTTTAAATTATATTTTATCGGTAATATTTACTAATTTGTATTTTAAATTTGTCGCTAATTGCGTAAATAAATTTATTGGACATGATTTCTGATTAATTGAAGTAGCCAAAATCATTGAGTTAATTATTTAAAAAGGGTAAGATAGAAAGAATAATATATTTCTATAAATATAAAAAATATGATAAATGACTTTAAATTTCTTTACAAATAAACTATATTTATTTTTTAAAAAATTGTTTTTAGGGAAGTGAGACGAGATAAGTATATTTCACCCGGAACCCACCCCTAAACCCCCTTTAACCAATGATGTCTGATGGCTAAAATGGGAATAAATATATAAAAGATTCCAAGCGTGGGAGTCTCATTTGAGATTCTTGATGATATTTCCCCTCCCTATTTTCAGTATTTTTTTAAAAAATCAATTTAAATATAGGAGTCTACTTCCCTAACTTCTATTTATATTATTTTCAAAATTTAAATTTTTTTCTAGGATATGTAAGTAAGCGTAATTCACCATTTTTCGTGATTTTTGTTTTCGCAAATAAGAATGGGAACCGATCGATTTTTAAATCTATGAGATCAATTTTCTTTTTTAATATTAATTTTATTTTTTAATTCTTATTCATGTAATCGCTCCGCTGTTAAATCGTGTCAAATCGGATAATGCAAATCGCGTCATATATATGTAATGGATGTTAAACAAATTCTAAACTTGAACAGAGATGATAGGTCCTCCATTTTTGTACAAATAAGGGTTTAATTGCGGAAGTATATAATTGAACCAGGATACAACGTGAGACATATAACTCGAGTCAGAACTTCGAGCCGTATTTTGTTTAAGGAACTTTTCGTCTTTGAGCAACCAATATGGCAGCCCACCCTTTAAGGAAAAATTTTTTTAAACTTAGTATTAGTATTCGGTATCGGCAAATAAAATGGTACCGATGCATCTTTGCCAAAAAACCGGAAGTAGAAAAAGATTTAGGCATTATAATATTTTTGTTTTAAAAATTAAATAATATATCAATTATGTCAAATCGTTTTGAGATTTCGATTTATTATTTTGGCCCTTTAAATAAAATAATACTTATTTGTGTATCGACTAGGTTAATGATGCTTACTACCAAGTGAATGTATGGAAATATTCTAAATACCAACCTAATTTGCTAAATACCGACCAAAATTTATTAAAATGTAATAAGACCCTTATTATTTAATATATTAATACGGAATCACGTGGTCGAGTCCGGCCTCCTATATATTATCCCCCCAATGATGGAACCACCAAGTTAGCATAAGAAAAAAAACATGCCCATTCCCGGGATTCGAACCCGGAACCATGATCAGTAAACCAAGCTCTTGCCTACTAGGCCATAGAGGCTTTCCAAAAATCATGATTTTTCAATTATATATTATAAATATATTTGGTAGTGCCTATCCAAATGAAAAATGAACAAAATCAAATTTGATAGGTATTACCTTAAGGTAGTAAGCATCATTAACCTATCGACTAAATAGTCAAAAAGACAAAAAAAAAATTTAAAAAACGAAACAAAAAAAATAACAATGCCAGCAAATACATAATACAAACAGGGTCGTAAATTTACATCATGATGGACGGAATTTTTACCTCCCTACAATATTATCAAAATAATCATATGTGCCTGTATGTTGTTTAATAATAAATCGAGGGATCTTTGAAATATGGTAGGTGTATCCTTCATGTCCAATGTAAATAGTATCTTGTTTTGTCCAATTTAAAATATTTTGTATAGTAGGTAGTGGGTACTTATGTCATAAAATATTCTTTTATATAGAGTATCTGAAATCTCAACAAATTGATAGGTACCACAGGTGAAACGATATAAGAATAAGTTATTTTACTTTTAATTCCTTTCTGCATTAGTTGATCTATCGCGTATTTATATTCGTCTTTATAAGCATATGGAATTTGTCCGGATCTGGAAAAATTGTTCACTGGTACGTTGTTTCTTTATTGTAGATAAGCTTTGAAGTTTTTAAGGGTTACTAGGCGTATTTTCGAATAATTTTGAAAACTCTTTGAACCAATTGCACTCACCTATTTCATTGTTCTTGTCAATGTATTGTTAGTAGTTCTGAATTTGGCACTATAATATCGCGTCCTAAAATATTTTTACCAGTTCGTGATATATAGAAATCTTGAGGTTGGATTGTATTGGCTATTCAATAAATAATTCAGTTTTTTTTAAATCTCGATGGAATTTCCCTAATATGACTTTAGACGAATAGAGGATGGTAATTTCCCGGTTTTACATTTTTTGTAGGTGTCCCAATTTCTAATTGAAACCACGGCTCCCTCAATTAAGAATTCAAAGGATTGAGATTGAATTATCAATTTTTCATAAAATCTTTGGATGAATTTAACCTTGATTCTATGAATTGTTCATTGCAATTGAATTGTTGAAATTCGTGTGGATAAGCCTTATCGTCTTGTCTTCAGAACTTAATATGAATTGAAGGATAATCTTTTTTTAATTCTACATACCTTAGTAATATGTCCGACTTTATTAAAGTTGAAACATGTATGCGATCCCTCACAACCTGTAAAAGCTCCAAGATGGCTTTTAACAAATTGCTTTTAGGTTCGATGTTGATTGCAGCCTCGCTACTTCTATTCTTACATTTTCCATCTTGTAGACATTTCTAACGCTTTACCAAAAGTCCTAATAAACGTAATGTAATGTCGACTATCTGGTAAAGAATGATCTAAAATATCCTCAAATAGGCAGTTAATGGCTAAATATTTTAGTCTTTGGTAAATTGAAGTTATAGATTCATTTTTCTTTTGTTTGGTCGCAAATTTCCACCTTTGTAATATAGTATTAGTTTTAGAAGCCAGGTAATCTTTTGAGAATTTCTATCAGCTCTATTAACCATTTCTCCTATGGCTTAGTAGGTGAACAAATATTATACAATTGTATATGTTGTGACCTAGGTTAGTTAGAAATAGGGAAAGTTTTTGTATCTCCTCTGTAATTTTTAAGGCTAAAACTTTTAAACCAAGATAAATACGTTTCTAATTCTTCTCCCTCTTATAGTGCAATTTGTATATTTGTATTTATCACCATGTTTTTAATTGCAGCGTCAATTTATATTATTACTAATTAAACTAGAAATTGAATTTGTAATTTGAAATTAAAATTTAAAAAATTAGAAATAATAAACTGTTTTTAGTATAAATTTTATTTATATAAAATTTATCCAACTAAAAATGATAAACATACTACTCAAAATTATGGTTAATGATAGATACTAACATAGAGCAAATTTCTAAATGTTAAACTAATTTGCTAAATACCAACCAAAATTTAATAAATTGTAATTAGGCCTAAAACGAACTACTTTGTTTTCGTATTGAATACGAATAGCACAATTATTCGATTCGAATAATCGAACATGAATAATAAGAAAAAATATCGTCGATAGTAAACTTTTTATTATTCGATTCGTATTCAAAATTCGTATTTTTCTAAATTATTCGTATTATTTGAAATTATTTATAACAAAGCTTTGACAATTACCTACCTCAAATATACAACTTTATTGGAAAAATTTAAGGAAATATATAATGAATACAATACATCATCTGATAAAACAATAGTCCAGTCAAATATGGATAAAATATTCAAACAAAATATCGTCTCATCAATACGTGTGGCTGAAATATATCTTAATGAATTAAGAATCACTTCTAGTAAGAGCCAATTAGAATAGTGGAGATTGCATGGGGATCGTTTTCTTGTGTTGTCAAAGATGGCAACTGATATATTGTCCATTCAGGGATCTTAGGCTTCATGTGAGTGGTTATTCTCAGTAGGAATATGATAATGAAGATTAGAATGTCTTTGAAGGAAGAAACCATTAGAAAGACTTTATGCTTGAAAAACTGGTTGTTGTCAAATATTTTTATAAGAATTTCCAACTCCAAAAATCGGGTGTTTTTGGTCAATTATTCGGATAACGGTATGAAATCCAATGGGTTTTATTTAGTTTGTTATTTTCTGTAAATTTTGATATGCTAATGACAATTAGTTTTAGTAGAATCCTCAAAGATATCATTTTAAAACATCCACATCTATTTATAATTATTTTGGCAAAATATAATTATTTTTTATAAGCTTTAGAAAAATTTCCGAATAGAATATTCGACGAATCGAATAAAGTAATGATTTTATTATTCTTATGAACATGAATAATGAATAATGAATTTACGAATAATAAATTATTCGATTCGTTTTTTTGTAGGCCTAAATGTAATAAGACTAATAAGACCTACTTATTATTTAATATATATTAACAGAATCACGTGGCCAAGTCCGATATCCTATATATCATCACCCCAAGGACAGAACTATCAAGTTGGCTTCAGAAAAAACATGATCCTTGCTGGGATATGAGCCCAAAACCAGCAGATTGGGCGACGCTTTTATCGACTAGGCACATATGCTTTCCGAAAATCACGATTTTTAAAATATATATAAATAAATTTGGCAGTGCCTATCCAAATGAAAAATAAATAAAAAACCAATTTGATAGATGTTGCATTAGGCAGCACCTCACACTAACCCCAAATTATAAGGCATGTGTACAATAATAAAACTTAGATAAAACACAATTCAAATATAATATAAAAAAGAATATCATATTCAAATATAATGTTAATGATGATATAAAGATTTGTGGGGTAAGGTAATTCTATTTCAAGGAATGTGAGCCGATTCCTGGTGAGTTACTGGGGTTTTTAGGTTAGATAAAAAAATATAAAAGAGATGGAAAAATAAGAATAATGTGATAGTAAATTTTGGAAGTATTTATTGTCAAAATTTTTATAAACTAAATTTGACATGAATAAAATTAATTGATCTTTCAAATTTGTATATATCAAAAGAGACATAATGCAAAAGTAATAATTTTATAAAAAAAAATTATGTCAAAGCTTATATATTAATATTATTAATAAATAAAAGACTAAAATATAATCATTTAAAAAAATATATATTTACGAAATGAGTGAAACTGGGACAATATGATCAATTTAACTACGTTTCAGAGGGCCCCATAACTCGCTTTGAGAGAAAGGGATCAGGAAAAATTTGTTAAGTTATGGAGTCATCATGAGGTCATAAATTATGAGAAGCCCCAATAAAAAATTTGTTTTTTTTGTGGAGGAAATGAGGATGCAGCTGGATTCAATGAAAAACTTATATATTAAATAAAATTGTTCATTTCTATCATATATTAAATGGTCTATAGCCTTCTCGATATTCTGCTACCTTTAAACTTGAAAAAGTTTTAAAGTGGTTAAAGCAGGTTAGTTAAAAGGTTCCCTGAGATCTTAAGCAGAAATCAGATCACTGTTCCCTCGGCGGATTGCATAGTTAACTAAAAAGTTTGGTGTGACGAAACAAAAATCATTTCAAAACTATCTATAAATAACACAAAGGTTGAAGGTTGTCTATATAGGACATGAAAAGAATGGGTATTCCCAATGCCGATGCCCATGATAGCAGAATGCAGAGAAAAGGAATTAAAGAGAAAAGTGAACCACCAAGAGTAGACTGGGGCGTACTATAGAAAGAAGTTTAATAATTTGAAGATAAAAAATATTGACTTTTATTTCTCTAGTGGAATAAAAACATTTAGTTCACGTTTCAAGAATTTGCATGGGGTTAAAAAAAACTCAATTTCATGGTAAATTTTCGTAATTTGGTTCATTCATCACTGTTCGTGGTCACATTATATATAATTAACTTCGCTGATATTTTTTTACATAAGATTTTCATGAGTCTTGCAAGTTTGTTTCTATCTCTTAACAGCATTAGTAACGTTTCCTAAAATGTGGTAGCCATTTTTTTTACGATATGTGGTTGCAAGGAAAATGGTATTCGACTATGATCCCAAAAATATTTCGAATTCTTTTGAATAAAGTGACACATTTCTCCACCCATCTCTCAAATGTTATAGAAAAAAAAATTTTTTTTAAGCACCTTATTTTGTTTTGACAGAATTTTGTAGGAATCATTATAATATATTTGAAATATGAATTTTATTAATATTCGTAATTTAACGAATTTTGTTTATTAATATTCGTAAAATAATGAATTTTATTATTTTCATAGATATTTTAAAAAAATAATTTTTTTCTAAAAAATTTACGAAATCCCATTCAGCGTCGATGTAAGGGCCAGGTCTCAATATCACGTTTAAGCCGACTTTTTGAGCTGTTTCCAAAAATTTGAAAATATCGTGGTCACCGGTAAAATTGTAAACGCCTTGAAAGGTTTCGTGAAAATTCCAAGCTATGTATCTAATCAATAATATAAAAGGCTAAATAAATCATTTGAATGAACAAGAAACAAAGTTGCTGTGTTTGTTGTATAAAAATATAATTCGTATTATTAAGAGTTTATCGACCCTTATTAAATATGAACAAAGGGAAACAATTAAAGAAAGAATGGTTACAAAAATGGAGATCGTAATAAAAATTTAACTTAAGAAATGAATATTTTTTCATCTAACTTTCTTTAATATGAACTGAACATAAAGATACTGGACAAAAATAAACCAGACAGAAGGATAGAAGAACAAAAATACTCTAATTTTCAAAAAAAAATAATTTTAACGCTTATAATATTTTTAATTTTTGGAAGGCAATTACGCCAGGCCTTAAAGGAAGGGGATGCCAGAAAATAATTTTAATGATACACCCCCTTTTAAATTTTTAAACTATTTAAAAATTATGCAAATCTTATATTGCTGATAAGTTTCAGCAGATAGAGGAATTATTAATTGCCTTCCAAAAATTAAAAATAACGATTATATAAATTCGAGATCACTTATAAAAATATTAAATTTGAATTTAGTGTCAAGTACATCTTTATTTAAACCCCCAAAAATATTAAAATTAAATATATTTTTAAACACTCTAATTTACACGAATTATTTGTTATTTGATTCGATTCGATTCGTATTTTACGAATACGAATAACACAATTATTCGATTCGAAATTTCGAATCGAATATGAATAATGAGGAAAATTATTCGTATTATTCGAAATTATTTATATATAAATATTCGTAATTATTCGCAAATATTTTATTGCAAGTAAAATAAAAAGAAGTGATTACATTTTCCTAGTGGATATCAGTTTTATTTTATTTCCTATTATCAATAATCAAATCATAACATGTTATATTTGCTGAAAAAGTTTAATAGAAGAAAAGGAAAAGCTTCAAAGTAAAACATAATTATTTTATTTTGATTGTTTCTCTTTAATCTTTTTTGATGATATGAACAAGTCAAAACATTTTTATAGAGTGTGCCTCTTTCCCATATTCTCGAGCTCCTGGCAGATAAATAACTAAATTTTTTGACTAGTTCTTATTATTTGATTAGGAAAATCCTTTTCCCATTTAGTAACCTTATTTTTGGCAAATTTTAAAGACAATCTAATTCAGATAGTGCATTATAATATCTTCATCCTCTATTACATTGTCATAATCACCTCTAAAAATTATATTAATAATTAAATAAAGGAAATTTATGCTACTAAAGTATTTTTAATAAATAAAATCTATAATGAAATACTTTCTAAAATTTTGTTATATTTTATATGCAAAAATGACAATTAGTTTAGAGAATCCTTAAAAGTGTCATCTTTAAACATCTGTAAAAATTTTTTTGCAAAATATTTTATAAGCTTTAGAAAAATTTTCGAATTGAATCGAATCGAATATTCGACGAATCGAAACGAATAATGATTTTATTATTCGTACGAATACGAATAGCGCAATTATTCGATTCGAATATTCGATTCGATTCGTTTTTTTGTAGGCCTAACAACACAAGTTATAATTATATTTGAAATAGGAATTAAACGAATATGGCATTTATTTATTTTTTTTAAATTTACCAATGTTTAAAAATCTTTTTTAAAAAAAGGATAAAATTTTCATGTTTGTTAAAGATTAAAGCGATTAACTTATAAATTTAGATGATTAAAGGTTTTAAATAAATAAGATGGAGGTACATTCAATCTGTTCTATTTAATTGCTTATAAATTGTTATTCCTGATATGGTTGGGAAGATGTGGTGATATCCATATTCCACTTATTTTATAAATAATATTTTTGAAATTTTTTAATTATATAGATAAAAATAAGCTTCTTCGCTATAACAAAAATAAAAAATTATAAGTAGTTTTTTTCAGCACCTGAAAGGGTAAGGGTGAGCATGTTTAAAATTACTCCCTTTTATGCATTTAAACAAATTTCTAAATTGGGGCATTTTTGTCCAGTGTTTTTTTATTTGTGGCTATTTTTTTCAGGGGTATTTTTGTCCGAGTCCTTTAGTTCAGGACATTTCTGTCCATGATTTCTTTCTTTAAAAAATGGCAAATTTCTTGCATGTGGTTTCGGTGATTCAATATAATTTTTCGTAAGTAATAAGCTGAAAAAATTACTTCGTTAAAATATAATTTTCGTTACGTAAACTTTATTAAAAAATTAGGAGGAAAATATTTTAATATTTTTTGGGCACCATATGTTTTATAACCAACCAACTTATCAAATTTTGATGTCCAGATCTTATAATTTACCATCTGTCTAGAATATTTTTAACGAATTTTATTTATTATTTTTTATCGTCTACCTATTCAGTCCTTTAAGAGTTTTCAAATTTTAATCATATTTAATATTTTTTTGATTTGAATCAACGAATATTAAGAAAATATAGATTTTCTAGCAGGATTAATAAAAAAATATATTACATTACTAAGATGAAAAAAAACTGCGATTAAAAAGTAAACTAGGTCAGCTATTAATATGTCATTATAATTCTATGCCAAAAATTAACGCACACAATCATTTGAAGAAAACAAACAAATTTGAACAAAATGTAAATAAAATAATTATCTCAATAAATAAACAAAATATAAAGGAACGCCTGATTTTCTTTTTCATTCGTGATTCATCGAGATAACATTTAGATGACTCATTAAACATATATAGAAAATACGGGATACCAGGATTGGATTAATAGACCACCATTTTAATCATAGCTGTCGCGTGTCCCTTCATTTATTCTGCTGATTAGTATTGCAATAGGCTAATTTTAGCCAACGTCAAAACGGCTTAGCCGAGTTTTTAGGTAAAAAATCAAGCCTAACTATATTAGCCTAAAAATCGGCTAAAAATTTGTCAAAAATTAAGAGTCTAAGGAGCTCAGCTAATCACCCACCATCCTTACGCATGATAAGCCTAGCCTAAAATTTTATCCATTTTATTAAAATTATTTTATTTGCTAATGGAAGATTAGCCGAGCTCCTTAGCCGATGCCTAACTAGTTTAAGCCGATTTTTAGGCTAAGCCTAATTAAACCTACCCGATTTTTTATGCGTGGGTTTAATCGATTATTAGATTAAGCCAAATTAAGGCTAAGCGAGATTTTTTAACCTATTATTATTGCTAATTTTAATTCCTTTTGTTTTTTTGGCTAATAAGGTATTTTATTACCTTTAAAATAAAAATGGCTGTGATTTTTATATAGAATCGGAAGCCTAAGAATATAAGTGTTCTTTTAAATAGTGCCAAGTGTTTATTAATTCTTAAATGAGTGTAAAAATACTATGAATTTAATTAGTGTTGTAACAATTTTTAAAAATATCATATCAGAATCATTCATATTTTATGAATTGTTTCATTAAAAAATAATTTTATATTTTAAGTTGTATATTGATTATAAAACTAAGATTAACACCAAAATAAATCAATACCATTACAATAATGGGAAAATGTTTAAACCAATAAAATAGTTTGAAACCAGAATAAATATCAATACAATAGTATAAGTCAGTCCTACCTCCATGGTTTTTTTTAGTTCAGCCCTATTTCAATAAGTTGAGTGTTAATATTCAACCCTTTGCCTCTGGTATGAGGTCAAGTGTGCCAATTTTCACCAAGTTTGCAAATATAATTGAGTTTATAATAAAAAATAAGATATGATTATATAAACTTATATATTTAATTTATAATTAATGTATGAGCTTAATAGTTTTATCATTGGGAAGGGGAGGGGGGGGGGGGGGGAGTAAACAAATTTTTGTTGCTTTTGCCTAAGACTTTACCAAATAGCCTTAATACTTTTTCTTAACCCATCTCTAATGTGCCATGAGTGAAGTTAAAATAAAAATGTTATTTTTTTTGCATACCTTTATAAATTATAATTAAAAAATAAAGGTTCAATAATGTTTAATTTTTAAAGCTTTCATACTTAGAGGGGGGGGGGGGGAGGAATATATTTGAGATAAAAAAAATCTGCCATTAATAATATATTTAACCGTTTTTAATTTAAAAAAAGGTATATTACGTTTGAACAGTATCAAGTCCAAGATATTTGAGCTTGAGCAACCTGTCTTCCCAATACTCATTAGGAACTCTAAAGTAATGCATGGTCCCAGATATATATCTGAAAGGTTGTCCATCTTTCAAAAACTGATTATTTTCATAATCTATAATGAAGGAACGAGATGGGGTCAGCTCTGATTGCACTAAATAAACCTTGCATTTTTTATTATATTATATAAGATATAAAAATTTATTGGGTAATTAGGGCTTTTAAAAGTTCAATTTTTTAAAATGACTAAGATTTTAGCCAAAATAATACAATTTAAGCCTATAGTTTGGCAAATAGAGGTCTCCAAACCTTTCTACCTAGGCTGATATAAAATTATTATGGCTAAAATCTTGTGTCATTTTTAAAATTGGGCCAAATCAGGCTTTTTAACAATTCTAGGTATTATAATATTTTGAAATTCATCTAAATAGTAGATCCAATCTACATATTGAGATAAGTCAAACTTAATTTTTGGGCTAAAATGACTGAGTTTAATACAAATAATTTAACAAATATTTACTCAATCAAAAAATTTTTTTATAAACATTGCTAAATATTGCCCTAATTGTTAAAGGTGATTAAAATTATAAAGTTATATTTTGAAATCATATATTTCTAAATTTCTAAGTTGTTTTAAAGGTAAAAATTTAAATGTAAGAGTAAATGAATCAGTTCAAATTAAATAAATTTAAAATTAAGGCCTTAGCATAATATTTGCTGATTATATAAACAAATGGTATGCATCCTATTTAATAATCAAAATAACTTCATACAAACAATTTATTAAAAAATGTCAAACCATATCATGGAGAACATATTTAATTTTAAAAAAATAATCAATTCATTGAAATAAAATGGATTTATATATATAATTTTTATATTAATTAAGTTATATATTTTTTTAGTATTGTTTTAATTAACTAAAGCAACTGTCTAATCAGTTCAATTGTATCTGACAAATTACAAATATATCTATATAAAAATATTCATTTTGTCTTCACAATAAATTCTAATTATATGTAAAGCATCTATAATAGTTTAAATTTAATGTTACCTTAAATAAAACAAAAAGTAAGAATTCTCGCATTTTTAATGAATAGATGGAAACCAACCACGGTGTAACTAAACTGAGAATTGACAGGTAACATTTATTTTTATTTTATAGCCTATCAATTTTATTTTAAAAATATAAATAAAATGTTTTTATTATGTAAATCAAATTTATCCATAATTAATTTTATCTAAATAAATAAAATAGAATATAGAAGAAATTGTAGTCTGTCGTATTTTTATATACAAATTTATATTAATTTTGCATAATGCCAATCAACCAAAATAAAGATTGATTAGATTATAACTAATATTGAAGAACACGTGATAAAAAAATATTTTTCGTGTTTGAAAATAATTGTAATAAAACATTTTTAAAAATTATGAGATTTTTTTCCTGATATATTTTGATTATTGAAAGTCTTGTAGATTATTCGTGATTATTTATTCTGATATTGCTGATGATAATAAAAATTAATTTTTTTTATAAAATTAATATATATTTGTTTTTGGAGATTTTTTAAAATTGTGCTTTGAAAATTACTAATAAAGAATATTTTGTTTAAAGTATCGGAAATTAATTCTAGCTCCAAAAGGAACAGTTATAAATTACCGGTTAAGTATAGGAAAGGTGGAGAGTAAGGGATTTTTGTTTATTTTTATATTTATTTTTTTACAGTGGTGTCGTGACGCGGATCGGAAGATTGGAGTGATTCGGTTTTAAAGGTAAAACAAAATTTTTGTTGATATATATTTTATCTGATAAATTTTTGGCAACGCAGTAGTACTAACACTAAATGCGTATTTAATTGTGAATTTTTTTGGCCATAATATTCATATATTCTTTTGATATAAACATTTTTATTTGATTTGAATTAATTGGGCGGTGATCTTAATTAAAAATTTATGAGAAAATGGTTTATTTTTTTAGACATGATGGGGATCATAGTTTTGGTGATAAGGTTCTCTTTTATAAGGATTTGGGTTATAAAGTTTTGCATAAGAACTTATGAATTGGATTTAGGTAAGCAGTTGATTACTATTGGGCTATTGGTAATTGTGTATTTATTGATAATTGTATTGAAATACTTAGTGAAAAGGGGTACTGCGGTACTGGCAAAAATGTATTGTAATTTTAAGGACACTCCGGTGTTGGCTGTTTATGTTAAAAAAGTAGCAGACTTAGAAAGTAGTCTAAAAGATGTTTTAGATGAAATCAAGGCTGGGAATGGTTTGGAGAGGTCCGGGAAGATCCTCCAGGACGAAAAGTGAAAGAGGTCATCAATGCGTTGATGAGGTTGAACAGAAATTCTGTGAGGTGCCTTGTATGTGAGCGAAATAATAATAATTGGAAAAATAGTTACTAAGAAAATAATGGAGTGGCAGTAAACAAAAGATTTGAAGAGATTATCATTTGTAATCGTTGCAGGTGGAGGGGACACAAAAGGGATACTTGCGGGGTCCCAGAGAAAAGGTTTAAAGATGGATTTCCGTGAAAGAAATTTGAAGTAGGAAAGGCGAATGTAAAAATGGTCAGTGTGGACGGATCCCGATTATGTTTAAAGTGTCAAAGGTCAGGACATGTGGCCATGAATTGTATAGAAATGTCTCACAATTTGCATTGACTATATGATTGCAAAGTTAATCATATATGGGTAGGGGTTTCGTGAAATAGGAAAAATTTTTATAACAAAATATATGACAATCTTAGTCGTGATAATGGGAGTGATAAAATAAAAATAAGTAGTCATGCTAGTTATCCCCATGGAAAGGAGGTTAATCAGTTCAAGTGGGAACAATATCCGAGAAATATTGTCGGTTATTCCCTTAGAAGGGATGTCAGAAAGTTTAGTTGGGAGAAATGTCCCAGATATCTTGGTAAAAAAAATATAATTGTCAGTAAAAGGCCGCTAAATTCCGAGTTGAATTTAGGGGATAATGTGGATTCTAATGGAATTGTTATTTCAGTTAAAATAAACACGGGCTCTCTCATTAAAACATATGATATTTTAATGACGGAGAGATTAAATGGACCATGTTCGTGTCCGAGGGTTAACTTGAAAATTGACCATATGAATATAGAGATGCTGTTTGACACCGGGGCTAGTATTTCTCTAATGTCTCAGTAGAATTTTTACAAGTATTGGCCTGGGGGTAAACTTGAAAAAGAGGCTATGTGCGTCAGGCAATTTGATGGGTCGGAAGTTGCCATGTTGGGAAAGGCCAAATTGGGGGTTAATATTAATGATGTAATCTTTTTCCTGGATTTATGGGTGGTGAAGGAAAGTGTGGAAACCATTATGGGGTGGAGTTGGATTGTTCAGTTGGGTTCCTTTAATAACTTTTGGAATATTTTTGCAATACCGGAGGCTACAAATTAAACTAAGAACATGAGGATGGCTAATAATGTTCGAGATAAAATTTATGAAATAGAAGGGACGGATTCAACTGTAAAAGAAAGGAATTCAACCTGTAATTCTGAGATGTCTATACTTTCTATTGAATTAATAGTTGACGACAACAGTAAAACCCAGGGAGTAACCGGGGTGAAAGGGTAATTATGTGCTATATATATAATTTGGAGAAATTAATGGGAAAGATACTCTTAATAGGCACCAAAAGTGTTCCGTGATTATGAGGAGTTGCGGGGTAACTGTTATGTAAAAATAAAGAATAATCGGGAATTAAAATGTACGTGAACTGTTGGTAATCTTTTTGTTTTGGTTTATTTATTATTACACGATGATAGTGTGGTTGCTGATAAAATGCAAGTTTATTGGTTTTAATTTTTGCATGTTTTTCATGGCAAAAGTTGGTATTCATTGAGGTTACCAGTTGTTAGTCATAAATAAGAGTTGAAATATATAATGTAAGATTAAAATGGAAAGTTGATGAATCTTATATTGTTAATGGTTAAAAGGGAATCATGTATTGAGTTAGAGAAACCGTTTTGGTATTTTTATTACATATTTGTGGTTATTTTTCATCTTTGGCAAGCCGCAAGAAGAAAGTGAAAGGGGAGAAATATTTTTGTTGTAATGTGAGATAAGAGCGTGCACCTGTTTTTTTTATATTTTTTTAAATTTATATATTGGTAATGTTTGTTTCGTAATAAATAAAAATGTATATTGAAGAGTTCGTGTACAATGAACTCCTATCTTTGGCCGGGTCATTTAAAAGGAGAAGATTTTAATTGTTGTTTAGGTGATAAGGTATGTTTTTATTTTGTGATTTTTCGCTTTTTATTATATCCTTGTGGGATGCCTTGATCTGGGCAAGCTGCAAAAAGAGAAGAAAAATGTAAGATATATTGTGGGAATGTGGGATGGTACTGTACATGGATTGTGTGTTTTATTTTTTTTAAATCTTTTCCCCCCTTTTAAATTACATTTTTAATATTCCTTGTTTATTTTTGTTATCTTTGCCAGGCAGCGAGAAGAGAGGTTCCATAATGTAATTAATGTTTATGGAGAGAATATGGCATAATTTGTTTAATTATTTTTTTTTTAAATTCCCCAAAATTGTAATTTGAAAATTATATTTAAAAAAAAGAGAACCAGTTTAATTATTTTTTTTTAAATTCCCCAAAATTGTAATTTGAAAATTATATTTTAAAAAAAGAGAACATAAAATAAATTTTATTTTCTTTTTATACTGAATTTACTCCTTCTCCAATCACAAAAAAAAAAAATTTGCGTCGTTTTAAGTATTCAAATCAAGCCCACAATCACCTGATGACCATCGATACCCCTAATGATCCATGATGACACACATAGGACGTAGATGTAGGCAATTGAAGATCAAACCTTCGCATGCTATGAATATGATAGGATGGGGAATTCGTATTAGCAGATTACAGTCTTAACCATATATGATATCCCTATAGCATACCTTTGTAGGACCATGAATATTCAGTATTCTATTGTTGTAATGAGAATTCATATTAGCCGAGTACTATTCTAGCAAGTTATATGATGGTGTCCATATAACCTACCTTTGGAGGACAATAAATATTCATTATTCTAGGGATGTCTTTAATAATCAAGAGGCATAGTATTAAAAAAAAAATTTTCTCGTATTTGGGTAACATCATCTATTGTATATAGTAAATATGATATATATTTTTTTTTTAATTTGTAGGCATGCCATTGGCCCATAAGGGGTGGCATGTCGTATTTTTATATACAAATTTATATTAATTTTGCATAATGCCAATCAACCAAAATAAATAAGGTTGATTGGATTATAATTAATATTGAAGAACTAGGGATGTAAGACAGGGGAAATTTTGAAATTTCCCGGAAATTTCCCCTATAGTTTCCCCAATTTTTATAATAGGTTTTTTTGCCTAAATCAACATGATTTTTATAACATTAACAGTTTCCCAATTTTGAAAATGATCTTATGATAAAATAAATACATTTTTATTTGATTTTATAAAATCATTTTTTCCTCGTGGTTCATATCATAAATTATAATTGTGTTTTGTTTTTGAATTATGTCAATTTCCCTATTTACATTTGCAAAATTTTAGAAGATACTTGTTAAAATTAAATAGCTAGTCTGAAAAGTATATTTATATTATAAATAAATACCAATGAAATTTATAAATAATATATGAAATTTTAAGTTATGTTAATAGAGAATATTTATAAAATTAGTTTATATAAGAGCCAATCTACATTTTATGGGAAAGTAAATTTCTGAAAATGACAAATTGCTGGATTCCAGAATTTCAAGCTCTGATCTGGAATCATTTTCATCTTCAAACGAAGATAATTAACTATTCAAAATTAATTGTTTAAATATTATTTAGTCTATATATAATATTTCAAATGAAACATGTAAAGTAATTGCAAATTAGTTGAAAATAATTTATATTTGTTTAATTATAATGTTTATAATCTATATATTTTCAATAAAACATAAAAAAAAATCATATTGACCTGTAAAGTATTATAAAAAAGATAGTTTCCCGTTTTTCCCCGTTATTTCCATTTTCCCGTTTTTTTCCCAAATTTCCCAGGAAATTTCCCCGAAATATAGTTTCCCGGGAAATTTACATCCCTATGAAGAACACGTGATAAAAAAATATTTTTTGTGTTTGAATATAATTGTAAAAAAAGTTTATTAAAAAATTATGAGATTTTTTTCCTGATATTTGATAATTGAAATCCTTGTAGATTATTCGTGATTTTTTATTCTGATATTGTTGATGATTATAAAAATTAGTTTTTTTTTAAAATATATGATTATAAAATTAATATATATTTGTTTTTGGAGATTTTTTAAAATTGTGCTTTGAAAATTAAATAAAGAATATTTTGTTTAAAGTATCGGAAATTAATTCTAGCTCCAAAAGGAAGTTATAAATGACCGGTTAAGTATAGGAAGAGTGGAGAGTAAGGGATTTTTGTTTGTTTTTATTTTATTTTTTACATAGTTAATAAATTTAAAATATGTATAGAACAGAAATAAATTTTAAAAATCATAAATATATTTCCGTTAGATAGGCGTATTATATTAAAAATTTAGTTTTTAATTAAAAAAAATATGAATTATAAGAGCACTAGTTAATAACCCGTCAAAAATGACGGGTTCTTAAAATCTCCCTAAAATATATATGTAAATTTAAGGCAAGGTCTTTTTTGTTATTTATGATAAAAAAAATGGATTAATATTTCCTCCATATATAATTTAACAATGGCTTACTTTATTTCCTTGTGTCCAACAATTTCTTGAATCCAGCAAAAAAAAATTTTGCAAAGATTTATATTAGGGATTATCTATTTGCCCATTCCTTTAAGTTTAAATAAAGTTAGATGGGAAATGAAATAATTCAGTTATTGAAATTAGAGACCTTCACGGGTCTTGATTTATTCATCAACCTCCCAGGTCAGCGGTAAAAATAATTTGCAGGCCCATTCCATATTTAATAAAAAAAAATCAAACCCAAGCCCATCATAAGTTTAAAAAATTTTGTCCAAGCCTTATCCAAAAATTTAATTTATTTATTTAAATGAAAATAAACCACATTTAAGTGTATTTAGGAAATCACTTTGTTTGCAATATTGAAATTTATTATCATTAGAAGAAAAAAAAATGCAATATATTTTTAATAAGTCACAGTTTAATAGGCTAAATTTAAATTAAAAATTTTTAGGCTTTTTATCAAAAACCTAGACCTGGCACAGGCACATTAGTAAATACATTATTTATGCTAAAAAAAATATAATTGTAAAAAAGGTTTCCAGATTTTGCAGGACTTTTTATTTTTATGTGCTTTCCAACTAATGAGCCAAGACATTTTGGAAATCCATGTTTCTCAAAATATTCTTGTGCAATCTAAAAATATATTAATATCTAAATTTAATACCTTCTCACAATGTTCTCTAGTTGGAACTGGCATATGAATATCTTTTAAAGTTTTCCATATAGCATCACATACCTCTGGAATGATGGTAGCAATTTTTGCTTATTCTGCTACTATAAGATAGTTGAGAGTAATTAAGGCTTGTTCTTAAGTATCTTAAATAGTTTGCCTATTCTTTGGATATACTAAAATAAATAGTGTTTAATTTGGTGTTCAGCAATAAATATTTTAAAAATATTATCTAAATAAAATTTGTTGAAAAAGAATATTTTATCTTCGCCATATTATAAATCACATGGGAATTACTATTGGCTTAAATTGCTATGATGATTATCATTGGACAAATATTTTTTAAAAAAACACTATTGGTTAAATTTAATTGACGTTTTTTGAGGATTATTATAATAGATAATTCTTTACTTTGGATTAATTTATTTGGTACAAGCTATATAATCATAAAATGAAAAAAATTTTAAGTTTCCATCATTATTTTTGGAGTTATGATGTCAATTCTCAGTTTAGTCAAAAAATTTTAGATTTTTGGGATTTTAAAAATATTTTATTTTTCTGACTCATTATGTATAAACTTACTCATATAAACATAACATGAAAAAAAATTTAAGTTTCCGTCATTATTTTTTAAGTTATGATGTCAATTCTCAGTTTAGTCAATTTTTTTATTTTTGAGATTTTAAAAATATTTTATTTTTCAATAATTTATATTCGTTATTGAATCGGAAAACTTGTTTACTTCAGTTAAAATTTAGGGGCCCTTAAAAGGGCTGTTGGGTATTCATTGATCTTAAAATAGACCTTTGGGTATTTTTAAAAAAGTCTATCTTGGGTAAATTAGGATATGAAGGGTCGTACAATTCATTTTTTCTACTGAACTACAAATGTTTTTGTATGAATATGGTTCCGGTCGAATGTAATTATTAGACGAAATAAAAAATATTCTAGAACCTATTCTAGCTTTAAAAATAATGGTACATAAATGTTGGAAATATAAAATTCCAAATTTCTTCACTTTCGTAGATTTTAGCAGAGCTTTTGATAGCGTAAATCATGATGCCCTGTGGAGAACACTTTTGGAATGCGGGATTAAATCTAATGTTATCTACATTCTAAAGAATAACTATTCTAATTTATCCGCTTGTTTTAAAATAAACAATAAAGTATTCCCCTCTTTCAGAATTAAAAAAGGTGTAAAACAAGGATGCACACTTTCACCTTTCTTGTTCAATATCATAATGTATAAAATCGTAAAAGAAGCCCTGGGAGCTGCAAATCTATTAGATATAGGTTCAAATGTTACAATAAGTGTGGAAAATCGAATAATATCTTATGCTGATGATATAGCCATTGTGTCTACAAGTGTTGAAGAAACAAAAAATATGTTATGCTAATTAGAAACATTAAGTTTGAGATTGGGTCTAAAAATAAACTTTAATAAAACTTTTATTCTTCCTTCCCCAAATGCAACTCAAAATTTAAATTTTACAATTGGAGGAAATGCAATTAAGATTGTAGATAAAATAAAATATTTAGGAGTTATGCTTGACAATAAAGGATGCTGTAAAGAAGAATTGAAAATTAGAATACAAAAGGCGAGAGGGGCGTTTTATAAATATATGAAAATATGGAAAACGAAAGAGATTTCTGTACACACCAGACTAAGAATTTTCAATTCTACTATAATTCCTATATTATTATTTTGTGGAGATTTATGGGTAATTAATAAAACAGAAAATAGAAGATTACAATCATTCATAAATAACTGCCTCCGTACTATAAATGGTATCTTCTACCCAAAAGTAATATCTAATAATAATTTATGGAGAATATCAAAACACACTCCAATTCATATTACATTAAAGAAACGTTGCATTCAATTCCTAGCTCACATCATAAGGAACTCAGACCATAATCTAGTTCATGACGCCATTATATGGCTCTACACTTATAATAGGAAAGAATATTCAAAATATAAATCTTTATGGTATTATAAAACCATAAAAGATATTATGAAACTAAACTTAAACATGAAACAATTTATCAAGTTAAACAACTGCAAAAATTCCATAAAGAAGCTCTTCAGAATTAAAGACAAATATTTTAAATAAAAAACATCTGGGCTTGTTTTTATAATGTTAATTATTCTCAACTAGTATTTTCCAAACCTTTTCAGGACTTCAGGACAAACCGAAATGGAATTGGTATGCTCTTTAAATTTTTTTTTTAGTATAAATTCACAGCTTTAATTATAAAAAATTAAATTTAAAATCAGCCACAACCCACCTTTAATGTAATTAATTTATACTGCAGTTCTTGGGCATGGGCTCTTTTTTTTGCCCCGCTCTTTTTTTTGCCCCGCTCTTTTTCTTAAATCCTATGGACGTCTGTAACATTTTTCGAAATGTTACGCGTGCAAGTACATACGGCTTGCCCACAAACGTGTAGAGGGCTCCTCATATTTTTTTAAACTTTCACCCCAATTAACTTATGTTCCAATTAGATGGAAATGAACCTAGCGTAGCTCTGTTGTTTATTCGACGTCAGAGGGCATATGCGCTAAACATTACGGATCACGGAATTATTTTTTATTTTAGTTAATTTGAATTATTTGATATACATGAAAATATTGAATACAAATAAACGGTTAAATAACTTTAATTGATAAATATACTAATTCTTATATGTTATATAATATATCTCCATTTAAGGATATAAACATATATCCCCCACACTCTATTGTCTCCTATTTTTCGAATAAAATAGTGATTTTACCGTTGTCGGTCTGAAATAAAGTAACCATAAATGGAGCACATTTGTATAGAATTTAAGCCTAACGACGTTTAGCCAACTTCACGGATCAATTTATTATCATTTAAAAGTAAGTTTACAAAACCTTCATAATACTATTTAAGATTTGGTGAAATCAGAAGCTTGCAGAGATGCCAATTGCATGGGCCGGTCCGGATTTGTAAAAATATTTTCTAGCCCGGTCCGGAGTTTAAAAAACTTTCGGTCCTGCATGGGCGTATAAAAACTTTCCGACAAAATGGTTCTAGCATGATATTGGAAATTTGGGAAGTGAATAAATGTGATATATTATCAATAGTACAACAGTTTTCATTTATTTTATGTATGCATATAATAATCGCGATTTAAAATTTTCGGTCCGACCCAGATTTAAAAAAATTTTTTGGCACCCATTTTAAAAAATTAGGCCTGGCCATTTTTTTTTAAGAAATTTACAGCCCGGCCCATGTATCCGGGTCGGATCTGCAGATCTCTGGCTGAAACTATTCATATCATTGAAAATTTAGGAAACGAATAAAAAATAGAGGTGAATTGACTACTAAATTATTTGATGATTACCAATACTTTATCATTTATATTTTTAAACAGAACCTAATATGGTTAATAGAAGTTTCTCAGTATAATTTTGAAATGAAATGGTTTTAATGTAAAAATGCTGTGATCGTTTTTAATTTGGGAATTTACATTATGAAATTTTGTTAGTATTGATAAATAGAACAGATTTATGACTTATAGTAAGTCCATTTATCATTATTATTTCTATAAAAACCAATATATCAGCTGTGAACATGAAATATTCAATATTTCTCAATCACCTGAATAGATAGATTTTAACAATTTTATAAACAAAAGAGCTTTTTATTTTATGCAAATATAAATATTAATAAAATTATAAACGAATAATTAAAAAAATTCAACAATGCGATAAAAAGAATATTTGAATTCAAACTATGCTAATTTTTTCTTAAAAACAAATAAAAACTTTCAACATTTTTTTTTGATTAATATTTTATACATTACAATTAAAGATAAATAATATTAATGTTATCAGCGAGTAATCAAAATTTTCCTTTGTATGGCCTAAATTCATATCAAAATCAATCCGGACAATTAGTCAACTATTCCAACGCATGTCCGTTAAATTGTTCGAATAATTTAACTGTTCCAAGGCCGAATGGGGACATCTCAAAGTTCGGGTTATTTAATCAGAGACTAGAGAATGTTAATAGTAATTTTCCTTATGTGATGAGCAACCAATACAAAGGAACAAACTTTACGTGTAACAATGCGCCTCAATTTACCCCTCCCTTTAATTTGCAGAAACCTCCGTTTCCCACAAATTTTAATTTTAATCCAAGAGGCTTTACTCAGAAAAATGAGCATCCTCCATTAGTTAACAGTGGTCAATCACCACTATGCTTAGATTACAAGTTGTTAGGCCAATTAACAAGAAATTTTCCAAATGAATTAGCCAATCGCGCTGTCAACGATACGTTAGAATTTTCAAAATTTTGTCCACACGTTTCAAGATGTACCCTGGTGAGTCTTTGCTGCGATCTGTATGAGGGTTATAGCCATCAAATGCTTGGACTGCCTATACCTCCTATAAGAACTATATGAACAACCGTATGCTAATAATTGCTAATGGGTTACATAGACATTATTATGATTATGAATGAATGTTTTTTTATTATTTATTCCTCAATTTGTGGTAATAAAATTTTATAATAAACATCTCTTATTTTTTTTTAAAGTAGTTAAGAGAACATTGGTTTAAAAAAAATAAACATATTTATGCATCTATATGGCGTCCTGATAATTAAATATATATAGTAATACTGTATTTTAATATATAATTGATATCCACTAGTGATCTGCATCGGGCCGGGCCCAATTTTTCAAGCCCGGTCCGGCCCGAAAGTTTTTTAAAAAAAGTTTGGCAGGCCCGGCTTGATTTTATTTAAATATAGAAATTAATTTTTATAATTACTGAAAATAAAAGACGTATGTTATATGAAGTCTAGTTCTATAAATAAAATCAAATATTTTTATTTTATATAAAAAATTTAATATAAAATTGAGAAATCTAAATATATTTGATTAAATTTCCAAAGCCCGACCCGATCAGGCCCGAATTCTTTTCAAAAATCGGGCCGGGCCTACTTTTACAGATCTCTACTACCCACTATATAATTTTTTCAAATATATATAATATAATAAGTATCACCTGGTTAATTCTATCATATTTAAAGTATAATATATTTAATTAAAACTATAAATAAAATTCTTCTAGAATGTATAATTAATATAATTTTCGTGTACTAAATTTTCTACAACGAATGGATTCAAATATAGAAGAAGATAATCCCCTATTCAAAGGGGTTTTGGTTTTATTTGCCATAGTAGCCATTTTGATAATTGTATTGTGGATAGCATTCGTTCGTTATTTAAGATTGAATCAGAAAAAAGAGCTGCACAAAGAAGAAATAGCAGAAATAAGAAGCGAAATTTTGATGAAAAATGGAAAGGTATACAATACTCTAAGCCCTGCGGGAAATCCTTTAAAGCAGAAAAATGAACCATTTATCAAGTTTAAGCCCGAGTCGAAATATAAAAATATCGATAAAAAAGCGGGTTCTCCTTTATCACCGAATAAAATGGTGACGGGTGGGGAGATATCTCGATATAAGAATGACGAGGGCTTAACACAGAGTAGAAAAAACATGGGAGATGATCCTTATTCAAAATTTGTATCGTCGATGTTCAAAAATGAATTATCCAAGGAATCGGGAAACGTGAGCGGGGATATTAATAGAAAACATTCCTTCTTTATTCCTCCTTTGTATAGTAATGATCGTAAATATTCCAATTTGATATATCCCTACTCTCCTATCAATGAATTGAAATATAAATTCTATTTTGGCGCGGGTGGTAATAGAGAAAAGAAAGTAGAGCCTATAGCTGTATCGGAACTATTTGATTATATAAATACTATGAAAATAGATCCCGAATCGTTTAAAGCGGAACACGCCCTTTTGCCCGAAGGTCATACGAAGCCGTGTGAAATTGGGGCCAAACCTCGTAACAAATTTAGAAATCGCTACGCCAACATATTGGCTTACGATGAAGGAAGAGTCGTTTTGCAAATCACTCAAAGGAATCCCGACGGATATATCAACGCGAATTACATTGACAGTTATATGCATCCCAAATCGTATATCGCTACCCAGGGTCCCCTGAGGGATTATATTGACGAATTCTGGGAAATGATTTGGCAAGAAAACAGCCTGAAAATTATAATGCTGACCCGTATATTCGAAAATAAAGTGGAAAAATGTGATCGTTACTGGCCCACGTTCGAGGAAACATATGGTAAAATCAAGATCAAGGTGTTGAAGGCGAGCAGAACGGCTAACTACGTCATATTCGACCTAGAACTTTACAACAAAGTAGAATTGAAGAAAAGAATCGTACGCTTGTATTGGTTTTTATCTTGGCCAGATCACGGGGTAGATATTTTTTTTTTATTCTTGTTTAGTTCATTTATTTTTGAATTTTAGGTGCCCGAAAAAACTACAGAATTTTTATCCTTTTATAATTTTGTGAAATCCTACGATCCACCATACTCGGGTCCGTCGATAATTCATTGCAGTGCGGGAGTAGGACGTACGGGAACTTTTATCGCTTTGGATAGTATGATTGAGATGGGCAGGGATAAAGGTGAAATCGATCTATTTAATTATCTAATGAAAATGAGGAATCAGAGATGCAATATGGTTCAATCACCGGAACAGTATGAATTTCTGTACGATTCTATATTGGAATCGTTGGTTAGTGGTGGCACTTTTATATCTTGCGAGGACAATCAATACGAATATTTCAACAAAATTTGCAGCGTGAATGCCACAAATGGTAAGACACTACTCGAAGATCAATGGCAAGTGTTAGGAGAAATGGCGCCACCGATAACATTTGACCCCTATAGATTGATTAATACTGGCCGAAAGAAAGAAAACGTGGGGAAAAATAGGGAAAATAAGGTTATACCAAAAGAGAGTAGAAGAACAGTGTTTAAGATAGTAGGAGGTTATAAAAACGCGACCGATTATATAAACGCAACTTTTGTAAATGGTTACGATCAGAGAGACCAATTCATCGTAACACAATGGCCCATAGGAGACACTAAAATTGATTTTTGGAAGCTAGTATGGGAATATGATATAAGAACCATCGTAGTTTTGGTCAGACATCGTGAACCAAAAGAAAAAAAGGACGACAAATTTTCCTCCGTCATCGATAGTTATTGGCCAATCAAACCTAACGAGGTCCTATATTTTGGCATGTTTTTCGTTGAATTGATAAATACTAGCATGGTTTTAAACGAAGATTTTGGCAAAATGATGGTGATAAGGACTTTCAAGATCGGAAATATGTTGGAAAATGGAGTAGGTGATAACAAATCCTTTGATTACAAATCCTACAAAAAATTTGACGTGAAAAATTACAAAAACGTGAAAATCGTGAAGCAGTTTCAGATTTTGAGTTGGAAAAATCGCGAAATAAAACCTCAATCAACATTGATAATCCAAGAGGTAATCGAAAGATCCAATTTATGGCAAAGAGTGATAAGCGATGAAGAGGAGTCCAAATCACTTGATAGTCGCCCTATATTAGTTCAAGATTTAGATGGGTACAGTAAATCGGGGCTTTATATTGCCTGCACTCATTTGTACGAACAAATCAGGGTAGAAGATGGCCTCAACGTTTATTTAGCTGTCAAGACTATTCGTTCCGATCGACCCGAATTCGTGAATTCTTTTGAGCAATACCAATTTCTGTACAAATTTTCGTGGCAGCAAATATTATTGATAAAATTTCAAGAACAACACAGGACACCGTCACTACCATATGCATCCATAGAAATGTTTGACGATAAATATATGGCAGGGAAATATAGCTCATCGAAACTTGGTTTTAAGCCGGATATTATTAGGGATCCAAACGCGATAAAAACTATTGATGACCTGACTGAAGCCATAAATCTACGTTATGATAATTATTGAAGTTTTAAGATATATAAGGATTTTCTATTATAGTTTTGATTCGGAATATATCCCAGAGTATACTATACACCCAAGAAAAATAATTCCTCCAAACTAAGTATATATTATTATCATTTGAATATTGATAGTATAAAAAAAATTAAAATAATTTAAAAAATAAAATTAACTTTTTTAAATACACAAATCCTATTTCAACGTCCAATCCCCTACCAAAAAAATTATATATTTTAGAAATGGCGCTTATTAATCAAACTTGTATGATTTTAGTCAAGAACAAATATTTTATTTTTCAAAAAAACATGGACGAAACAGAAGCACGCGTCTCTGAACAGAGCCAACCTAAAAAAAATATATTTTCAAGTTTCGGAAACGTGTTCCTGAATAGAATATCTCATTTTATTTTATTTAATATACAAACAATTTATTAATCTTTATAATAGAAATAAAACAAAACATCAAGGCTACTAGTCAGACGGGAAGGAGGGGGTGGGGGTGCTATGATGCAGAATCGTCATTGGAATTGAAGGGGGGCTAGAGTTGAATGAGGTGGTAGGGACGATGGTATAGCCCAATAGGAAATAATAAGGGGATGTAGAAATGGTTGCATATTTATATTGGTGGTCTTTTATTGTGTCGAAAACACCCTTCATCACTAGACTTGATAAGAAACTTAATTATCGGGTTGAAATTTAAAATTTTTATTATATTAATTTTATAAGATACAGTTAAGATTGTTCTAAATAGATCTTAAATGTTCCTTCCCATGTCACTGATAAATACTAAGAAGTCGTCCTAGGTTTAAAAAGAAAAGGTTTTTTCTCCTTAGACTAGACTAGATTTAATGGGCGAACATAAATTAAAATAATCTTATATATTGGTTTTCTAACATAAATATGAAGCCTAAGCAAGTTATTCTTACATTATATTTTACGATTACTATTATAAAATTATCATTCGGTTAAAGTAAATATATATTGTTTACAACAGCTGTCATTAAACATTTCTTGAATTAACGATCCGTGTTAATTTTGGAAAATAATATACGACAATGATTGTTTTTTAAAATAAAAATATTACCCCCAATAGTATATTTACATATACAAAAAAAATAACAAGGATGGCTAAGAGGCTAGAACTGATTGAGTGATGGGGTTTCCATTCCCGATGGTAAATTTTTTTCTAATCAACCTTCTTTTCTTCTAGATAAGGATTAGAAATTAAAATGGGTGTTACGGAATTTTTATAATGAGCGTTGTTTAGTAAATTGGTATGAGGTGACCGAGTCATATATAATAATCTTTAATTTGTTGTTTTATTAACTTTGCCGTCTTTTCGATCTAAAGTGAACAAGGGTTATAACTGAAAAACGTTTAAGGCTATTTAGGATTAGCTATGATTAAAATTCCAAAAATCGCAGAAAAGTTAATATACAGATTTACAAACTGCATTAAACTATTTTAAATAATTCAATCGCTTTAATTTTTCGTATTTTATTAATTTGCGTAATATACTCTGTGATAACAAAAAAAGAAGTTTATTTCAATATATAAGACAGTGATATAAAATTGATAGTTACAATAAATGTAATAATTAAAAATAAAAAGAAGAAATAATCTTTTTATAAAATATAAAAAAAATTAATCATTTTTATAACTTTAAAAATAAGGAAAATTATTTTCAAAAATCATGTATAAAATTTAATAAATGATAATGCGAAAGTGAAAAATAAATATATAAGGCAAAATTAAACTATCAAATTACACTGGACTTCTTTTTAATTTTGTGGAAAAGGTGATATTTCTGCGGGGAATGAAGCATGCAAGCTTATAAAATTTACCTTTCCAAGCAACGTTATGATTACGAACCAAAGAGAAAAAAAATAGTAAAGAATATACAAATCGTTTATTTTAAATGTGATATATCTGCGGGCGATTGAAGAATACAAGCTAATTAGGTTTTCAAGTAATGGTTACTAACCTAAGAAGAAAAGGTTGTCTAACAATATACAAATCATTCGTTTTAAGAAATAGGATCGATTTATAAGCTTGTTAAATCTAAATTTTAAGGTTTGTATAATTGAAAAATCAATTTTCCAAATAAAGGTTAAATAGAAAATAAAGAACAGCTCACATTTTAAAATTTTGCACGCAGAAATATTTTGTTCAATTTTAGCACCTCTATATGCTTTATATATATATGTATACACATACAAAAAATTTCAAGCCATTCCTTTTATCTCATATAGATAAATAATTTTAGAAAAAAAATTGTTATGACAAATAAGTTTCCGCAATAAAAAGAATGTTAATAAGAAATGTGGGGTAAAGCTAATTTCTGGCTGATATATATATAATATTTATTGATAAGGTATGACACTGTAATGATATGAGGCCCAACGACGAAACAAGTAAGTATGATTGATTGGCATGTAGATATGTTAGTTGTATAAAGCACTATTATAATCACAAAAGGAACCGCTCATGAGAGAACTTAATATAATTATTAACCAAGCACACATTAATAAAATAAAATTTTTTAAAGCAGTTTTATATTTATAACAATAAACAATTTCAAAAAAAAAAGAAAAAATTAAAGTTTCCTGGCGGACAAAAATATTTCTTTTGAAAAAAAATAAAATAATGAAATAAAGTATATTAATGTGGGGCAAGCTTAAAAGCAGGATGGTAAAACGTGTTAAGGAAAATCATAAAAAAAACATTTACATTTTCATCCTCTAAAACAAAGAAGAAAATATGTAATAAATACAAACGTATGGAACAATCATTCATACAATCACATATAAACATTTAGATGTCCGTTAAAAAAAATCCCAAACAGATCCGAATTTTTTTTGTAAATGGGCTAGGCCAAATTTTTAACACTATTCTTTCTGATCAGGCCGGGTAACCATTTCGAGCCGAGCTCCGAGTCGTACATAAACCGCGGATGTACTCAATACCTCAAGAGTAAAATTTTGCGATTTTGAGTTTTTTAGAAGGAGAGAAAGAGAAACGAGAGATAAATAGAAAAGGGTGCATCCAATATTATTTGAATTGTAAACGTTTTATAATATATATATATAAATTTACAATATTTTTTTCCCTATTTACATAAAAATAGGATATTCTAAAATTCGTTTGTATTGGCCAGCCGTTAGCGTTGAAAAAATATTTACATAATCGGCATAAAAACGGGCTAAAAGTTGCGATATCTGGAATAAAGAAGCGATATTTAAACATATTCTGGATTCCGAATCGAACATCTGAGAAAGGACTTGATCAATCTGGCAAAGGAACTTTAAAATAAAATGGATAATTATAATGAACTCAAAAAAGAGCAAAAAAAATTAAGTAATATTAATTTGCGAATAATGAATAATAAATAAAAAAAATTGGCTAGAAAAAAATGAAATTTTTGTTGATCAAATTTTACCTAAAAAAATCCAAAATCTTTTGTAATTTTCATGTAGAAAAAATCATTCACGATTAAAATCAAATAAATTTTATCAAAAAATCAAATTTTTTGAAAATATTTATCAAACTTTGATATTGAATATAAAATTAGTTAAATATTTTACCGACAATTCTTTTTTCGATGTTCTTCCAAACTAAAAATGTAAATATTAAAAAAAAATTTTTATTTAAATTTAAATAATTAATTATAATTTAAATCATAAATTTGTCAAATTTATAATATAGTCATAAAATAACTAATCTTGCCAAAAAAAAATAAATAAATGGGCAATCAATTGCGAAAATTAGCATCAATCTGTTTATTACCCCTAAAATAAAAAAAATAAGATTTACCTTATAAAAAAGGTAACCCAATTTTAAATCTTAAAGTATCCTAATATTCTCAAATAGAATCCCGTATAACCGGCCTGTCATCTTGACCCTACGGTAAAATCATTAATAAAATATAAACCCGACCCGTGGCCGAAAAAAAATTAATGTACAAATATCACAATTATAAAATGAAATAGAAATAAAATTGTAATCAGGCCACAGGCGAGTTCTCGACCCTCAGGCTCTTTAAGCGACACCATTTTTCTCCTCCCCCAATGTTTTACAGTAAGGGTTATCTATTGTTAAGACCTATTCAAAATTAAATACGATCAATAAACTATTTATACTAGATTCCTTTAAAAATAAATCAATTAATACCCGTGAAAATATTAAAATTTACTAATCTTATTCAATTTGTATAATTTCGAATAGTAAATTATCTATTCGTTAACAATAGAATGTGAAAATCTTATTATCCAGATTCACATTCGAGTTTGAATAAGGCCATCTTATATGTATGTATATAATAAATACATATCAAATGTGATATTTCCCGGAATTGTTGTATAAATATAAATAGCACGATAATTAATAACAAAGTTTAAATATTGACAAAAAAAATAAATAAACCTGTTTCAAAATAATTTGCCAAATATAATAAATCATCGTTGTTTGGTGAAGATATTGCATCGTAATGTTTTAGATCTAAACATTATTTTTAAAAAATGTATATATTGTTAGAGAATATAAGAAATTTTCAATGTTGTAGCAAGACTTGAGAACTAGTGTTTTTAAAAACGTCCCGATTAAGATTATAACAAGAATAATATTATGTATATCTGAAGATTTTGCTTATATTAGTGATGCAAACTGCTCCATTTGAGCCTATTTTTAAACTATTTGAATATTTTTGCCAGAAAAATATTGCTTAAACCTCGAGATTTTATTAATAGATGTCTTAATATTTGTGCCATCTATGAGCAAAATCTACAGGCTTGAGTTATAAGGTTTTAAAAATCGCCTCAAATGGAGCGATTTTGCATCACCATATGGTAAGAAAAATTGGGGCATCTATTTGCCAAATCTAGAGGCTTACCTAATATTATCGTGGCTAAAATCTTAATTGGGTCGTTTTTAAAAGCGACCCAAATCGGGCTTTTTAACAATCTCTTATTGGGGAACCAATTGCAAAATAAAAACTAAAAATAAGACAGATGTACTTTTTTTAAAAAGCCAAAATAATAAAACCAAGTGTAAAATCTTAATATAGATGTCCGAACCAATCATAAAATTCACTTTTTTAATTGTTATCACGAAACCTCGAAAACTAATATATTATATAAATTATTAATATTCATTTTTTTACCCCTTTCTTTTTGATTGATTTTCTTTCCACCGCCAATAAATATGTCGATATTAGCTTTTTTATACCTCCCATTAAAAGATTTATTAAGAAATATCCCACCATTAGTCATTTCGTCGAACCCGCCAATATGAGTTTGTTCATTGCGAATATAGAAATTAACGTTATCAAAAAGATTACTACCCCTTTCTCCATCATCCTTAAAATCACGTAGCTTGTCGCTATCCAAATCGAACCCGAATACGAAGTCGTTACTTGGTTTTATGGCGTGTTGTTCCAATTTATTGTTAATCAAGTGATGACTTGTAGGGTTAATAAAAATTACTACGTTATCGTTTATGTTTGATTGGTCGTGGTTAATTAATAAGGGGATCTTCGATGTTATCTCGATGCTATTTATATGCATAACATTGATAGCTGAAGTGGTATTCTGTAATGCAACGGGATGTTGTTGTTGTGAAAGGCTAGGAAGAGAATGTGTAGTAGTTTGACTTTTGGCTACAGTTGCGTATGAATGCTTTCCTAAATTCGAATTTATCATTGTAATAAATATATAAAATTAAAACACATAGTTTTAAAAAAATCGTTAGAAGAATTATTAAAAGGGAGATAAAAAATCGCCATTGAAAATAAAATGGAAGTCAGATGTTGACAGTATCAGATTTTAAAAATGTAATAAGTTAATATATTTATAACTTATTGGCAATTTATTTGTAAAGGTCTTCCGTTTCATATTTTATACTAAAAATTCTCAGACATTAAATTAAAAACAGTTAAATTTACCAATATTTGATGAGTTCGTATGAATGTTTGTCGATAAAATTGCCGTCGTTTGCGGAGGATAATTAACTTCGTTTGTCTAATTAATAATTCAGAATAATAAATGCATTTTTCGAAAGTCATTATTTAAAAATCTATTATAATGAGGTGATTAATCAACACTACGGGTCAGCAAAAGCTTGCCCCGCAAAGTATTGGTGGAATTCTGTAAATATTGTCGGGCCCGATAATTAGTTAAAATTATAGGTCAGTTTTTAATTTATGAGTCTACTCTTCCAATCTCCGTGTTACATAACACCCACCTTTATTATTGGACAGAATCATTAGTCCCAAACTACCCCACCACCGCTATATCAAAACATTAATTAAACTTTAAGGGGAAAAAAAATTTCATAAAAATATTTGGGCTTGAAAGGGTTAATAGGCATACTATGGTAAGAATTTGTAAATAAGTTTAATTTTTATTGGGTGTTTTAAAAAAATATCAGAGACCTAAAAATGTACGATTTGCTTTACCCGGCGCGAATTTTTTTAAAAAAAATTTGGCACGGTCTGCGTTTTATATTTTTAGGTAGATAATAATGGCAATTCAAAATATTCGGCCAGGCCCGGGTATTTAAAATATATATTATTAGGCCCGCCCCGATGGCCCTGGTCTCTGAAAAATATTTTTTCTTTAGATTATAAAGTAATAGGAGCTTTAGAGAAAATGTCTATAGTTTTAATTATTTTTGAGACAAAAAGTGAAGATCCGGCCAATTGTGTGAAAACACTGGATTATAAGCCGGTTTCAGTTTTTATATCTATATTTCACTCTTATGATACTTAATTCACACTAGAACTTGTAATTAAAAATATATATTATCTGTATTTTTTACACAAGCACACCAAAAAAAAAATTTTATTTTACAAATTTTGGCCTTTGATTACTATGAACTTTTAAATGCAGGGGTTCGAACCGAACCCGGAGAAGAAAACCCGGGTTTTTGGGAAAAATCTTGAAGCCAAACCGATCCTGAACCCCGTTTATAAAATTTCCATAACCCCGAACCGAACCCGGGAATTTTATTTGAACCCGGGTTCAACCGGGTTCAATGTATTGTTTAAATTAATATAAGATATTTTGTATAATTGTAAATATACAAATATTAATAATTTACTTGACATTTTATATTTTCAAATTTCCAATTAGGTGAAGTGTTAATAAATTTTAAACAACTTAATTTATTTACTCCATTTTTAATTTATTTTAAATTTATTCTCAAAGATTCCTATTGGATTGTTAATAAATTTTAAAAAATTAAATTCATTTACACCATTCATTTTTAATTTTTAACTTACTCTCGAAGATTATTAATTAGAGGAAAAAGAAAGTAAACAAGTTAAAGTAAAAATTATTATATTGGATATTGTTAATTTAAAGAAATACGTCTAAATAAAATTTTTAAAATCTATACATGACTATGCTTTGTATTTTTAACTATATTTTGCCTATAAATAAAATAAAAATTAATTTTTATACCAAATTTATGTCTAGTTTTTTAATTATGATTTAAATATAGAATTTTTTTTTATCAATTCGAAAATTCTTAAGCTCGAGCTGAAACCGGAACCAACCCCGGGTTTAAAAATATTTCCCTGAACTGAACCCACCTATTTTTTTTAACCTTAAAACGAACCCAAACTGAACCCGAGCCGAACCCAGGCAAAAATTTTGCCGGGTTCGCATCCCTAGTTAAATGGAATATCTCCTTAGAATATATATTTTTTTTTGCAATTTTTTTAAAAAAAATCAAATTAAATAACTTCATCATTATATGTATCGAGGCATAACAGGTCGGAGTTGGGAATGAAATCCTTTTTTTCGATGTTTTTACTTTCGCTGATACTAGAATCTGGTGATGTATCAGCATTATTTGCTTTGAGTAAAGGAAATTCGCGTTCCGAATCGATCATGGGTAGAATGGCTGATGTCGGATTATTATTGGGACAAACATTTTGATTCAAAGATTTACAAACTTTTGTATTGGCACCATAGTTAGAATTATGGTAAACGAATGATGATTTTAATGGAGGCTTCAAATTATTAGCAGGCGCCTTGATGCTGTTATAGCTAGGGCTCATGTTCCTGCTTTTCTTTAAAAAAGGAACTGGGTAGCCTTGCAAATTTTTCGCAATTTTTATGTAGCTGTTACTCTGTGGATCAGGATTTTTGTTGGCGAGATAATCGGTATAATAATTGTTTTTGGGATCATTTCTGTTCGTTTTATTATACGGGTTTGAATAAAATTTATAGGGTTTTGCAACGTTTTGCGAATCTTCGGAAGGTTGTTGCTGCTTGTTAGAGATTATGAAATTGTCGGGAACGTTAGAATGAGATTGGGCATTGGAATTGGTGACGTCTGACAATTTGGGATTCTGGTCTGTTAGATTATCGCTAACTTTATTGGTGTTTTTAGCGGTATTACTGTTATTGGAAGCCGAAACAACTTCACCGATTTCTTTGCTCGTGTGATGGTCCTCGGTATTCGGGGCGGCTTGTTTTAAGCCATTTTTAGCTTGAGAAGATATATTAGTAACAGAACTCGAAGTGTTGCTCGTGGATGAAAATTTATTCCTGTGCTGTTTTTTGGTCACCACCTTGATTAATATTATAGATTTGAAGAACCGAATAATGTTTATATATATTTCTTTTTATAAAGGTGGTAATAATCGTCTAAAAAAGTATTGCTTATATAACTTTTAAATATAAACCTTGAATTTATCTTGGAATTCCTGTGGCGGGGTAGTGTAATCCTCGTCGCTTTTCAGGGAGCCTTCATCAATTTTATTAGCTTCATAGTTTCTAAGAAAAAATAAATTAAAATAAGCTAAATGAGACACTTTCTTAAATGTCAATCATTTTCAACTTGTAAACTGAAAGGTTTGACTCGGCCCAGCCCGAATTTTAAATTAATTTTTTTGTGGAGAGGGAGCGGGCCAGGTCGGACCTAATTCAAAAATAATTTAGGGCCGGGCAGAAATTTTTTTCCCCGGAATCGAAATATTATTATTTGAGAATATGTGGTACCATTAGAAAAATCTGAGCATCTTGACGTGAGCTGGGGAATACAATCATAATTAATTTTTTTTAAATGACCGTTGTTTTAAATTTGTTTTTTAATAATAAACTCTTATAGATGGATAAAACTTCGCCTAATAAATTCGGGTGGAGGGATCAATAATTTCTTTTTTTTGTTCTGGGTTAAAATTTCCAAAAATTAGGAACCAACCCTGGAGAATTAAGGCCGATTTAGACCTTTAGTGTAAAACTGCAGAGCGCATGTCACTCATTATGATGAACAATTATTTTTTTGTGATTTTAAAATTGTCCAAAATATTCTATTTAATATTTATCTATTTTAATTTTTACTCAATTGGAAGATCGAATACGATTTCCTTCATATGAGAGCAATTCAAATCTTCGGAAGAGTGGTGTTTTTTGACATTCGTAGTTTCTGAGATAAAAGATATTAATATTATAAAACTCATGATATAAAAATCTTATATAAACGGATAAAATATCATGGACAACTATTTTTTAGTTGTTCCTAAAAAGGAGCTATAGTTATATTTGAATAAATCAATTTGCCTTTTTTGCAATAAAAAGAGAAATTTTCATGGTTCATTAGTAAATGTCTTAATTTTTTGAGCATAGAGTTAAAAATTTGTATGTTATGGGAGAAAAATGTTTGTTTGTTGATAATACGTAGTATGAATATGTAATTTAATAATTTTGAATATTTTTTTATTTTCCTTGTTTAGGCTATTGGTAAAGGATTCGAATTTTTATATGATGGGAAAGAGCAGACATAAGTGAGTCCCAAAGAAGAGATTTTTTTAGTTTAAAACATTTTTTTTAGATAAACTTAATTAAACCAACCTTATAAGACAGATGCTTACTTTAAACATATAACACCTAATAAGTACTTCGAATCGAGTATAGGATTTTGTACAAATTTAAAGGAGCTTCACTTTTAATGGCCATTTCGGGTTTCCGATTTCCGTTTTTTTGAAATAATAAACTAATTTTCATTACATCAGGAAGTATTATCAAGCTATTATAATATAATTCGAAAAATTATTGCTGCCAGATTACATTTTATATATTTTTTAAGCACATAAATGAGACTGGAATAAAATGAAGAGTTTTATATTGTTAAGAGATATAAGATTCTATTTGGAAAGTTTACTAAAGGCACCTATTTCTCTCTTCAACATAAAAATTGGAAGAAATCGTAAATAATCAGAGCGTGGACAAAGCGTAAGTGAGAGCTAAAAAACCAAAATGTTTCCACCAAAGTAGGCAAGTATGGCCACCTTATCCTAGATCGTATTCATTTGTTTAAAAAACCCGATGATTAAATTGGTCAAAAATCTCTTAATATAATATTAAGAAATAAATTTTTTTAAATAAATCATGAGCTTAACTGTTTTTGTCAATTTCCGAAATACCGCTAGTACCATCGTTACCACCCTGGCTAGTACCGCAATTTCCATCTAAAGACGAGGTTCTACCATGAGGCGATGCTATATCGTTGGCCGAATCTGATTTAAGGTTGTAATCATTATGATCAATTAATTTGCCATTATGGTGGTGTAGGCTTTGATTTCGGATTAAGTTGGTCTAAAAAAAAAATTTAAGCGCGGTTAGTAATTATCAATGAAAACGGCTAGCTTCCTCTTCTCTAAATCGAAATAAATTGAGATCTTAGGCGTCTTATATCTATAAATATCGAATATTTTATGTGAACTGACAACGCACCCCCTCCCCTCTCATTCTTTACCTTTAAAAAAGAAAATAAGAAAACCATTCTAGAATTAAAAAAAAGAAAGACTTTCGAGAGTTTGCTGCAAGTCTCTTTTTTTAAAGTGTTCCAAAAGTGAATTTTCTATCATTATAAATTATTTACAACCTTATTTGGATTATTTTTAACGTGGCGGGAAGCGTTATTACTGTTATGGCATTGCTTGACGCCTCCTTCAATAAAAACGACCAAATCATTAATATCCTTTTTGCCCTGATCGCAGCAGGCGATATATTCTTTCTTGACCTAAGATATATGAAATCGAGTTTATTTTAAATCTTTATGAGGTAAAAATTTGAACGCTTTGGGCATTCTGCATTGCCCAGTTTTTTTTTTTTAAAAAATGTCAGTCGGAAAAAATTAAATATAAATTAACAAAAAATAATAATTCAAAATTTTTAGCTTGCGAGGTCTAGAAAAAAATTATAAATTCTATGGGCAAAAGTGTAAGGTTTGTTATAAGCCACCGCCCCAAACATATCAACACTTTTTGTTGTTTTTTTAAAAAAATCTTACATTTTTATTCTGCGCATGATGAAGCTTCGATTGCAGAGTAGCCCCTTTCCTTGTTTTGTAACTGGCTTGAGTGAATACGTTAGGGCTAGGACCGTCACTTGATGGCCGAATAAAAATTTTAGAAAATAAATTATAATGTAATATACTGGAGATGCACCCGATACCGAAACTAAGAGTGTTGTAAAAAAAAACTTCGATCTAGCCATTTTCAAAAGGGCGTAATCACAAATTTTACCAAAGCCTCAAGATTTGGCCAAAAGAGAGTCCAATCTTTGCGCTATCATTTGGCTCATGTTTGGCAAAAATCTTGATTTCATCGATCACCAGTATGGTGTCAGTCTATTGTAATGTTGTTAAGCGCTCGATTTTAGCCGATTTTTTAAAAACGACTAACTCACTATTATATCCAGAAAAATATTCAGCAAGGCTGGAGATTTTCGCTCATAGATGGCAGAAAGGTTTAGATAACTATAAACGAAATCTCGAGGCTTAGGGAATAGTTTTTTGACTAAAATATTGAGTTTGCTGTTTTAAAAAATGAAACAGCCGTTCAATCAACACTAGTTGATACCATTGATAACCGAAAAACAATATTATTACATTTTGGTGTTTAGAAAGAAGAAGAAGAAGAAAAGATATAATTCATTAATATTTATTTATCTAAAATTATTAAAAATTTATAAGTAAAAAAAATTAATTAAAAGTATAATTGCAAAATAGGATGAAAAAGAAATTATAATCGTCTTCTTTCTTTATTGTTTAATTAATTTCATGGCCTTAAACGTAAGGCTAAAAAAAGTTAATTATTTTTTGACGATATCGGTTATAATTGAAAGTATCCGGCAATATCGATATTGACCGATATCATCGGCCCGGATAATATGTGTAACTCTGAAAAATAACCCATGGTTTTATTTTATATAGTGTTTCGGAAATTTTTTAAAATTTTTAACGAAATTGCAATAACAACAAAAAAATAATTAATATTTTTATAAATTACTATGTTTGAACTGATAAGCCATTTCGCGTTTCTTCTTGACAAATAACATTGATATCGTTATGATCTTAACATTGAAATTTAATTTTTTTTAAAAAAACATGCAAAATTTCATAAATTAATTAAGTTTTAAAAATATGGTGGTAGGTAGCAATCATGCGTTAACAAAAAAAAATAAATTATTTATATATTTGAATAGTGATTTAAATTTATTAAATATTTGACCTTAATTTTTATAAACAATGAGGATTAGATTAATTAATTGTTTTTTGTTTTGAACTTAAACACAGATAGAATTTATATAATACGGTGAAACATCCGAAGGTAACAAACCCTGAAGTCACAGTTAACGCAAATTCGCGGCGAAATATATAAAAATACAGCATATTCTCTATATTTAGCCGCAAATTAGTGCTAACTTTAATATTAGGGCAACTCCTTATCTTTAACCCTTCACGTAAGTTCTAGCACTGATATCCCATCCAAAATTCGATTAAAAACAGGGTCACAAAATGTATCTCAATGTCAATCAAAATGTAACGTCCCTTGAGTGTGCCACGTTATAGGGGTTTTAGGGTAAAATTATACCAATAGGAATTCGAATAAATCATAAAAAAATTCACTAAATTCTGAACCTCAGCTAATTTAAATTAAAATTTATATATGAAATTTAACTGGTGGAACATTTTTTCTTTCTATTTTTGGTTTTCTTCTTGGTATCGATAATTTTTGCTTCATTGTCTTCCATTTGATAACAGCTGACATCGCGATCGCAATTGGAAGAAGCGTGTGTATGATTATAATCAGTATATGGAGCCTATAATGAATGGTTTGTATTTATATGAACCATTTTTCTAATGTCAAAATATACAAAATTTTATTTTTAAAGGCGTTAAGGTTGTGTCCTGCTTTTGGCACGTCTTTTTTCTTTGTAAAAATTATAAATAGATTTTCTAAATAGTGATTTTTAGATTCAAAAATGGAAATAAGTACATAAGCGTATTTTAAAGATATCAAACCTAGTGTCAAAATCTATATTTAAAAATAACCAAAAATGATGTCCAAACTGCTTTTCAGAGTAGAATTCAGAATTAAGAACAAAAATAAGGTCTAGATAGGATGTGGTCTAAGTTCCATCTTTAAAAAAAATGATCCCAAAACTTCAATTTATTATATATATAAAAAAATATTCTAAATTTCAAAAAAAAATATACACCGCGAGCCAAGAGAATGCCCGAATATGTGCATACATTTGTAGAGTATCTATTTCTATCCTAACACGTTTCACTTTTAGAATATCTATTAACTTTACCGAAAAGTAAAATATGTACATATTTTTTTTTAATTTACCAGCAAGTTCATCTCGATATCGTTAACTCGATCGCCCTCTAGACTCTCCTGCCTGTTCACCAACGGATTATACTTTTGATTAGAAGTCGTCAATTTTTGTTGTTTGGTAGCGATTCCATTCGCGTGGAAAGAAAAATATACGGGCTCGTCCACTTGTCGATAAGAGGAGGGATAATTGTAGGCCGGTTCCTGTTGTCCTATTCCTCCCCCGCATTCTAAACTCGGTATTGCACTCGGCGGTGTGGTAGAGGCGAGATCATCCTTCCCAGTGTTGGAAAGGGATCTATGACATGACGAATCGTTTTCACCCTTTAAAATCGAGTTAGGAAAAAATTGGTTAAAAGATGGTGATCAAAAAAGGGGGTGATAATGATAAAAAGAAGGCAAGATGTAAGTTTAAATGAAAAGGATATTTACTTGATGTAAATGGCTTCCATCGTCGATTATTCTAGTATCACCGTACCTACGAAATTTTATTGGTTCCCTATTTTTAAATATAAAGCAAAAGAAAAAAAAAGGATTAGTTAATGATCTTTAGTATAAAGACCTTCCGAGGTCAAGCCGTGCCTATCCTAAACTTTAACAATCACAGCATAGCTTATATAATTGAGGTCACATCTATTATTTATCTATTTTTAGAGATCATATCTAAAATATTTTCCATTTTCGCCATTTTTAAACGATAAACAATTTTGTTTTTTTTTGTTAAATCAAATTAAAAATACAGTTTCAGGTCCAAAAAAATCTAACAAAAAAAAATGTCGATTTAAATTATTTATATGTGCAATATATTGAATTATAAATTTTTTTTAAAAAAAACCTAATAATAAATTAATTGAATGGTAATATGAAACAGAGAAGAAGTGAATTTAATTCAAATAAAATACAAATTATCTTACTTTTTTTTATAACAACATTTTTTTGTTTAAAATCAGACGTTTTCATGATTTAAAATAAAAATGCAACATTTCTTGGACCATTTTTTTTATTTAAAAAAATGAAGGTTTTACCGATGAGATTGATAATGGTAAAAAAATTTATATGAATTTTTACAAAAATTAACAAACAAAATAAATGCGTGTATCAACTAATAAAATTTTGGTAATGGTTTAAGTCGGCTAATCCACAAGGGTGTGGTAGAAAATTCACTGAGCATCGAGGTGCGAATTAAGAAAATCTGCTTAAAATTGAGAAAAATAACTTAACTAATTCATATATAGCCATAAAATAAAAATTTAGCGAATAAGTATTTAAAATATACAAAAATAAGGTAAAAATTAAACAAGGTAAGTTTTTAAAATTATAATATATCACACTCTTTGAAATATGGAAATTATTAAAATATTAAAATATGGAAATTATTCGTAATTAGCAGAGTTGTTAAAGAATCTAGATACAAGTAACTAGTTCCTAATGTGGTATCTGTATCTGTATCTAGATAGATTTTTGATTAAAATATCTGTATCTAGATATTATTTTAGACCATTTAAAAAGTATCTTTTAACAACTCTGGTAATTAGTAAGCAGACGATAAAAAAAATTAAATGTACGAACGCTCAAAATATCCAAATCTTTTGGAAATGATATTTTATAACGTTAGAGGCTTGATATATTTTAGTATCCACTCGAACGCTTCCACTATGGTCTTAATCTTAGCTAGAGCCCCTGTTTTTAATAGAGATAATCTGATTAAGTTTTTATTAATAAAAGAAAATGTCCAGGCTAAAATTATATTTTTTAGCGTCTATTATTTAGAGTATAATAAATGATATTTCAAGATACTATAGTGTTTTATTGTATTAATATTAATTTTAAATACTATGGAAAAATTCAGGCTCGGCTCTTGGTAATATATAAAGTGCCGGCCCGGCTCAGTTTTTTAAAATCCGGAAATATATCCTATAGATACATAGCGAATAATTATGAGGATTAAAGGTTTATGATTTTTCTTATCAAAGCAATAAACACAAAATGTAATGAAAAAGGAAATTGTAAATATTAATGAATGGATCATAGTAGTAGGTCATAATATCATTAAATAAATATGCAAAATAAAAAATATTCATTTGTTAGGCCTAATAATATTTCCTGGTATCTCTACATTTTGCCAGCCCGGTCCAGCCCAAAAAAAATAAAAATTTTTAATTTTATTTTTATATTAAGTATTTAATATAGCGTAGACTCGACTGAGTATTATAGTGTTCTATATCCACTTTTTTGCAAAATGGTGTTATTTTTGTATGATGTGAGTTGTTAAATGGGTATAAAAAACCGTCGACATCGAGATACAAAAAAAAATATATCCTTCCTCCTTATTCCTCCCTATTTCTCATTATCACCCGTTAAATTACACTACTCGTATCCTTGTGTGATCACGGTAACAAACAAGTGAGCCTTTCTATTTCCAACAAAAAAATGTCCCATAATATAAATTATATGTTAATGATGCATCATTAGATGTCATCTCTTTTATTGTTTCCTAGCGTACCGTTGAATATCTGAGTCATCAACGTCGTAGGTGTAGATTGCTCAGTTATATTATAATAATTCTATAAACAGTGGGGGGTTTACTCCAATTCAAAAATTCTTGAGTAGAAAAACTAGAGTCATATTGGATATTTTAAAACTAAAGGGCGGTAGTGATGTTCTGGCAAAGGTACAAAATGTACCAACATACCCTATCGACCAAATAGACTTGATGGCATCATAATAAAGATAGATTATGGGAAAAGGGTGTAACAATAGAAAAGTTAGGAAAAAAATTAAATCGTATCCAGTTTGAGGACGGGGGGAGGGTATTCGTCACCGTGATCAAACTAGGATATGAGTAATATAATTTAACCTCGAATGCTAATGAGAAAGGTAGAGAGGAATAAGGAGGAAGGATATTTTTTTTGTAGCTCGATGGCGACGGTATTTTATACCCATTTTACAACTCACATCATGGAAAATGTGATAGCACTAATCGATTCCTATCCATTTGCGCAAAAATGGGAGGATAAATGGAGGCAGCAGTTGAAGCTGGACACTTCCGGATAGGATTCCGTCGTTCGTAGAAGGAAGGAAGATTTGCTAATTAGCGTTCAAGCTTATGGTGGCAAGAACGTCGTCAATGTTTCCTATGTCGGGATTAGAGGCGTATGAAGATCCATTACCAATGGAGGATATATCGAGACCGTCGAACCAAGAAGCGTCGGGAAGAGCCAAGATCCATTACAAACGAACATGTATTCAGGAAGGTTCCAACTACAATGTACAACGATCCAGTATTTGCACGATACCCGTTAGATTTAAAGAAAGTGCCAGCTAACAAATCAGAAAAGCCCTGTTATTTAGGGAAGCAAGCAGCCGTACTCCTACCTAACATAATCAAGGATATGGATGAAGCTGAACTGTTAGCTATTACGAGGAAAGAGATGGAAGGTGAATTGGTTTACATAGTGAACTGATTGGAAGAGATAATACTACTCGAAGAGAAGTGATAAATAGGACTGGTCTTATTTTGGGTGGTCGTGGTATAATTTTTAATAAAGATTATATATTAATTAATGTAAAAATAAATAAATTTATATATATCTAAAGTTTTCAATAAATAAATAAGCTAGTCTTCGGCGATGTATTTTATTTAATTTATGAAAAGAAATAAATGCAGTGGACAAGGAAAAGAATTTTGAAAAAAACATATATCGCCATTAAAAATTATAAGATTTATATAATATATTCAAAATTAAAATAATTTGAAGAAATATTGAAATAAAATAATATCTGAATTACAAATATTATATTAAGAAAAGATAGTGAAATAAGATTTAAAGCAGAATTTAGAATTAAAGAAGTAAAGCAAAATATATAAAATAATATATGTATATATATTGTATAATAATAAGGTTAAATATTTAGTCAATATTTTACTTTTAAACTAAAGTATCTAAGAGACTTTTTATTAATGAGGTATTTGATTGACTTTCTTTTTTTTTAAATGTTAAAATTAAAAATAGAATTTTAGAATGATCCTTTCATTTGTATCATTATATTGTGATCTTCTAGCATTGTAAAAAAGTCCGATTCGGGATGATTTTTAAAAATGGCTCATTTAAGATTAAATAACCAAAATAATATTAAGTGTAAGCCTGGTAATTTTGCTCATAAATGGCAGAAAGGTTTTGGACTTCTATTCGCCAAATCTCGAGGCCCCCAACAATATTATTTTGGTTAAAATCTTAATCGGGCCGTTTTTGAAAATCAACCCAAATCGGGCTTTTTAAACAACTCTAGTGATCCGCTATCTAAAATACAAGAAATACTTCCATTTTTTAAATGCTCCGACGAACAATTTTAAAAAATGGGAAGATAATTAAATTTTCTCGTATTCTTTTAGTCTGTTGAAACATAATACTCTAAACCTTATCGATAATTTAATGTATTAAATAAGAGAAGTTTTTGATATCAAATTATGCTATTTTTTTTTAAATAAAAATTCAAAGCTTAATTAAAATTATAATTTTTAAAAAATTAGCTTTCTCTTTATCTTATAAAAACTAGATCAAAATTAAATTTTTTTTCAAATAAGCAGAAACAATATTTGAAATATGAACCATTCATAAAATTTTTACACCCTTATATTTGAACCTTAAACCAAAATGACCGCACATTAAGAAAACATTTATATTTAAAGGGAGGGGAGGGGGTACTTTTTAATTCAGTAAAAAAAATAATCAAAATGTCTTCACCCTATGTTTCGTTTCAGGAGTATTAATAAAGAGATTCTATATAAAATAAAGATGCTCAACGTTGTATATCAATTATATATATAGGATCATTCGAGATTTTCGGCCGACGCCTTTTAATTGTGATAAAAGTTTATCGGCAGGTTATATTGTTCTAGTAATATCTGAAACGAAATTTTAGTTCATTACCAATTATATTACCTGAGATAATGGGAATTAAGGGCTCAAAATTGGGGTTTTTAACCTTTTATTGATGTTAAATAATTCGTTTAAATTAAAAACTAAATTAGGTCGAATATTGAATCAAGTATTAATAATTAAAGCCATAATTGATAAGAAAGAAAGAAAGAAAGAAAGAAAGAAAGAAAGAAAGAAAGAAAGAAAGAAAGAAAGAAAGAAAGAAAGAAAGAAAGAAAGAAAGAAAGAAAGAAAGAAAGAAAGAAAGAAAGAAAGAAAGAAAGAAAGAAAGAAAGAAAGAAAGAAAGAAAGAAAGAAAGAAAGAAAGAAAGAAAGAAAGAAAGAAAGAAAGAAAGAAAGAAAGAAAGAAAGAAAGAAAGAAAGAAAGAAAGAAAGAAAGAAAGAAAGAAAGAAAGAAAGAAAGAAAGAAAGAAAGAAAGAAAGAAAGAAAGATTATTCTTAAAATATGGCTTTTTTCCAATGCATGATATTACTCGTAGATCAATTTTATAGCCTTGAAATGATTTTAAAAAATAAAAAGAAGCTTTGCATTAAAATGTTTAAATATAGAATCATCTTTACATTTTTTTATATAATTCGCGAACTTTTTTTTAAAGATTTGAAAATATGACCAATATTTTAGATAAATTTAATTTTAATGTTTCCCCCTTAATTATCAATTGTTGACTTAGTTATTAATATAAGATTCAATAATGGAACTAATTTAGTTTTCAAATTTAAAACTAATTATTTAATATCAGTAAACGGTTCCAAAAAAATCAATTCTTGCACATTTTAACTTCGATTATCTCAGGTAATATAATTGCTAATTAGCTAAAATTTCGTTTCAGATATCACTAGAACATATATTAAGTGCCTACAAATTTTTATCAAAATTGAAAGGGGTCAGCCAAATGGTGTTTGATTTGACTGGAATGTAGAGGCTAATTATAATCAGGAACAAGAATCTTCTAGAAAAAGGGAATCATAACCCTCATTTTATATATAACATCTGTTATTTAAATGCACGTGTTTCATTTTAGATTTTTTTCTGATTGCTTTGAACAAAGTTTGAAAACTTGAACCTGGAACAGCGCCAAATTTAAGATAACTTGAACCCACTTTTCAAAATAAGAACCCTTGTTTTTACTTGAGGTTCCAAATTCTGATCCAGCCCTCAAGACCCCCTCCTCCCTAAGCCAATAACGCGGAGACTTCTTGATGTTTAAAATATAAAAGAATTCAATTATAAAATGGACACTGGCTACCTAAATGACTAAGGGTGACGGCTCTGTTAATTCAATTTATTTTTAGTTTTAGCCCAGCCCAAAAATTTATATATTCTCAAGCATGAACCTTAGCCGAAAAAATTTTAAGCCTGAGCCATAAAGGGATATAGTTAGAGAACTTAGACTTTGATTATAAATAATTCGGAAGTATTTTATACATGGTATTATTATATTCTGAGTGAGTAGTTCTTAAACTTGTTGTTTAATCAAGAATTTTAATTTTGTATCAATCATAAGTATTTTCACGAATTAAATTATCACAAATACATTATCATAATTCAAAGTTTGGGCCCATAAATTCTCAAAAAACTGGGATAAATTTAAGAATAAGAACATAAAACCCATCTCTTTATATTTCCAGTAATGGGAATGCATTTCAAGGTATTCGAGGACTAGAACTGATTCTAACAAGAGGTACAAACGTATAATATTAGTGCGTTAAATAAAATATATAATTTTTGATATTAATTAAACATTTACCAGATCCAGGACCGGTAAAGGATCTTTCTACTTTGAATCTGACTTCTTTTAAAATTATAAGAAGTATGAAGGCTAGACCGCGTATTTTAATATTTTTAAATATACCAAGGCCAAGTCAAAAAAATTTTTTTTAAATACCCGGGCAGGGCCGAATAACAAAACTAAATATTTTAAATCGCCATTATTAGTATAAAAATTAAAAATAAATGTAATTATATATGTTTAAAAAATTCGGGATATGTCGGGCAGAAAAATTTTTTTTTAAAAAATCGGGGCCAGGCCACAAATGGTACTTTTTTGTAGGTCTCTGAAAGTTATATATTTTACTTAAAATATTTTTATATTTTTAACACATTTATTTTTTATGAAAAACATGAAGATAAATCAAAAAAATAATTTTTTTTTCTAATGCCATTTCCAGACAGAACGTTTTTTCAAAGAGGTTTTTGGGTACTAGCAAAAATGTTAACTTATCGAATTAATTTTTTTTATATTATATAATATTTTTAAAAAAAACAATCCGGAGCCACATTTCAAAACGCCATTTAATCGTTATTAAAATTAAACAGTTTGTTTTCTATTTACGATTAAAAAATGGGGATCTGGATTGTTCTTTTATTTAAATATATTATATTATGATAAAAAAAATTAATTCGAGAAGTTAACATTTTTTTGGAAATAAAAAATTGATTGGTGGTAACATTACCTAAAGCTTTAAAAAAACGTTCTGTCTGGAAATGGCCTAACATTCATTTGTTTAAAATATGTGAAATTAATAAACAAAGTAGTTAACAACACAAGAAATTCATAGATTATTTAAAAATTGAATACCGTTGATCAATTATATTTATACTATTGTTGAAGATATACTAATAAATTTGAATATACTTTATTGAATTATATTAATACTTTGAGCAAACCCGCGTAGCTATTTAGTGGTTGTTTAGAGGGGGTGGGGGTCAACAGTTTATTTGGGAACAATATTATTTAGGTTAATTTTCCTTTCATAGGCCATTAGAAACAAATTTGGAGGCCATGTTTGGAGAGGGGGAGCTAAAATTTTTGGGATGTCCTAGCCCATCATGCATCCACATAGGTATAGAGCTGATTATAAATATTTAAAAGCCAATAAATATTTTCTGTAACATCTGGTATTGGACCTGTCAGGGTATTGTAACATTTTAAAATCAGGTGTCAGAACTGATACTGGTAAAAAAAATGATCTTGTGCATCTTTAATATTTATTTAAAAACTGGGAACCATTTTTTTTAAATATTCAGAACCAAACCCATTTTTTAGTCCTGATTTCAAACTTTTATTATACTTTTATATTATTTGAGGTATAATAAATAAATATGTCATATTTTTATCAATATAAAAAAAATTTAAAGCAACTCTTAAAATATCTAGTTAATTTACTCTGAATTATCATAATATAAACCTATTTAAGCTATTTTTTTTAAAAAAAATTTATTAAAATATCAGATAAATATTTTTAATATATTGATTTAAATAAGATATTGGCTGTGTCCTGGTTGCACTTATTACCAAACAGCAGGCTACTTTGACTAAATAGCCTAAAAAAAGTAAGAGAGAGAAAACAAAACAAGGAAAAAAATATGAAATATAACAATGCCATTAAACACTTAAAACAAACCAAAACAAGATGTCTTAATTCAAAAGTTGTTTAGATAGATTAAAAGCATCAAAAAAAAGTTGAATCAGAACACAACCATCAGGCTCTTTAGTATTTCATTGGTTAAGAGTCCTACTGATATTATATATAAGATTCATATTTATAATATTTTAAAAAATATCAAATGAGGTCAATATTTTAATTTTTTTTTTATTTGATTCATAATTTCATTCAGATAATAAATTAATAAAAGGAATCAAATTTGATTTAAATGTTTCTAAAAATACGAATGATTTTAAAAGATAAGTAGCTAAAAATATGATACTATTTTTTATTATATTATCTGCAAAAAAAAGAATTTAAAAAAATATAAGGATTCACAATCAGCTAAACAACTTGACTTATCTGATTTCTATAAATGGCTAACTCAAGAGTTTAGATAAAAGTATATTACCCAAGCTTGGAGATTTTGCCCTCAAATGGCAAGAAGGTTTAGACATCTATTGGCAAAATTTTGAGGTTAGGTAATATAATTTATGGCTAAAAAATATACATTTTGCCATTTTTAAAGATCTGGTAAATCGAGATTCAGCCATAAATATTGCCCATTATAAAATGAGTAATTAATTCTTGGATAATAAAAAATAAAATACACTTAATCATTCACAAAAGTTAGTTTGTTTTTTTTAATAGAAATATATTGGTTCAAAGATGGGTGGTGAATAAAAATCAATATAATATCGGATTGGTATTGGATAGGTTTTGTAATATTATAAATTTTTGGATTGGCATAGCTTTATATTATAGTATAACAGATTAGTCCCACAAAGCTAGCCTGCCAGCCCAGTGGTGACATCCTCATAGGCTCGATCCAACCCATAATGTTATATCGTTCCCATTTTTTTTCTTTAAATAGAATAAAACATCAAATTATCAAAGTCATTACTAAAAAATATTTAAATTTAAGCCATAATTTTAATAGATATTAAAATATTTTAAGTTTGATATTTTTCCCCAATTTTTAAAAATTTGTACCATGAACTAAAATATGTCAGGCTTAGATCTAAGAAAAATTACCACCCAATTATGTGCAGGCAGGCTTGAGCCAAAAAATTTTATGCAAGTCTGGTATGTATATATATATTGTCATCAAAAAAAGAATAAATATTTATATAAATAATATATATTACTTATCAGCATTGAGTGATGAATATATATCTTTATTGACTAGACTTTTGGTATCATCCAAATTTGATGCACATTCCTCATCATCAATCATAACAATACAAGAGTGTGAACTGTTAATGTTTTCATTTTTAAGTGGTTTGTGTTGTGGACTGGGTATTAAGGAAGAAATTATGTGATTCTTTGAAAGTGAATAATCTTTTGGTTGTGAACATATAGCAGGGCTCAATGTACAATATTTGGATGATATCTTTGCAAAATCTGGACAAGAATATAATAGAGGAATATGTGTTGATGAAGGTGTATTTGAAGCACATGTTATAATCATAGTTGAAACAATGATTGACGATGAATTCTGCAAGTATGTAGAGATATTTAGTTTAGAATTTACAGAGGATGTAACAATTGATGGCTTATTAGCCAACTTTGAAAACATAGATGTTTTAGAATCTTCCATTATTGGTGAATATCTTGATTTTAAGCTATGATTAAACCAATGTGATCCTGTATAATTTGTACTTTTATATCCATTATTTTTCTGGTTAGGAATATTGTTAATATTATTTGTTGCTAAAATTGAATTACTTTCATTTAGATAATGAGGTAAACTTTGATAATTTTTTGAATATAAAATATCATTTTTTTGAGCATAATGTTTATCACAATAGTCTGATGTCGAACAAATATCCAGAACATGAGCAAATGTTTCAGTTGTGGTATTACTTACTACCAAATCAATATTTTTAGATATACTGCCATTTATCATTGAAGGTGAATCATCATTAGAATATGAACTACAATTACTGCTATCACTTATGTTATTAAAATAGTGGGAAGATATTTGACTAGATGATAATGAATCCCCTGAAGAATTCAATATAACATTTTGCTGAATAAAAGATGAATGAGGTAAGGAACTATTAATAAATATTTTTGACTTTAATGAATTTTTTTTTAAATGCTCATTATATGGACCATTTGCTTTAGATTTATTGTTATCATCCATATGATGTGGCTTATTTCATAGCGAATATCATGCAAGTTGCTAGGGCAACTTAAGTTATATTTATTTACAAGATAATTAATAATAAATATAGGTAATATCACTAATAAAAATATTCGATCTTATATTTATTTTATTACTTGTATAATATATCAAATTTTCATTATTTACGATAATATTGGCGTCTAATACTAAAAGGTCGAACGTTAAGTTAAGACACGTTAAAATGTAATTATCACGTGTTAATATTTTTCCAATATAAGAAATAACTGTAATTTATCTTCCTAAATAATAGTGATCTTTATATTCATTTTATTAACTCATTTATTATTAGTCATAATGTGTTCTTATTATTGTCATTTGATATATACAACTTAAAATTACATATTGTAGCGAGAAATCTAGTCATTGACGAGAGTGTTTCTAAATTATAAATAGTGTTATTAAATAATCAAGTATTCAGACTCTGATTATGAGTTTGTAATATTCCTATTAGTCGACCAGTCTCTTAGAAACAAGGATATTACGATACCCCCCCCCCAAAAAAAAAAATAAAAATAAATAAATAAATAATAAAATAATATATTAGTGATAAATGAATTGTTCTCCCTCATCTCAAATTTATTGGTTACAAGCTTGTACCTATAATCGAAACTACAAGTTCGATACTCGAGTTGCGAAATCAAGTTATAAACGAGTCGTAAAATCGAGTTATAAGTTTGAGTCCATAACTTAAAGTATAAACTCAAGACTTGATCAATGTGACTTATAATATTAATGTTTATTCTTGAAAATGAAATAATAATAAATTAAATTTCATTTTATTTTTTATATATAATATAATAGGGTGGGAAAAAAACTTATATACTTGCTCCAATGATAAGGTGTCATTCAAAACAAGGGATACTTAAATTCTTAAATAAAATTAATATAATTTGCATTCTTCATTAAAAATTATTACTATTTTTGCTATATTAAAAAAATAAACATTATTTTCTACGTAAAAATAAAAATATATTTGAAAAATGCGTCTTTAAAAAATATAAATAAAATATGCCAATATGATAAATATTATTGCTTGAATTCATATATTAAATTTAGAAAAATAAACAATGGGGAACTAAATATAAATTGTTTCTTTTGTGAACAACTAAAGAGAATAAACCTATAAGAATGTGTAAATAAAAAAACATTAAAAGAATAAGCGTAGAGGTAGAAAATGAAAAATGCCTATTTTTAATAAATAAAAAAGAAAAAAAATTAAAGAAATCTCGACTCATTTTTAAAAAACAATAATTAATTAAGGTGAACTGTTAAAATTTTATTAAATAATAGGCCTATAAATTTGACTAACATCAATTTAAATAATACTTTGTTCAATAACAACCACAAATGCAGAGCGAGGTTTTTATCTTTAAAACAAATTATAACTTCTTGTAAAAGGAATGAATTCTAATCGATTATTCAATATAGCATTAATTTCAAATGTAAAAAAAAATATTTAATTGACTAATATTTTTATAAATTAATATTTGAGCTTACAAAAAAAAAATAGATAATTTTAACATCTTAACATTTTGTATGGTTTTGTAGATAATAAAATTAATCATTTCTCTAGTAGTTGTTAATATATAAATTTTTTGTTTTATATCATTTTTGAATTTTTTTTGTTATTTTTTTATAACCCATTTTTATTTTTTTATATTCTAGATATACTAACATTCTATTTTATGTTAAATTTTATTACCGCGTTAATGGATATTTAAAAACTTTGTTGAAACGCTAATAGATGAATAAAAAAATTTATATAAATTTTTAAAAAAAATTGTTTGTGGAGATCATTCGAAAAATGTAAAATTTCATCAAATAATATAAATAATATATAAATATGAAATTATTTATTGGTATAATTTATATTTATAATACAGAAATAAAATTGGATCCACATTTTTTGGATTCAAACATGTTTTTCTTTGTTCTAAAAACTTTATCGCAATGCAAAATCCTCGTAGAAGAGTATTTGCTGGATTTGCCAATATTTTTATTTTTTTTCTTGTTGTTTCCACCGAATATCATTTGAAATATATCGTCTTCTTTAAGTGAGATCCTTAAATAAAAAGTGAAGACATTAATATTAAATAAAAATTTAATTGTTTAAAATTGTAAACTAATCTAAGTACATTAATATTCCCTAATTATACAAATCAACATGTTACTTTAAAATTTACATATTTTGCTATGTCATTATGCAACAATTTTATCCTCCTGTCCTAGTTGTTGTTAATTTTATTTTTTTGTAAATATATTTAAATGCCAACAATTTAGAATTTAAACAAAGCATTATAATAAATAGGAAATAAAATTATTTCTTGACTTATTTTTTTTGTAAATATTCATTATCGGATTTCCATTAAAATTTGTTTTTACTTTTCTTTTTTATTGTAAACTTTGAAATATTATTGAATTTTAACGGATTATAAAAATAATATATGTATATTGAAATAATTAATGAAATAAAAAATATATGAGTTTAATTGTTGAGAATTGTTAAATTAAGTGTCGAAAACTGTTTAATTGGAGTTTAATTATTGCAGTGGCGTCGCTAGGGGGGCGCAGGGGCTCGAGACCCCTGAACCAAAAAAAATAAAAAAAAATTTTTAATGGCTCTTTAATATCCCCTTGAACTAAAAAATAAATTTTTTTGATTGCTCACTGAATGATTTCTTTTATAATTCCATTAAGTAATATATAGGTTTAATTTTATTATTTAGAAATTAATAAGACTATTTAAATTTTTATTAAATGAATATCCATATTATAATTTTCCGATGTCCTCACTACGTCATCGTGACGTCATGTCATTACGTCATGTCATCGATACGTCATGTCATCGGTACGTATTTTTATTTATTTTATTTGTTGATTTTATTTATTTATTTTATACAAACAGATGATCCTATAACTTAAGTTTTCTATGCAACTGTAAGAGGCTATATTAAAACCAATTGTCAAGTAATACATTATATACTAAATATTACAAATTATTAATATTTTATATAGAAATTCAATTAGGAGTTAACTCGTATATTAATTGGTATACCAGAGATTTCTCATTCATTAATTATAAATTTAATATCTCTAGGCTTGGGAAATTTTTTTCAAAATTAATGCAACTGTAGGAGGCCATATTAAAACCAATTGTCAAAGTAATACATTATTTACTAAATATTACAAATTATTAATATTTTATATAGAAATTCAAATAGGAGTTAACTCATAGATTAATTGGTAAATCAGAGATTTCTCATTCATTAAGTATAAATTTAATATCTCTAGGCTTGGGAAATTTTTTTCAAAATTAATGCAACTGTAGGAGGCCATATTAAAACCTATTGTCAAAGTAATACATTATTTACTAAATATTACAAATTATTAATATTTTATATAGAAATTCAATTTAACTGAGTTAACTTATAGATTAAATGGTAAATCAGAGATTTCTCATTCATTAATTATAAATTTAATATCTCTAGGATTGGGAAAATTTTTTCAAAATTATTATGGGTTGGACTGGGCTTAAAAAATATTTCTCAAAGTTAATATTTGGTTTTCAAAAATTATTAGGGATTGAAATGTGCTTGAGAAAATCTTTTTAAATTTTTAAGATCTTGGTGGGAATTTTTCCCAAATATTGTAGGCTTGAACCTATATTGGGATTTTTTAATGTTAAATGTTAGTATTATGTTAATATTTTTATAAAGAAATATATTTTACCTAAATCAGAGATTTCCCCTTCATTAATTATAAATTTAATATTTCTGGGCTTGGTTTCAAAATTATTATGGGTTGGACTGGGCTTAAAAAATATTTCTCAAATTGGCTTGGTTTTCAAAATTATTAGGGATTGAGGTGGGCTTGGTAAAATCTTTTTAAATTATTAAGATCTTGAATGCTTGGAAATTTTTTCGAAATATTATAGGCTTGAACCTATATTTGGATTTTTTTTAGTTAAATGCTAGTCTTATGTTAATATTTTTATAAATAAATATCTTTTACCTGTAGACTAATTGGTAAATCAGAGATTTCCCCTAAAGATTATAACCAATGATAAAACAAGAACTGCAACCAATGTGGTATATCGTGAGGTTATATCCGATTAATCCCGGTTTATACGAATAAGAGTGAACATTACTTAGTATGATATTATTTTATAATTTAAACAATTTTATATTATTTAAGCATCCTTTTGTCAGGCCGCACAATATGCCCATTTATCTCTGATGAATATTTTGTCTAACTGAAAATTATACAAAGTACATTTTTAAATCTTAACTAAATTAATATAACAATTTTTAAGGATCCTACTTCTTTAAAAGCTTATCATTTTGTCGGATCCACCATTGCTCTATTATCCCTGCTGATTATTTTGTATAACGCACAAAAAAATATACATAATACATTATTTTTATTATAAATAATTTTATATATGATTTTATATCTATTACAAAAAATAGAATATTTTTTTATAATTTAAATAAATTTATATTATTTTAAGCATCCTACGTATTTTTAAGGCTATCCATTTTCTCGGGCCGCACAATATGCCCTTTTATCTCTGATGAATATTTTGTCTAACTGAAAATTATACAAAGTACATTTAAAAAATTTAACTAAATTAATATAACAATTTTTAAGGATCCTCTTTTTTTTAAAGCTTACCATTTTGTCGGATCCACCATTGCTTTATTATTCCTGCTGATTATTTTGTATAATGCTCAAAAAAATATACATAATACATTATTTTTATATATGATTTTATATCTTTTCTAAAAAATCATTATATATTACAATATTTATTTTTATTCAATTAAAATTATATATTTATTCTTAAGGTTCCTACCTTTTTTAACAATACTCCTTTTTATTCTTTCAATAAAAAATACTAAACGGGGTTTTCTATTTTCTATTTTTATGATTTTATATTTATTCCAAAAAAAATACATATTACGGTTTTTATATATTATTTAAATTATTCTATACTAATTCACAAGGATACTATTTTTTTTAAGTTTGCCAATTGATCTCTTCGAATGGTATTTCATTTTATTCCTACCTTATAAAATAAGTTGAGAATTATTATTTTTTACTTTAGAAAATTATCCTCATCTTATTTCCTCTTTATA